GCATCTCTGCCTATGGCCAAGCGTTACCACCCCTCTGTAGGTTATAGCAAAACTGCTTTTGAAATAGCATAGCTTATATTGTCTTTGGAGAGTATTTAAACACGAAATTCAATTAAACAAACGTAGGTTGTAAAACTTATTAATACATGAACAAAGAAAAATAGTTTGATCTGCTGTTAATTTCAGTCAAGGCTTGATTAGGGTCAAAAAATAACCTGCAAACTGAGTCCTCCTTGATAACAACAACCCATGAAAACAAAAGTTCTTGATTTTCATTTTATGGCAAAGCTATTAGTTATAGCAGAAAATTAGGAAAGATTTGGCTACAATTTCAATGGGTTCGTGATATCCTTTTAGAACATACAATCGCCACGATTACCACCTCATTATCTACTTGGTATAGGGCAGACGCAGGAAAATTAGACAATTTGAATGCACTAGGAGCCAAACATTACTAACTTGGCTACAAGTTTTCCCACCACTTACATCCTACTTTATTTTGGATCGAGCTGCTTGCAAAACGCGCATTTCTACTTATAACCTAATACGAATGGCCGATTTAGCCAAAAAAAGGTGACGGAGACCAAAAGGTATAAGAAGGTGTAAATGAAAGAGCTACAGAAGAGCCTGGAATAAATGCACATCACGAGCAAAAACCACCACTTATGACTAAGTCAGGATTACATGAAATAACTATCACTTGAAGATGCATGAGGATGGCAAAAAGAAATAACCTTTTTCAGTTTGCCCATGGCCGTTTGTGGACATTCCTTTTCGAAGTGCCTTCTAAGACGACGCACCTCCGGCCGACTCATTCCCAACTCCACGAGCTCGACGTCTGTCACATACTTCAATTGATTCACTGTCCGGATCTAGCAGAGAGCAACAATTAACCTAGTTACCGTAAGACTAATAAGTGGATCATGGAACGATGTGGTTTTCACTTTAACTCTGGTGTTTCTATTGTAAAAAATGTAGCAAACAGCATTTAACATAACCTGAATTATTAACCGTTAAAAGCAGAACAAATGCCAACACTACCAAATCTCACCAGGGGTTCGCATTGACATTTTCCAGCATCTCCTTCAATCAATCCCATAAAAGGAAAATACAATTCACTCCACTCATTAATAAATACCAGACTGAAAACAGGTAATAACTGACGGGGCAAAACAATCCCATCAATTCATTAACAAAATTGTTTCCATCTTATGCTATAGCAAGGCACAATAGGACGTTTGGATTTTCCAAAATCAAGAGATATGTTATCATCAGATTGTATTAGGCACCGGGCTCGGCTAATTCGTCGGCTTCAACTGATAATGCGTGCTTGAGGGTATAGTAGAAAGCGTAGCAGTTGGCGCAGTCTGCGTGGGCGAGTAGTCACCCGACTTGGCCACGGCGGCGGCAGATGATGAGGCTGATTCACTTGCCAACACACGCGTTCGAAATATACTTACAACGGCCTTATATGTGAGATAACAAAGATGAAGAATACATCGATCAAACAGCCTATCTTTAAAGCCCATCACTGATATATAGCTTCGTTATAACCAATATGCTGTGCACACAACGGATGGTGCGTAAATTCGCCCTGAAAACTGATTCCCATCATGCAGCTGTCTGAATTACATCACTAAAAACCAAAAGCCGAAATATTGCTAAAATCTCATTAAAGCTAGAATTGCGGTGTCAAAATGACTTCAAAGTAAAAATGCTAAAACTTTTTTTCATATGTACCAGCCTTTGTGCTCAAACAAAGGAAAAGAGGACGAATATTAATCAAGATGAAATAGATGGATGATTGATAAGGTCAAATTTATTCCAATGGCGGTGTCAATGTCAAGGGCATAAAAAACCTGCGCCCATGCAACCACTTCGTCAGATAGGTGAGGTCAGTTTGAAAAGAAATGTCAAAGTCAGGCCAAAACTTAACCTTGGTAACGGGTATGCACAGACCTAAAACGACTCATGGCTATGAAACTAAGGTTTGAAGGACGATCACTAGACAAGGCAACGAATAGGTGAGCAAAAACGCAAATAATTTGTAGGGAGAATGGAAAGGCGATTCAAAATCAAACGGTTCAATAAAAAATTTTTAATATGACCGAAAATGAGGCGATACAACACGGTAAAGTATTTTCAGAAACAATTGAATGCCTACTTCATTTCTGGCGTTTGGTAACAAGAGTTGATGCACAAATGCTCTACTACTTATGGTTAAAACAACCCTTAAACTGAGAGCCAAGTGCACATTTTCAAGATGCGCTCAGGCAAAGAGCTTCGAAAATCTGCCTTGTCAAGTACAGAAATCAGTAAGCGAAAATTCTGGGAAGCATAGTAGTGCATAAAGGTCAAACTGAAACGTTCTATTATGATAACGATGACCAATTATAAACTACGGTGTTCTCATGAAAAATTATATTTACGATGCTAAGGAATAAGTTTAAAAGAGCTAACAATTTACAAGTGCAACTAGTTTTCGCAACTCAACGCTGAATAATGGCAACTCACTAAACTAAGGTTATCCAGAAAGTGCTTATATGAATGATAACACATGCAATACACAAATAAAATGATGCAAAAACGTTGAGAATAATGAGTGCATAATAATAATATAATAATATTACAAGTACATTGCAATAACAGGTTTTCAAAGCATAAGGACCTATGTGTACCAAAATACAAAGTGGGAACAGGTAAATCTACCTTTAAGTGCTTGCTAAAGACTGCATAGTATTCCTCCAAGTCGGCAGCCTTCAGAAAGTCGTATAAGTCTTGGAAGGAATCCCGCTGGTCCTCTCTTGCGCGCCTACTGCTCCCATCACCACCGGTGCTACCCCCCCAGCAGTGATCCAGCTCGATGGAGGAGAAAGAAGGATTCTGTCGATATCGAATGTATTGATGCAGAGGAGACAGTTGATTAGATGCAACAGAGACCAGCGAACTCGTAGTTGAAGGTCGACGCGCGAAGAGGAGACTGGAAAATGAGGATGTACGCTGAAGACTAGTTCTCTCGTTACCACTACGGTTTTCAAGGGTTCCTGTCTGGTGATTGGGCGTTAGGGATGCAGAGTAGGGCTGTGATAACATGCCCAAAACCCTAGAGGAAAACCATAAAACACAATGAAAGTTCCACAAGACACACTGGAAGAAATTATGAGTCACTTACATATAACAACTGCTTTGAAAAAAGCACTGATTGACCCAAACTTGCTAAGCTGATGAGTGCCTTAACCCCATTCAGCTATTTACAGGAGTATTGATTTAAAGAGCTAGGCAAGCGCAGATAGAGAACCAATGTTGAGGCTTACCAAAACCACTATAATAAGAATAGTAACAATGAAACAAACAAGTATTGACAAAAATCTAGAGGGATAGATAGAATGAAGCCAAACAAGCAGCTTTCAAATCCCTCACAAACTTGAAACACGCGGTTAACGCGCACCCAAAAACTAGCCAATAAAATAGCTAAGAAATAAAGCCTGACCTTTAGTCGCAACGAACAATTAGAAGTGGATTTATTCCGCTTTGTAGGTAAGTGCTTTCTGATGCATCCAACTTGCATAATTGTATAAAGGGGAATGCACTAGGATGCTCTAGTTTAACTGGACTTTTTCAGTGATAGGATCAGAGATTGGTATCACACATACATGCGTTAGCAAATACAATCGTCTTAATAAACAAGTTAGCCTCTTCATATTTTAGATTTTTTATTGTGGTATAGACACATATCCTTTGGTTTGGATAATGAAAAGGCAAGCGCTATCAGGGCAGTAAATAATATTATATGCTTCCCGACTCACTTCTGGGAACTTTAACCGTTCTCAAAATAGTGTTGCTATATTGATTTTTTGGTCTGCACTGAATTGACCTAGAGCTATTAGGCATTTGGTAAGAAGGGGAAGTGTTTGGGCCTTTCCTCAGCCCGAGATTCTGACACGCAACTCGAAGTTAGGCGAGCACCATTGTGACCACCAGGCCTTTAGCTGGTCGAATAAGTAATGTACTATATGTACAGTGTAGCATCCCGAGACTTCCTATAGGGTGAAAGAAGGCAGTATGTGAGGCTGGATACACATATTCCGGGGAGAACAGAGCAAATGTTCCTGAGTATGGTCCGAAGGCCAGCTCACGAGTACAAGTTCCTGACAAATGCTAAAGTGACCATCGAGCGTCATATAGTCACATAAACAAAGCATTACATACAGTATGACAAATTTTTAATGACGGTTTAAAACTTTGTTTATGTGACCTCCTGATGTCTGGTGGTCACTTTAAGATTCTTCTGATCCCTGTAAGCGTGGGCGGACCTTCGAGCCATGCTCAGGCATAATTACATTGTTCTCCTTAGAATACATATATTCTATCCTGTGGTAAGTTTCGGGACGCTACAGATGTAATATGAGGAATTTCCACATAAAGTTAACATAGCCTACAATATCTGACTGCCGTTAAATGGTCTTAAGGCAGCTCACAATACAGTCCAAAACACTTTCTGTTCAGAATGCCTAGTTTACTCCAGAGGGAAGGCTTTTTTCGCTATTGAAACGGCACTGGTATTTCGTTCCCCGCCGGAAGCGAAATTTCCAGTCATTTTGCCGAGGCCAAAACCGAGACTTTCAATTACACCATTGGGCAGTATCATAACCAACGCGCGCATTGATCTATCTAAATTGAGTGATTTCTAGCTAAGATTCCGTCATACAATCTTTTGCTATGGTTGATGTTTCAACGAAATTTCTACGTAAGTCATTAAGAGAATTTGCTCAACATCTATAATCGATACTTCGTTTGTACTTGACCTACCTCTGTGAGCACCGTAGCATATGAAGAAGGTTCATTCAGGGGATAAATAGTCTATTCTCACACAATAAAAGAAGCGAATTTTTACAAAATGTGGACGAGAATTCCAAAATAAATAGCTGAAACTAACACGTACGCAACTCAACACGGTAACGAAACCAAATGGAATGCAATGGAGAAATCGATGCTGCTGCCTAATGTTTCGAAATCTTTAGTCTGGGCAGACTGGCAAGTCCGCATTTTGAACGAATATCATGTGCGAGTTCTCCTATGCTCACACGGGGCCGAGAGACTTCATAGTTGCACAGCTCCTCTAGCGACATTTGGCCTTCGGAGCCATTAAGTCGGCGAAACACGGTGGCGATTGAGACAATTGGACGGTTAAGGGGAACCGGACAGGCTTCCACGAGCAGCTTCTTGAAGGCCAAGTAACGACCGTGCTGTTCATCAAAATTCACCTCTAAGCAGCGCCAGCCCATTGGACAATCTATGGCTCGTGGGTCCTCAGGAGGCAGGAGAACTACTTTGCAGCGACAGAAGTTCTCGATGCGCAGAATTTGCCGGCTTTTATAGTAGGTGCTCACTATGGGGTCGTAGGTGTTAGGCACGAAAAATATCTGCCTGACGACTCGTCCTGATCGGAGTCGCTGAAGTTGCATTAATTACATAATCAAATGAACTGTCACAAATAAGTGCAGTTATTATAATGGGTTAAGCATGTTTAATGAGGATCGCAAATCGATGAAACGGATGAAAAGTCAAGTTTTAGACAACCGCCGACTTGAGTTAGTGAGCCACATCTTTAATGCGCCTGTTAGCGCAGCTTCAGTGTTTTAAGACTGTCAATACGGACTAAAAAGTGAGAGTTTCTGCTCTCTGAATTCCCTTGATAGTACATTAATTTCAAATAACGTGTTTGTGTTGCGTACTTTTGTATAAGTAGCGTTGGGACTCGATGGGAAAACTGAGGCGATACACGCGTGCAGTGTTGACAGTTAACCTCCTACTAATCTACAGGACATAACTACAGCCCTTTTCAATCACACTTATGGGTGTGGATGGTAGAATGGCGCATACTTATTCCCGTACTTTGCCAATTTCGCTAAGCTGACCAACCACCACGTGAGATCCTGTTTTGTTTAGGGCTTGTTGACTAAACAGCCAAGAGAGTGTGCAATCAAACTTACGTATAATCGAGTCTGAATCTTATGTATCAAGGCCACAAAGCAGGGAGGTATGAATTCCTCATTGAGAAGACGGCCGATTTCGTAGAGGAAATAACCAAATTCAATCATTCTTACAAGCACAAAGGCGGGTTGAACTTCCAATTCCTCGAGCAACTGGTCCAGACCTGCGTTTAGTGGAAGCATTTCCTCCTCATAGGGACTATAACGAAGACACTTGAGCATATTTACAAAATTCTCATGAAACTGTTGCATTAGGCCCAGTATTTGGCCACACAAGCTGAAGTCTCTACACGGAATTAAGTCAACGGCCTCACTCAGCCGCTGAAATAGGGTTCCCACAACTTTGTACATTTCTCGTATGTAACACATGGACTCTTCTGTTATTTTATTTGATCTTGCCTCTGCAGTTTCATTTGCACCCGTGTAGAGCTCGCAAAACCGGCTCGATTTGCCCATTCGGCCTTGGTACAATCCAGGTGTTCGTGCATCAGTAGCCTCGTCAATCTTCAGTAATCCTGGATCGGGTGTCCGACCTTTCCATGAAGGTGTTATCTGCGATCTGGCGATCATTTTATTTAGATTCTCGCGTGGATCTGCGTTAGCTGCTCGACGGCTGCGTAGTGAAGAACAATGCATCTTACTTTTGCGAAATCCTTCAACTACCTCGCAAACATCTCCAAAATTTCTCTCATTTCCACATAGATCTTTGCCGAAACTGGGGAGGTATTGCTCCGCAACTTCATTCTCACACCTTTTGGAACTTCTGCCACAGCAATCGGAGGTGGGCATGTTAGTATTTAATGGACAGTATTCATCTTCACACAAGGTACTACTTATATCATAACGATCAGATGTGAACTTATTAGTGAGTTTGCGGCATTCGTCGTGAGTACCTACACCAAAGTCACAAGTTGGTGGTGCATCGCAAGAGTTATAGTCCTCGTCATTACTCTGTTCACAACTTACTTCGCAAAATACAGTCTCATCACGATGGTTTTGAGCCAGACAACGCCTACCCTTTCGATTGGTCTGCAGAAGACTTATGTTAACAGTGATTGTGCCTGGTTGACTGTTGGTTCGTGCAATTGCAAAAGGCTGACATTTTGGACCACTTTGTTGAGAAGCCGCGGATTGTAATTCCGGTACTTTACAGAGCTGAACGTTACAGCAATCCTCCTCACAAACAGGTTTTTCACAATTATGAGATTGCGAGTCGGGAATCGCTGCGCCTTCCATGTGGGTGCAATTTTGATGTGTCAAAATGAGTGGGATGTTTCGGGTATTTTGGGTGAAAAAAGGGGATAGTCAAGCAAGTCGGTCAGTACGACATGGCACACCGCGGAACAGATGATTATTGATGCATGTCAGTTCAAACACAAGGCCGCGGGTGGAGGAGCTGCGGAATTGTCGACATGCTAAAGCGGCGGCCACGAGAGTGAGAAAGACACCTCAAAACTGAAAATGTGCGGTGAAGACTCGAGCATATAACTCATTGTAGAGCGTGACTGAGGCTCCCAGTGGATGTAGGAGGGCAAGTTACGTGTTGGCGATGTGCGAATAGCGCTTAGAATAACTGGGAAAAAAGGAAAAGGGAAGGTCTTAAATAACAAATTTTCGAAATTAAGAGTTGTGTAAGAAATCAAAGCACCTCAGGCAAAACACAAGAAAAGTAACTTTACTACACTACTGCACAAAAGACGATTATTAAAATACGGAGTCCAAAGCAAAAAGACAAGAGCCATTACGGTTACTAAAACTTTAGAAGCTATTTGTATAGCCTCGAGACTTAGGCAGAATGCATGTATCCAGCAAAGAGGATGCGCTCGAACTTGTTGGCATGTCGACTCAGTTATGACAACGTGGTCACCAAAGTAACCATGACCGAAACCAGTAGTCAAGGTACCTAACTCTCAAAAAAAGGAAGAAGGGAATTGAAGACATCTCACTGCATAATGCAAGAACTTCCAAAGGAGAACAGAGAGAGTTATCAAGCTAGGTAAAAGTTTGTCCTCATCAAACTCCATTGCTTTTAGCGATCAGTCACGCTATTCATGATTGCATTTGTAAAGGGCTGGTAGTTAGTTCAAAATGATATTTTCGTATAAGGGCAAAATAAGCATTTCAGTTAAAGGTTGCAAGCCACGATGGGGAGAAAATAAGATTTTATTGGGGTAGTGATGCATAGATAGGACAGTGAAGTTCAAACTGATGGCTGAACGAAGTGGCAAAACAAAAAAGGCACTCATTCGAAAGGAAACAGTGGGAAGCCTCTTTCGAATCATTCGAACCCTCCAATCTCATTATCTGTATTTTTTAATGGATCTCGCATACAATATTTAAACGTGTAGATATGAGTGGAGACGAGAAAGCTTAGAGGGCTTTGATGTCATAAAAGTTTTGGAGGGACTGGGTTTTGCAAGGGAGGCGCAGAGAGTTCAAAGGTTCGGTGTTAGCTTAAGTCCTTCGTAATAATAATTAGGCAAAATACGGTGAAAAGCAAACGCATCTCAAAAGTGCACTAGTCAGGTATGTTTTGAAATGTGTGTGATGGAATAGTTTTGGGCGCCTGATGTTTGGAGAGACTTACGGTGGCTCAGATTCTCGACAACGATAAGCATGAAACTAATATTGTAACCTGCTGTCATGATTCCTCTTTTGTTAAATCTTCCAACCATTCTTCAACGCCATTTTTTTGCACCGCAGTCAGTGCTGTCAGTATAAGAGTCACAAATTATAAAGGCATCCGAATAAAATAAACCAAATTGGTAGGCCGCACAACAAAAGACCAGCCGCATCTATCCCAGTTCTGTCCAAACGGTAGAGAGGCAGAGGAAGTATAAGGTTAAAATGGAAAGGTCCGTAGTTGTATTTTCCAGGGGGTTGATGTTAGCGGCTCTTGTCATCACAATTGCGACCACCGTTACTGTAAAAAGTAAAGGTCATTTCCAATCCTTCTGTTAGAGGCCACCACAGGTTCTCTACGTCCGCAGCACCTTGCTAAGTTACAGCTATTTGACAGTAGGAATCAAAACAATTGTTCAAGAGGATCAGAATCACTTTTCACTTCTACTGGTGTAGAAGCACCTAGGCATTGTAAATGGGGCGAATGAGCTCGGAATGGTCTATTTTTTAAGCAAAACTCGATGGACTAATTCAGTGATAAGACGAAAATAAAATAGTACTACCTATTTTGATAGGCCCTAAATAATGCCCATCACTAGGTGACCAACTAAGCACATGATCGTAGATTAGAGACTACCTCTCTCTTATCACATGTGAGTTTTCGCTTTTTACTACATCCTTTCTTCAAAGTGAGTGGTCAGTCCTGCAACAAAGTTTAATTCTTGAAAGCGCGTCATCGTCACAAACAATGAAGTAGGCTCATTACACCACCAAAGAAGTCTTAGTCAAGAAGGATTGAACCCATGTGCATTTCTAGGCCACTATTGAGTGTCTGAGACCGTAAAATACTGCCGCAGTAAATCTTGGAGTCGATCAACCCAAACGCTACTAAGGGTTTTGTTGATTCCCGTAATATGATTTAAAATTCGACCGGTTAGCGCTTCGAAGCCCTTGGGGAGCAGGTCTTCCTCCAAAATGTCCTCGATTTCACATATGCAACTCGCCATTTCTTGTAACCTTAGTAACACTATCACCGAATTCCCCAGGGCCTCGTTGACGAAATTTGCAAATTCCCTGTACGCGCTAAATACCGCTTTTTCCAAAGAAGTGAGACGCAAGTCGTTGCACAGCCGCTGAAGCACAGCTGACGACTTGACAGCTGACAATAAAACGGGATCCAAATGCGGCACTCGATTCTTTGTCAAAGTCTTCTCCACTTTGCTCAGTTCACGGTGAAATGAGTACAGAGATTTTCTCAACGCCTCAATGTACTTCTGTGTGGTGGGCACACGTTTCTTCAACCTGAGCCAATCTGTGGACCTGAAGGGCCTCTGATAGCTACTCAACGAACACCATTTGCTTGTTGATGGCGGTGAGTCCTGGTAATGCGGTGATCCGGTAACAATGCTTTGTGATGAGGCAGACATAGTTTCTTCTAAAACGCCTTTGATTCGATCTCTACCAATTTTCGTCGACCCAAAAGTGGACATTTTAATTAAAGGGAATTGGAAGAATTCGCCACATTTCGTGCAACGAAGTGACTTAAAGCACGAGTTTCGCAGATTTTGAAATCTAAAAACGAATCAATATGGTTGGCACGTGAAGACGATTATGAAAGAGTTCTGTTGGTTAAATTTACTCTTCCATATTAAAGCGTCGGTGAACTCCTGTCAGTTTTAAAGACAGTCACAGTCACTTGACCTCCCATTTAGCGCTCCAGCTGCTGCCGCTCGCAAAGAAATATGAACAAAAAAGTGACACGAATCCAGCATACAACGGTTGAAAACATTTAGCATGCAAATTTAATGGTCTTTAAGCCCCACATTGACACTGCAGTGAAGTCGTGAAGATGAATGCAGCACGGTTTCTAACATGCTACGTCGAGAATTTTTGACCGCTTTGACCGTCCAGTTCACACAGTAAACAAAGTCTACGTAGGTGCCCTTATTCAATCTAGGTTAGGAAAAGAGAAAGGCTTACGTTCAAAATTATTATTAGCATCAAACTTTTATGTAAATCAGAGGTACCCGAAAGAAGAGAGTGGCAGTTTACCGCTAATTCACTCCCACAAAATGATCAAATTTACACGGATTTTCGCTTCACCGAAAGGACAATACAAAAAAGCATATCTAGAACGGATTCAAGGATTGGCTGGGCATAATCGACGATCCGGCTGGTCGCTCACACATTTATTGACAGGCGGTCCGCACGAGGCCGACAACCAGATACAACAAAAGCGCGAATGTCATCGTAGCGCGGTCTATGGTCCGAGTTAAGCAAATAAGCAGCATGCTCAGCCGTCATGACAACCTCCCGTCCATCAAATTGTCGAAGAATAGTGGAGATAAGGCGTGCAGTGCAGCGCTGAGGTGTAAGAATGCGGTTCAGACGGTGTTGAAAGCTTTCAAAGTGTCCAAGCTCCTCGTCGTAAACCACCTCAATAGTACGATAGCTAGGTGGACAGTACTTTGAGCGTGGATCTTCAGGATGGAGTAGGTTGACAACGCAGTGACATTCCTCCTCCAGTCGACTCAACTGCCGGTCTTTGTTGTAAGGCGTAAGGATAAAGTCCATGCTTATGGGGACGTGAAAGTACTGACGGATGACGTAGCCAATCTTTATTCGCTAAGAAAAAAGGTAAAGGCATGCAGTATTTTCACGCTTTCTCATATAATGCAATGCTGCATGAAGCATTGTGAACATTCGACTCCTATTATTTTAGCATTATTATTCTGGCAATGCAAAGTTGGGCAAAAAAACAAAGCCAAACCGGCCTTTTAATGTGGTAATAGGTAACGAGAGATGAAATGCGAGAATACAAACAGCACGCGTACGATGTCGCCTAAACATAGGTGACCAAGATGGTTGGACGGTCGACCAGAACCCCCTAAGCTGTTTTACAGGAAGACACCAAAGCAACTACGTCGGTACCGACGCATACATGAGGGAGCTCTAATGCATATTCATAACGTTGTGATATTATGAGTATGACAGTTGAATATAGCGGTGATGCGGTGACAGGCTTGTAAAATGCTAACAAAAATGCATTATGGCAAGAATTGTCAGCGTCATTTATCTTCTGCGTGCAAATGCATCCCCTTCAGCATTGTCTCACGTTTCGGCATTATTCCGCTTCTACACTATCAGTGAACTTCAATGTCGGAGGCCTAAGAAAATTAGAATTTGATATCTTCGAATACAACGCCATATTTTAAGTAAGAAAACACTATTTAGATGAGCATATGAATTCGCCTTACCTGCAACTTCACTTGGATTGAGTGTAACAACCGAGGAAGGTCCCTAGGCACAATTTTTTCACCCAAAATGCGACCCAAGTAGTAAAGGTAGTGACCGAGCTCAATCATTTTAAAAAGGACAATCACTGGATCCTTTAGTACACCTGCAATCAAGCTGTTTATGTTTTTGGCCACAGCAACCAGTTCAAACTCTTGTGGTGTATAGTAAAGATGATCGATGAGAGCTATCAGCATTTCAGGAATCATTTCAAGGTGCTCTACTATTGAAAAACAAGGTTTAAAATTCCTTTTTGCAAGTCCTTGGTCAATTGTAATAATGTCGTTAATAATTATTGCGACTGTGTCTCTTAAAACTAAGAGAATTTCTTGTGCTTCTGGAGTCACTTTGTCTCCCGGTGGAGTTTCTTCAAGGTGAAATGTCCCTAGATCGGAAACTACGTTCTTTTCCTTATCACTCCTTTCCCCCTTCGGCTTAGACGTAACATTGGGACGGAGAAAGTCACCATACTCCGCCCCCGTCATATCTGATGCGAGTCGATAGGCATTACTCCTTCCTGGAGTGACGGAATTCAACCTATTGTTAGTGGAGAAGGACCGTAATTGCCGTGCGGCCCACTGTAAGTCACCTGGAGTTCGTGCCTTATTGTCGTATAGTGATTCCGCCTTCCAGGCTTCTGCAGCTGAGCGCTTTTTTTCAAAAAAACTTTTAAGGGATTGCATTCGTGGAGAGAGATGAATGAGGTTCCCATTCCTCCCATATTGTAATATGTTGCAATTATGGGTGTTTGTTACGCCCCTCTTGGGAGTTTGTAGAGTTCGAGCACCCATATTCTCTTGAGCAGTGCCCTTTACTTGGGATTTGGACTTATGACATCTCTCTTTCAGCTTGTGATGATGTCTGGCTTTATTAAATTCAGGATTGGTAGTCTGATTTCGACGTGAAAACTTCGAACCAACTTTTACTTGTGAATCAGTTAATGCGGTAGAATCATTTTGATTATTAAATTCAAGCATTAAATATGAGATTGGACAAATTGGATCATGCGAAATCTCAGATCCTTCACCACTTGAGGTTTTAATTTTCTTTGCTGATAGCAGAAGTTGTTCGCTAGACTGCATCTTCGTAAATATGGAAAGATTTCGATTCAAGAGTATTGCAGGCTTGATGGATGGAGGATCCTCTAAAGGCGAGGAGCCATACACTGGGTCCGATTCCGGAGCTACTTTGGAAAAATCGGTGACAGATCCCTCCAACTTCACAAACTTTAGTAAATCCATTTCATTTACTGTGTTTGGTGGTTTGGAATTCGCAATTCTACTAGCTGTCCCATGGCTGCTTAAAGCCACCACTTTGTTATGAAATTCATTTCGCCCTGTAATTGGACAAGCCCGGTTGGTGGCCATGAGGTGTAAAACCAAATAATTCTTCTGAAAAAGGCCGAAAAGTGTTTGTTAAGGCCAAAGCGGGTGGAATTGATACACGCTCACCGACCACGATTTCCACCGGAAGTGATTGATTGATCACGTGTTTCGCGTCGGATCCACATCTCGCACGCGCGCCATGTGTCGACATCGCGGTCGAGATGCGCTCTCTATTCGTTCAGTGCGTTTAAATAGATCCAAGTATTGGGGCGCATACCTCGATTGGATGATTACACTTTCATCAAGAGTAGCCAGACGTATGGGACTGCAAATCGAGTGCGGAATGGGTTTGGACTTTAATTTTGGGCGCATTGAATTGATTTATGAATACAATTACGCAGTTTATCAACTTCCAGCCGCATTATTCCCATTCTTAATTTAACATTCGGACTGCGGTGCACAAGTATCTACCACTTAAAATGTACAGAGGTATCAAATCTAGTGATCGTGGGGAGGGGATAGTTGTCGAGTGTCTCGTCACAAACACGTGATGCTGAGGTCACAGCATGTGACATGGGATCCAAGTTTGGTGCCACATCGACCCACCTTCCCATGCAAAACTTCCTTTTTTAAAAAAGGCGATAAGAATGACGATTTGCTCTCCAAAGGAGCAGTGTTCAGCTCCTACAGAACTCACTACAAGTTTAAGGTACTGCAAAATAAATTAGTCTTTAGTCTATAGTACCAAAAATACACCAGCTGCCATAATTTTGAACATAACACTTGGTTCAGCTCCGCTTGAATGTGCCAACCGGAACAAATGTAGCTGCATATGCAGTGGTAAAGCCGTCCTTTTGGAAAGTACTATGCGAAACGAGGACAAAATTCACAAGGAAGGAGAGGGAGGTATTAAACGGTCTCTGCAGAATCCCGATCCAACCGGATCCAGCTGTTTAGAAAACTCACCCGGGAAGCACTTTCGCATTCAAAAACGCCAGTTTGTTTCTTGCGGCCCAGAGACCGAACCCAAAAACTCGCCATGTATTTCCAAGTGCTCAAAATTTGCGACTGAAACGCCTAACCGTCGAATAACACCATCAGTAGAACCTTGTCTGCAGAGCCCAGAGTCTTCGATAGACCCGCTTTGTTTGGAAGAAGCAAAGAGAGAACCTCAGCATTGCCTTAAGCATGTGATAGGACCGTTTTGCCCAGAAGACAAATCCAAAGAGTTCGTATGCTGTTCACAGTGCATAAGTCCAGAGTGTCGATTGCATAATGCATCCAGAGCGCCCATGCTCAATTCCAGCCATGCACAGGGGTCCAGTTGTCAAGGCACTGAACTCAAATCCCCTCAGACTTCCTTTAAGGGTAGAGTGGAAGCGCATTTAAAAAGCGCATGCGAAGAACCCTGCTGCTTAGAAAATGTGCCTAAGGCAAATCCTGATTTGAACTACTCAGTAAAAGAGCCCGAAAAATCTCAATGGAGTTCGAAGTCTACAACAGATTCTAATCGCTCAGGCATTTCTCTCAAAAGACCGTTGTCTTCTTTAAAGCATACAGAAGAACTTGAAGAATCACAATGCGCGTCCAAGCGTTCTGTTGACTTTTGTTGCGTGGAAAATGTACCAAAAGGATCCATGCATAGCTCCAAACCCAAAAAAACATTATGCTTTCAAGGCTCGCCAATGGAGTCTACGCAAGGCTTCAATAATAGGAGGAGGACGTTCCACATGAAGGTTACGCAAAATTCATCATCGCGCAGTCTTAACTGCGCAGATGAAACGTACATGAGGAACGCATCAAGAGTACCAGTTAGTGCCACTAAACCCATGGAGCCATGTTGTTCGGAAGATGTTGCCAAACAATCATTTTGCGGCCATACACACGCAACGAAGCCTCTTTGCATAAGAACAGCACAAAAATTAGAGTCGGCTACCTGCAAACATACGACAGAGTCCTGTTGTTTGAATAGACCACGTCAGGCACCTCTGTTCGATGCTCGACACGGTTGCGAGCCAACAGGGTCACCTTCCATGGAGAGCCCTGAGGAAACTGAGTTTTCATGCTGTCGAAGGCGATATAAGAGGTTGGAACAAAGCTACACTGTAAATACGCCCAAGTGCATTGTGCGTGGAAGTAGACAGCCGACAGAATATAGTCTTTTTAAAGGATCTCCAAAGCCAATGTGCAACGTTAATGGTGCTGCTGAAAGCCCTTGCCTGGCTGAGCCGTGCCAAGAATTTCTGTATGACCCAAAGCCTTCAACGAACTGCACGTGTTCAGAAAATGTGTTGACAGAAGCTCTTTACAATACTTGTTCCTCACCTGAGTCACACTATCGGTCTGAAGGATGTTCTGCACTAAATAATGAACCAAGTTGTACAGACGATTTACCTAATGAAGCAGTCGATGGCAGCTGTTCTCCTAGCCCACTGAATGTATTCATGTGCCACGCAATGAAACCATCAAGAAAGGAACAGCGACGACCTTCTTGCTGGAAATCGAAATCAGTCAAAAGAGGTCGAAGGACATCAATGGATTCACCTAATCCCGAAATGCAATCTAGAATTGACAGTTTAAAAAACAAACGCAAAACTAGGGGCAATCAGTCCATTAAGTCTCAATGCATCAGCAAGGTTTACCAGACGCTCGATGGGATCATAGAATGTCAATATGTTAAACAAGGCTTAACTCCCATGCCCAGTCTTTATTGTCCTCCAACAAGCTTTCCGTCACGCTATTCTCTCCCTTATAATGATGCTGGCGAGACGCCTAAACAACGCTCTTTTAAGATAACATCTGCAGCTCGGGAGGATATCACAAACTTACACGGACTTCTCAGTGACTTCTTTGATAAGCTCTTGGGAGCTCTGGACGCCCTCAACAAATGTGACTTCACTTTTTGCAATGAAATGGTTTGTCTTATTTGTCGGATCCAGAAGACAATTACAAAGCTGATAGAAAACCTGCGTTATGGCTTATACAAGAATGAGCTTGATGACATAAATGAACGTCTGCTAGTAATGCTTGATGAACTCCTCTTAAACCCTCATTATGTTCTTCTTCGACTTGTGGAGTTTGGGTTCAATATTTACGAATTAGGCGGTCATCTGCGTGAAGAGCTCCTACCCTGTTCCTTTGCGCAGATCGTGCACAAAGTCCAGAGTCGGTTATACGTAGGTTTTTGTGTTCCCATCTTCATTGTACTATCATTTTGTTTTAGCGCTTGCAAACTGGGAGGATTATCCGACAGATTTACTTCGTACCGGACAGCATGGACCCGATTATCGGGACATACTTCAAGAGTCGCAGATTAATGAAATTGGAGCACTTTTGTCACTGTAGTGTTGTTTTGCTGTCCCCAGACGATCCTCGAAGCATTTATTGCCCCACTCATTACCGCACTATCGAGGTGAATTTCGACTGCAAGAGAGGTCGCTACGTGGGCTTCCAGCAACTGCTTAACCAGTGCGCATCTGAGAAGGGCATTCTCCCGCGCCTAGTGGCGTCCGTATACAAACGACTCAGCCGAGGTTGAAATTTCTCTCAAGGACCTCTGTGAAATGGAGACCACTGAGCCCCGAATTTCATACGACACCATCAGAAGGGATATGACCAGTGGAAATGGCCTAGCTATTGCACCTAAAATCGAGGTCTGATTACCCACTGCTATGCATTCGCTTCGCCTCTTTTCACATCATCCAAGGCGACCTGTGCCACCAATTTTTTTCCTTTCGTGGATTTTTCATTGTATTTTCTCATAAGCATTGTTATTTGCTTTCTGGTGAGACTGTTCTTTGTAATATTATTTAGAGATTGCGTGTACTTTTGCCTTTTAACCCGGTTAATTATGGTGATTTTTAAGAACTAACTGTTTGTCTTGGGTCTTGAACGCGTAAGCGCTGCCATTGTTTTTACTAAAAACAGTATCTACAATCCTGCACTCGGTTTGTTCTAACATTCAAGCTGAAGTGAAGTGTGTAGAGAGGAGTGGAACAAACTTATGATTGTAAACAGTTGACCGCATCGCAATAGATTTGAATCCGAAGGATGCCGATGCGACAGTAGTTATTATGACGCCCTGATACCCCCCTAAAGAATGAAGACAGCACATTCTCTAGGCGGAACATGCCGCCCACCCAATGGATGGTGGGAAGTTGCTAATATGGTTCTAAGACAGGTGGTTTGTTGCCAAGATCGAGAGATGAACAATCAGTGTACAATAGCATTGTCACCAGGTGTGAGCATCAGGCTAAGCTAATAAAAAACGGACCAAAGTAATTCCTATTTCACAACAAATTACACCGGGTGTCTGGCGATATGCTGAAGACCCCAAGTGGTTCGGGTTAGAGGCTTAAACTTTAGGGGCGAGTGCTAACATTTGCCACCAGTAGTAGATCTTAGACATCCTTCCCCGTTGGAATGACACCGTGGTACAGGGTGACACTCTGGACAGACCTTCACCTTCCTTTTGATCGGAAAATGAGAAAATAAGTCCGTAAATCCGGTCAAATTGCTGTGATTACTCGAGGATTGCCTTGATGGCTAGGGCTGTGGATACACGTGTCACCAATCGATTGGCTAGCGGATTTGAAAGAATCAGCAGCCCCTGCGTCTTAACAACAGCGCCGTTTACCTTCTAAGCCAGGAAGCTAGTGTGTGGAGGCATTTTGGGCACACACACGTACACTAACCTCTCCAAAAGTTCCAGTCATGAGCGTCTGTCAACCTCAACCGGAACCCGATTACAACTCCAACCCTCAACCGGCTGACGCGTCGTGTCCCAATTGTGATGAATTTATGAACTGTGACGACGAAGAGGAAGGCGATTGTATGCCGAATGACTTTAGAGCTGGATTGGCTCGAAAGCGGCGTGCAAGGTGGCGAATATTTGTGTCTCGTGCAAGCACAGTGGGCTTACCCAAAGGAGACACTGGAGCCGAAGCTGCTAACGAAAAAATCTCGAAGGAAGCAAAGCAGCTTATAAAAAAGCTTTACAAACAAGTCGATCAATTCTTTGTAGCTCTAAAAAAGTGCCCCTGTATGATTGATAAGTACGATTTCAGCAACGTTGGGGACTTGGTTACTAAGGTTAAAGAAATAACAGAAAACATGAAAGAAATCTCAAAAAAGTTGAGCTACAGCCCCTTAATAACTGAGCTCACAGATTTGTGTGATCTGATGGACAAGATCTTGGATTACGCAGCTGAAATACCTGCACTTGTTTATGTCCGTTTGGTTGATATTACTTTCTGTCTTCATGAGTTTGGTGCTCTGCTGCAGGAAGTGCTTCTACCAATTGACTTTGCCTTTGCTGTCCAAAAAATTCACACTCATCTTAGGGTATGTGATCCCTATTTGACATTTATTCACTTGTAGAAACTGAAACCGTATGGCGTTCTTAAACAAGTCATCTTCGTTCCTACGGAGTACGACGCAATAGTGGCGCCTTACTACAAAGACCCGCGTCTGCGTCGCTTAGAGCAGTTGACGAATTGCAAGATCACTATGGTTCGCCCTGACGATCCACGTGCAGTCTACTGTCCAGTCAATTTCCGCACAATAGAGGTGGAATTTGACGAGAAGTATGGGCGCTACATTGGTTTTGCACATCTCCTGAATCGGTGTCTCAGCTTCCGCACTTCTGCATTCCCAACTCGTGGTTCGGAAATCGTCGTGAAGCGCTTCGCCACCAACACAACGCAAAAGCTAGAGCCAGCTGAGGTTGAACCTCTACGTCAACGACTCTCGCGAACTATGCTGGCTCCAGTTGAGGCTGATATGGTCAGTGGAACCAAGACTGCGGCTATTGCTCCCGAAGATAGGGTGAAAAAGTTTGTCTCGTGATCACGAATGAGCTTCTGCATGATTGAGAGGATGCAAAAGAAGCCTCCATTCTTTTCTTTGAGTGGCAGCCTTGACGAATGGCAAATAAAATCCACTTACTTGAATTTGCTATGAGATTCCTTTTGCTTTCTTCTACTGGAGACGGAGAAAATTTTGCCTATAAACCCTCCCTTTAAGTTTTGTAAAAACCGCACCTACTGTAACCTAAAACTCAACTCGAATCGTAGAAATTTAATGCTTTGTTTCCGTTCATTATTCTGGATATATGAGCTGCACCGACAGTTGTCCAGTCCTTTAATGCGTCGGCAGTACACATTTTACCTTAAAACTGTCCCCTTTCAAATTTTGTAAAGCCTTGGGTACTACACAAATGACACTGGAAAACCGCTCTGATGTCTACTCATGAATGCTTGGCTTTGGCGCGACAAGCAAATGTCATAGACGAAGGACTAAAGCATACGTGATGTTTGAAAATTGTCAGTCTGCAAGTTGACCCAACCCCTTTACTTGCAGCAATGTTACTGACTAATGAAACGACGCACCAAGAGCCATCTACGGAAGTTCAAAACAGGACTGCATGCAATAGAAGGCCAATGAGAAGTTAAATTGTAAATGACAAATACCCCGCCGATCTCTACTAGGTGAAAATATCCAAGTGGTTATGGCTGGGGAGCAGTGAAGTGAGTAAAAGTCGACAAGGCAAAGTAGAAGCGCGATCGCACTCTCCAAAACTATTTCATATGCCACATCCGTTGAAGGATCTCTGTATCCCTACGATTAGCAATGACAAGTTTCGCCGTTAGCCAGTACAGGTATCAGAGAGTACGAAACCTATGAACCAATAGCAGTGCTAGGACATGTTTGTGAAGTTGTGATAAAGTTTCCTCTCAATAACATGGAAATTTGCTCAATAGCGGGGTTGATTCGGGGATGCTCTTCTCCCAGTGCCGAGTACGGAAATAGTTACCAAGGTAGGAGCTTGGTAAAGGGAACGCAAGCGCAGGTGCTCAAAAGCGGAAGTGGCGGCCTATGGGATTCTCCAAAAATCAGTTTTGAGAAAGTCAACAATCAGGGTGCTCCTCATTCGTGCATTCTTCCTTCTTCAGGAAAGCATTGGGAGTGGTACCAACATTTGCGTACTACACCGACTTAATTGTCTCCATGACTCATGGTTGTGAACTCAGCGTGTAATATCAAAATGTGCTAAGTAATGCTACTGTTAACGCATCTGATTCAAGATGCACTACCACTAATAGCATAAACATTGTCACCAATCAAAATGCAGTTTGATCAACTTTATTGTTACTTACCCTATTAATTGTCCCAGACACCTTGTTATCCATGCCTTCCAAGCTTCTCATGAACGTGTACGTAAAGCAACGATGGGAGACCCGTACATAACACCTAAATAGAAAGCCCTTAATTTTTCTGCCACTTCCAAGTCTTACCATAGGTTCGGAGACGGTATTATTACTGCCACGAGCCCATTTTGCCTGTCTTTTCCATAATTGAAAGTTACACATTCTGTTACGGGTATCAATGAAGGATAGCCATGTGCAATACAAAGCCTTGCAATTGCGACTGGGTATACCAACACCTATCGGTGTGCAGAGACCAAGATTTCTTCACATGGAATTGTCCGCTCATCGTATACATCTCAAAAAAAACTGGAAGTGATTTTCTCCACTTAACTTTAGAAGAATCATTTGCATCATGTAGGTTTACTCACCAAAAGCATTTCCAGACGATCGAAAAGTAAAACCAGCAGCTCAAAAATACGCATAATGACCTTAAAAATATCCTCGAAACAATATTTACACCACAATGAAGAAGGACGTCTCAGTGGATTGAAGGCAGAAAAAGGTAAAGGCGAAGACGTATTTCTTCCTTAACCACTGAGACTGCTAAGATCGTCGTCACTCTCACTAAGGACGGGACGTCTAGAAGATGAGCTAACCGGAGGTCTGGGCGCAGTGATGAATTCCTGACGACGCCGATGGGAGGGCGGCGGTGAAGGTGATCGCTCATCCTCATTATCACTTATACTGTTATCTTCAGCTATTTGCGTAAAGAAAAGTTTAATTACCGCTCAGTAGTGACTTACTCAGATTAATATTTATAGAATTCAACTATTTCTGAAAACTATTCCCGATTTAATGGTACCAACTGCATATTTTCGTAACAATTATTTCCATTACAGCTGAACTGCGATGTAGCCTAGGCCCTAAGCTCATCTACTGAATCAAAGAGGCCTTCAGAAGAAGTATTGATTTCCTAACATATTTCAGCCCTCAGAATATGTGGGGCAAAAGGCTAAGTGTTCGACTAGTTTAGGTCGATATTTTGACCCATGAGGTGCAAAGGCTAGCGATATCATCCTTAAAAAAAGCTATTTCAACAGAGTTAATAATTTTCCAGTCTAGCTCACAAAAAGGCAAAGCCAATAATTTGCACCATCAAAAAGCATGATGTGAGACTTAAAGTGATAGGAAAACGAATTTTAATTTACCTTCTGAGAACGATCTTTTACGAGTCGACCTTTTCGAAGAAAAGTGGCTAGTTAATGGTGATTGTCGTCGCGATGGGCTGTCATTTGAGAGGTCAGATGACACAGAATGACGAGTGTGAGGAATCTCCCCCCCTTCCTCTTCATCCTCTTTTTCTGCCCCCTCCTCTTCTTCCTCGTCATCATCATCTGAGAAGACAGCAGCAGTTGTGGAGCGTTTTGTGGAGGAACGCTTAGGGTCTGAATGACTTTGAGGAACACATCTATGTCCTGATTCCTCATCTTCCTCAAGAGTGCTGTGTCCTCCGTCACTATCTGAATGTACCCGAGACCCTCGTTTTGCTTGAGAGGCTGCAACCGAAGAAAAATATTAATCCTCCTCAGAACGGACAACTGAATATAAATACTTGAACTAATCTCACCACCAGAAGAGGGGGATTCAAGTAGAGGAGAGTTATCCTTTGGTTCCTCACCGTCGCTTTGTTGTGTCTCCGCATGCTCTTGCTCAGCTTCTTCTTCCTCTTCGTCCTCTGATTCGTGTTTAAGCATATCCAGACGCGCTGTTTGTGCCTGCAGCTCCTCGTAAGTAAAGTCCCTGTGCTGCACGACCAAACGCATCCTAGAAGGCGGCTGTGACGGCGCCATGGGACCACTTCCAAAGTTAGATTGCATCTTTCGACGCTTGCTGAGTCGCACGCGAGTCTCCAACTCATTGTAATAGACACCCGAGGGGCAGTCTTACAGAAGGAAGACGAAATGACATGAGGACTCAGATTTCGGGAATGCAAAGGTCGCTATCAATCTTGCATACCTTTGTCTTCCTTGCGAAAAACAAAAAAGTAGTTCTCCTCATAGTTAGTCATTGTCTTATTTTTTACATTCCAATTGTATTCACGCGCTTTCTCGTATTCATAAGAGGCGCCTTCAGTAAAAGCAACATGGGCTTCTGCATCCAAACGTCGCTGCTGCTTGGTCTCTTCCGTGGGCAAGAAATAAACAACGAAATGGTCACCAGTCTCATCCACCATACCCCTTTAATTAGAAATACAATTGGGATGAGGAATTGTGAATCACTAGCACCTGATAACAGCTTGATTAACTTCCTCTCGCTGTTCGGCAGCAGAGATCCCTTTCCTAGCTGGGTCATCATCGAAAATGACCTACACGTGTAAAAAGCGACCAACTTAGATGAAGAAGTAACAAAAGAACTGAAATACTAGTCAAGTTACTTGAGCACAGGGATAACGCCATAACTTGAAGTCGGGAAGAACGGGCAAAACCTCAACAGCATGAACCCCAGGTTTGCTGTAGTGCCGCTGGATCGGTTTTTTAGCAGCAGTAAATGTGGCTTCAATGGCGTTAATCTGACTTTCTCTGTCCCGATACACGATTTCTTCAGCAAATCGCTGTTTAATGTTGTGACCAAGTCTTAACCATTGAAGTAATATTATAGACTAACTTTGTCTCGATCTTCTCGGATTTATTCCACTTGTTATAGTGCTCAGTGGAAAGATATTCCGTCTTGCGCAACCATGCAACTGAACGTTGATGCCGAGATCTACAGACAAGTTAAAATAATGCAAGAAAACCAGCCTTCTATCATTTAATGCGTTGGAATCATCGTCTTCCAAGAGCTTTTCATCGTCAGGATGAAGAGACGCTAAAGAATGAGAGGAGGAAACCAATACCTATGCGATCTGTTTTAAATGCAGAAGGATCAATAAGTTCAACATCAACTCCAACATCAGTTTCGCATAAAAGTTCGTGCTTGTGATTCCTTTCAAGCGTCGTCGCAGCATATTGTACAAATCTAGTAGACTCGAAAGGATATGGCAAAAATTTTGGATCAAAGGGAAGTTCTGGAAGGTTGTTATGGTATTTTACGCGGCAAAGGATAGTTTCTTGTCTAAAAGAGTTAGAGCAATGCAAAGGAACACACCTAAGATCCTTGATGCGATCCTTTGGAATATCATCGGTCATTATCGTAGCACCTCACGGATAATTGGCTAAAGCTAAATCTGCGCCTAGGATGAGAACAATTAAAAGCTATTATGCCTACCACCATAACGCAATCCATGGAGTATGTACCATAAAATTAAAAAATTATGAAGATATGGCACGCCAAAATGCGATAGAAAGTAATGAATTGCTCTGTTGACATACAAGCTCTGGCCATGGATTTTAAAAATTCGCAGTATCTAAAGTGCCAGGCATGAACTAAAGCTTGCCTTTTAAAACCGGTAAAAGACCATCATTTCAAGAACTACATCGATGTTTTAGCATCCCGAGGCTTTTTATAGTGTAGCGTCCCGAGGCTTCCAATGGGGTAGTAGAAGGCATAAGTGGGGTTGAATACATGTATTCCGAAAGCAATAGGAGAAGTGGGGTCTGAGCGTGGCCCGAAGGCCAGCCCACGTGTACAGGGCCAGACAAATCCTAAAGTGACCGCCAAACGTCAGGTAGTCACATTAACAAAGCATTACACTGCCCATCTCTTCTTTTGAGTGACGTCCTCGGCGCTCCCCTTTGGTACACCTGCCACACCAGCCATCACAACATATTCGGTGCTACAAGAAAGCATCCACGAGCCAACCACGCAAGTTGGTGGAACTCCGGTATGCTACAAGGTAAAAGGAATAAGCCACAGTCCCGTATGTAAGGTGAACCGTAATGTAATTTCCAACGCCCAAAAATGGATTTTGTATGGGAAACTCCGACACGAAACTTTTTTAGATAGTTCACGGCGGCGTCGCTTCAGTTGTTACTAGATTGCCTGTGGAACACGAGAATAAGGTGAAAACAAATGCAGACGTCCGCCTAAATCCCTTCGTTGTGAAGGATTCAGGGATTATTCATCACCAAGGTAAATTCACCTCCTTTAATTAATGTTCCTTTTTGCCTGTGTCTTCATCTACTGCACTTCGATAGGGTCAGACCTCCTTCTACGCATGTATAGCTCATGATTGCTAGCTTATTAGTCTTGGATTTCTCCACTAAAAAGTGGAATTCCTTTGCAGTCTTGTTTACTGGTTGGATTACAACCTTCTTCTCGTGAAGAGAGGTTTCGATCTTCCGGCCAAGGGAACCCGATTTTGGGGTATTTGCATGTAATATATACTAGTTTGTTTGGATGGACTTTTATAGGTGAGGGGGAGGAAGAATCGCGAACAAAAATCACGTGCGTGAAGTCGGTGAGGAGCCTCCCCCTGTTTGAAATCTCCAACTCACCTCAGCTGTATCCATTTCCCATACTTTCTAATAGCAATACTTAACAAAGCATCTGCAACCAACTTCCTCTTGAAGCCTAAAGACCAGGGACCAGAGGGCAGACAGGCGGTCACTACAGTATGTCGCTCGTTGGCTTGTTCATACTGTTCTTTTCCGGAAATCAGTCGATTAATTTGGAGAGTTTAGCAACGCAAACGAAGGATGTCAGTAAGACACCAGTGTCTGTTAGGCGATAGATTTTCCCGGCCACTATGTCGCTTTTAACAAACAACCAGCGGAGAACAAGCTGCAGAGAGAGACATAAATTCTACTGGAGCGGAAAGTCTTCAAAGGCACTATATACCTAAAAGCCGTTAAAAATGTCGAATTCGTTTTCTGATGCCACCAATGTAGCGTTCCAAGGGTGGAAGAAGGCATGAGGTTGGATACATGTATTACGAAGACGACATGGCAAATGATGCCTGAGCGTGGCCCGAATGCCAGCCCACGTGTATAGGGGCCAGACAAACTCTAAAGTGACCTCTAAACCGTTGGTATTGCATAAGCAAAGCATTACAGATGTACGTTCCAAAATTTGCCTTAAAAATGTGGCGCTAAAAAGGGCGTTTATGTGAATACCTGACGTTTGGGGATCACTTTAAGACTTTGTTTGGTCCCTGTACGCGTGGGCTGGCCTTCGGGCCACGTTCAGGCCTCAATCGCCCTGCCGTCTTCGAAATACATGTATTTAATCTCATTTATGCCTTCTTCCAACCAATGGGAAGCCTCCGGACGCTAGACTTGCTGCCGTAGACATGGCTCACACTATTGGACAAAAATTGTGATGGCTTATTATTATGGCCAATTTGGCGCGTGACACACTCAAAAGTTGGTACAAAATAGAGGAATATTTTACGACACAATTATATTTGAGTTAAAAACTCAACGTTGGTTTTCTCCCAGCAAAGTAGCTACAAATCCATCCTAACCTAGAATGCTTGCTTTACATTCATATATACTTATTTAAGCTAGGCGATCCATATTCATTTGTCCACTTTAGGGTAGGCCCATTTTTTTCAATAACTTGACCCACAATTGTTTGAAAATCATGTACTTGTGACCTATAGCGAGACGAAAACGCCTTTTTCGAACTAACCTGGTCTAACACAATGGCCTTTGCGTGTGCTCGATAATGACCTGGTGGTCGTCCATAAGTAGTGCTTCTAAGCTGGCAACTTCTGCCCTCAAGGAGGCTCAAAAGAAACTTGATAAGGTTCTCGCTATAGATGATGAGGATCCTCAGAGCGACAGACAAGGTATGTATTGCGAAGTCTTTGGCTAGTTAAGACTTGCATTCCTTTCGGTTTTCTGTTTTAAGTGTCTCTAAGTTTGGTAGCTGCATGCCCATCTTGAGGCATTTAGGACAAAGTTATGTGAACGTTGGATACATTTTTTCTTATGTTGGCGCTTTGTACCGTTATGGCGCCTTCGTCTTCAGCTTTGTTGCGTCGAATGTTTTGTAATACGTTGCTCCAAGTGGGAAGGTGTCCTATTTTCAAGCTTCATCTGCTTTATCATTAATCCTGCCTTCTACTAGCATTATTAAATTGGGACTAGTAGTGGTTATGGGTTATGACGCATATTACGTGGATTTAACCACTTGCTGATAAATTTCACTGCTTTGAAGCTCTCAAACGATTCATACGCCAAAACCACTTCATTGGTCGGTACCTCTTCTTTTTAGGCTGGAAGACATTTCCGATTTTGACTGTGCTTTACAAGTCGTCAGTCAATTTGGCATAAAATTAAGCTTAAAGTATTTCATTGAATGGGATTTAAGGATTGGTTGAATTTCGAGCGCTTACAGCAGTACCATTATTGTGCGTCCTGTGCTAAACTTTAGACCATCGTTGTATATACTCGAAGTATGCACAATGACACAAATGCGCATAATCTACTAACCATTCCTTTATAAGACTTTCTTCTAGTAGATATTTTATGCTTAGGTTAGTAGATAACTGTCTTCGAGATCTGTCTTTGAACGAAAGAAATAGTTTACAAATTAACAAGACTTACATTTGGTGTGCATGTCTAACCAATTCAAGTCAGCGATACAAATTGCGCTGGATATGTTGTACGGGTTATGCAGTCATCAAAGTTAATTAAAAACAAACAACTAATGATCTAAGAGGTTGCAGTGTCCTGACAATTTACTTAAATCGTTTAACAACTTCCAAGGCCAATAAATTGCTGCTGTCAGCAATTCTCGTCCCCTCAGGTTCCTGCTTCCCGATTTCTTATTATTATGAGTGCTGCTTAGAGCAAATGAATGTCACCGATGAGCTTGTCTACTCGACCAAATAGGATGAACGCGCTTCTCAGAGTCCGGCTGTGGAAGCTCTTAGCATCATTATTTGAATAGAGTTTGAAGATCGCACAAAGGCAGGAAACGACAGCAGCATATGCTATACCAAGATGGTCTATAGAACTAATCCGATTCCAGACGAATAGTTTCCTTTTATTTATTGAATGGTGGAGGATCCGACGTGTAAGTTTGTGTATTTTAGCCATCGCATAATAAGTTAGTCTACCGTTACCGAGTTTTTAACCTCATAAACCTGGCATGATTTGAATGTTTTGTTTCAAAATAATCCGTGCCACCTGTTCACTTGTCGATGTTGGAATTGTTTTTCTTTGCAATGTACGAGGAATAACTTTCAAAGTCTCAACGTTTTACTGCGCTGGTGAAATTTTCAATGAATTTTTTTCCAACTCTTTTTGTATATTAGCTGTTATAAGCTCGCGCATCGTCTTTTGACCAAATATTTTCACTTTTTCGTATTGTCGGCATCATATGCTTTTGACAAAATTGGTCGTAGATTTGGTAAATTGTTGTTAATTATGTACGGACCGTGATTTGAGTCTTCGCATAGTTATCACAGGAAGAATGTTTAAATACAACTGCGAAGAGCTCTAGGAAGTGTGGTCTGAATATATTGTATTCCGTTTTCCCTCTCAACACGTTCTAAAAGCTGTCACTGATATCTACCATGGATTGCATTTCCAAGTCGTTAAACATTTGTGATCTTGTTGCGTCCAATATAACCACAAAAATATTTGACTCTTGTTGTGTTTGGCACTTATATATATATTGGCTTAGTGTTAATGGAATTAACTTCTATTAGGTTTAATGGTTATCTTCAAAATGTTTGCGCCATTCTAACGCTTAATTTGTTAAGGCTTGTTACTGTATAATGGGTGCTCATGACCTTCAGAAGAAGTTGATTATTTTCGATTTCAAAACTTTCTCCAATGCTATCGAAAAACAGTAGTTTTAACTCGTCCACTGCAGATGTGCTGACTTACTGGTTACTGGTAAGTCATGTGCGGCCCACTTCTTTAAGCAGTGCTATCGCTGTAGTCGTCCATTTAAATCTGTAATCGCGAGTCTCCGGCTAATTTAAACACTCTCATCACATGGCGGTAACCTTTGAGAATTATAGGAGGGGTAAGTGCAAGTCATTCCATACAGACTATGCTGGAGTACTGTTCCGTAATAGGCGAGTAGTTTTAATGAATCGATCTTATATTTGCAATTGATTATATCATTGAATTATCTGGTGTCTCCTGCTTAGATGACAATTTCTTTCTTATCCCCGGGTCGTCAACAGAGCGGGCGATGGTTGGTTCGGCACCGAATGGGGTCCCTGCAGGGGAGGCACTGAAATGCCATCGGCGTGCTTCCTCCTCGCTGTCTTCCGGTCCGATGCCCGAATCGGAGGCCGGGGAGGACATATTGGAGCCAAACCCTCTTGCGCATGTGGGTCTGCAGTCATTTATGTCGTATCTTATGGTTAACTATCATCTGTCGCTAAAATGATCATACTTTATACCGATTTTTTTGGGCAGACCATTTTTAGTTCCTTTTTTCTTCATTTTATTTAGGCTTTTGTGTTCAAAAATATACACTGTCAAAGAAAAAGATGGATGCTTATTGGTTGCGATTATTTTTCATGCTCTCAATTCACATAAGAAAGTTAAGAGGCTCGAGTTAAAACCATGAAACGGATGTTTTGAAACCGTGAGTGAAATGCTTGAGTTCTTTCCACCCTTTTCCCCAGGTTGGTTAAATCTGTCTGCGTGTGGTTCGGCTTCAAAAACTTGTTTGCTTATGCGAATCAGTCGACTTTTGTGTTTACTTCCCTTAAGCACGATTCGATCCTCGAAGTGCAACTGACAATAAACGTACCACATCAACAAGTAACTTGATGATTCCCCTGGGCTAAAGTACTGCAAGGCTCACTTCCCAGTAGGGTAACACCAATTCCAATTTTGCGTCAATAAAGATGCATTTTTATTCAGATGGATTCGAGAACTAGTGCTATTTTTGGTAGAAATTGCATTCAAGTAGTACGAACGCGTATGGTATGTGCTCGTCCAACTGTTCTTTCCTTGTAGACTCATTTTCTGTGTAGAATTGCATGCTGAATACACTTGAAACTCCCTACTTCTAAATCCTCTGTGCATAAAAGAATGTGGTAGTCATTCCTCATTTTTACGAGTTCTACGATCTCGTTTGCACATTAGTTTTATCATTTGCAGCATCATTTTAATCGGTGTTCTTTCTTAGTCTTGAGGTGCAGGTGAGGAATTTTTTTCTGGTAGCTTATTCGCTGTTATCATGATTTAAGCTGCGCCCATTGTGATAACCTATCTATGACTGACAAGTTGAAAGTGTGCTGGGAGTGTTTGCCGTCGTTAAACGGTCAAGACCAATTAATGGACCCTCAGTTGCACTAAGTTCTTCGTTAACCTAGGAAAAGTAACGGTACATTTTTGCTTAGGGACGCATTCTTATTGCTCTCTTTATTCCTTCCTTTCCAAGGGGAGACCATCAAGCCTCGTTTCAGTCTCAGACGCCGCATCATCGCTCTCGGTGCCTCAGGGCAATGTCTCCAGCCCAGTGGAGATGAGCATTTCGGGCACATTGAGCGCGGATCCAATGAAGGCACAGACAGATCAGGTAGAGGTGGAGAAGACGGAGGAGGCCGCCCCAAAACTTGATAATCCTCCCTCTGAGGCCCGGATTGAAGTACCCACCAGTGGAACCGCGTTTGCCTCTCCCTCGTCGAAGTTGCGTGTTGATGAAGAATCAATAGCTACTACTACTAGCTCAGAGATTGAGGTCATCTCTACATGCACTTCTGTCTATGAGGACTCGATACCCCATCTAAATACGTAAGACTTCTCCAGCGATGTGATTTGGAATGCTAATCTCTTCGTTGTTCCTCTGGGAGAATCGATACCTGTGTGAAATGCCAGGCTATTCGCTGCACGAGTTTATGCTACACGTCGAAGTTATTTCAATGATTTATTTTGAGGCCTACTTTTTTCCCGTTTTCTATCGAAGTACTAAATCGAAATTAGCTTCGCTATTATTATGTACAGAGATGTGAATGACATAAGCAGAGCTGAAATGAAACTCCACAATAACCTTATTGTCCAACTCCTGAGATTCTGGCTTCTGCCCATTACTAAGCCTTTACCAAATGGTGTTATTCTCTGGATATGGAATTCGATGCTCTGGTTTCCTTTGGCAGCATTAGGATGTCTCGTCTTAATATTTAAGAGGCTTCTATTATCCTGTAATATGCAATGGTGAATAAAAGACCGCATGAAATCATACTTAGAAGGAACGACATTACAGCTTCAAAGCTCTTTCTACTAGTCGTAATTCTACGAAAGGTCATGCGGAGGATGCTATTTGAGAACTGAAATTTTCCCCACAATTTTCGATTATTTAAGCATCAGGCTTCTGTTAAGCAAATGAATTGGTATGTAAATCTATCGTTGCTATACGCAGCACCGTATTAAATGCATCTCAAATGGGTTCATAACTTTTGTGCATTCACTGAGTTTAACTGGAAGACACTAGCCCGAGTCTTAATAGATGTTTATGTATTGTCCCGCAGCATGTTTTGTGACACCTTTCATTACAATTGTGTAAACAAGTAAACCGCGGACAATTGGGTTTCAGCAGACCCTTAATCTTTCTGCATTGGAGACCTGCGTTATCCATTCTTACTTCTATTGAATTTGGCTGTTCGTCTTGCCAGTTTTATCGTCTCTTTTTTCTCCTTTTCAACTTAGCAGTCTGAATCGTTCAATCATCGGCACAGGCGTTATTGGTAAGCTTAGTGCCTTATTCCTCAAGAATTTTCACCGGCAGTGAAAATGAGATGGTAGTGAGAAAGACACTTTAGCTGACAAGATTTTAATTCCTGTTGCAATTCTAAACCGATATTCTTCCAAACAGACGGCGCTACTTAAGACAGACGGGTAGTATGGGTGATATTGATAGGCTAATAAATCATCTGAAATGTGTCGAATTTCTCCAAAATCATATACTTCTAGTTTTAAATATCAAAAGGTAAGCATAACAAGGAAGTGGTCCCTCAGATTTCGTTAACTTATTATTCAAGCACATTGAAGTTGTACAAATGAGAGATTAAAATACGACCGTTTCCAATGTGGCAAGAAGAAGGCATAAACTGAATCTAAATGCTCGTTTAAACATAATGTCACACTTCTGGTATAGATAATGCAGTGCTATAAGTATGCTTCGCTTTTTCACCTTTTGTCTGATTGCTTAGTCCGTATACTCCCTTCTAAGATCCTTCTTACACCATTCATTGTTTCCACTTCGACTTCCAGGCCTTATTTGGCCTGCCTTAAAATGTGAATTCCTCTTTTCAGGTGCTTCTGCCAATCAGGATTTACTCCATCAGGTCAGCAAAAACTCTGTTTCCAAATATCTAGCCACCCAGAATATCAAACTTTTCATTGCTATTTGTACTACTTTCACCTACCAATTACCATTTATGTCTAGCCGAATTCGTCAAAAATTTTTTGTTTGAGTTGCGCATTCATAGTAAAAGTTTGGCAAAAGAAAGTTGGTGGCTTTTGCTGCCAGAAGGTTGCTTTTTTGCCCCTTCGTATAAATGATGCGCAACACAAAACAACTCTAATTAAGCGCTTTCCTACGACACATAATGCCATTCATCTTCGTTTTACTCGTAGGGTTAAGTACAAATAATTACCAACCTACACTGGACGTATTTCAAACAGGACAATAAGTAGATGCTCATCCCATCGTTGACACACTGCCTGGTTCTTTAATTTTGGTCGCCTTTTTACCTTTTCCACGGTCTAACATCCTTAATAGTATTTGACCACCCATTGCCAATGTCATCGAAATGTGGGCCATTTGGAAGATGTAATCACCTTCTCCCTGAACCTGTTTTCTCCTCATAGAATAGTTTACGGATTCTGGTCACAACCTCCTCTCGCGACATGAGATCTTGCGCTGGATTATGGGGATAAAAACAGGTTCTTCTTCCCACCAATTGGCTAAGGCTGGATGTTTCTAAGATTAGGCGTTTCTCTCACGTACCCTCAAAGCGTAATGGAATAAGGAGCTAGGCTTCAAACGTAGTTACTCGGTCTTTGGATCGTGATCAATTCTTGCTTAAAGGTCGCGTCTTCAGCCCACCTCCTCCGCACACACGCACACATACAAAGTAGTCTCAAGGGGCTGAAGTGATAGGGAACTTAGATATATGGTGTGGTTAAGGAGTGGCTCAGTTGTTTATAATCACTGGTATGCCTGTCAGTCTAGCAAATGCAAGACTTCTGCATCTGTTTCGCATCACACTCGAAAACCAGTTCGCAATGCATGACGCCCTTTCATAGCACAAATGAAAGAAGTAACGCTAAAGCGGATAAATCCCGGAATCCATCGGTATCGTTTATTAAATTTTTCAATTTTTAAGCGGAATTCGCTTTCTTACCTCATTTTACTACTTCCTCCTTGACTCAGTGTCGTAGTCGCCAGGCTTGACTTTCACTGTAGTTCTGAGCCCCTTGACATGTTAATTCGAAGTTACGGTGGTAGTTATGATACTCATTGCCTCACAGCTTGGGTGGAGAGGTTAAATCTTTCCTTCTTAAAGTAAAAAGAGTTCTTCGAGCCAACTTGAGATATCACATGCTGCTATCGTTTCCTGCCTTTGTGAAATCTTCAAACGCTAGTCAACTAATGACGCTAAGGGTTTCCACAGCCAGGCTCTGAGAAGCGCGTTCATCCTATTTGGTCAAGTAGACACGCTCATCGGTGACATTCATTTGCTCTAAGCAGCACTCATAATGATATGAAATTGGAGAAGCGGGAATCTGAGAGGTCGAGAATTGTTGACAGCAGCAATTTATTGGCCTTTGAGGTTGTCTATTTGTTCTTTTTAGCAATTTTGGAAATTTTTGCCGCAATTGGGTTAAGTATTCGAACAATATAAAAGACTAACTCTGTTTACTGCATCTTGACTCCTCTCAAACCATGCCAGGTTTAGCTATGACCACACATTTCCTAAGCTTCAGTGGCAAATGTATGATTTTGGTGCCTTCGTGTATGGATATAGGGATAGCAAACTTTGAACTTTTCACTACCCATAGAAACTCGCTGAAGCGACAAAGTTGCTGGAATCTCGGGAAGCGAAATTGGTGGAGGTCTGTCGCACTAATCTATCTCTTCAGGAAGTGAATGAGTTCCTCCACGCGTAGGTCAACCTTATTAGCTCCTGAGCCTACTTCTTAACGTATCAAATAGGCGAGTCTCTTTGCAGCAAGCTCGAGGAAGCTGGACTTCCCCACGACTTCAATGCGGCAGACTTGCAGTCTCTGACTGATGAGTTTACGGAGCGATTGGCTACCACTGAGAGAAAGCTGCAGGCTATAGTACGAGAACGCGATCAACTTCGAGCTCAGTTGCTCAGCGCAAATGCGTCCACTGAGCAGACGGTACGGCATGCCTACGGTGAGCAGGAAAAAGCTCTTCGGTAAATTTAAAGCTAACATAGCTGTGTTACTAATGCAATATAAGTACTCAGGCTAATGTCTTCTTGTGGTATGCTAAGGGTAAGATGTACACGACTTGAAAGTTCTTTGTCAGAGAAGGAAACTCAACTTGCCGACTTACTTGCGGAAGGGAATAAGATGGCTCAGGAACAGTTGAAAACTAACACCTTGATTAAAACTCTCCGCTCAAAAGTGAAAACTTTGGAGTTGGAAAAGGAAAAGTTCAGGTATGTCTCCTTCAAAAATGAGTACTGCGCGATTTTAACGATCATTTTATCCAAGAAATAATTTTGATAACATTATTTTAGTGTTAATTTTACAAAGGCTCAAGTAGAAATCGAAGACCTAAAATCCGAAATTGCTATCCTGCGGGGAAATGAAAAGAAGCTTCAGGGTAAATTCTTGAATTTCAAAGTTTATATTTCTTATAACTGTTATCAATCCAACTGCTTGAACTATTAAGATTGGATCACTAGCTGTGCATCACGACTCTTTTCCATCGTTATTTCCACAGTTCTTATGAAGCATTACTATGTTCAAACCATTTCTTGGAAGACGCCTTCAAGTTCAATTGCATTCCTAATCATCGGCTCTAACTACTTTTAATGACCATTATTCCCTTGTCGAGTACCTGCTGGTACTGTGCAATTTTTTTCAAATTTTAGACGCTTTTGTCTTCTTGATGGATTTACATTCGTACGCTTTGATATTTAACATTAGTAGGACTTGCGATTCCCTATATTTCCTTAATCTTAACATAGGCGTTCACTGTTTTCAGAATGAGCATGGTCACAAACAGTAATGACTAGCTTATTTGACCTAATTTAGGATTTCGAAATTACCACGAGCTCTTCACTCCTACAAAAACAACTTCTGGGCTAGTGTCTCTTCTTCACACCATCCAAAATTGTTTAAAATTGGTGCGATCTTGTAAAATTTTATGGACACTGGTGTCACGACAGCGATTTTACATCTGCTTTCCTTTGTTTACTTAGAATCCCTCAATCAACTCAATCGTAAAAATCTGAAATTGGAAAAAGATGTGCTTGCCGTAAAGGTAACTGAGCCCTCTTCTATCTCCACTCTATGCTTGTTTGTATGTTCAACCACGGCGACATCCACCCGAGTGACACTTTCGACTATGTTTTGTCTTAGAATGAACTGGATTCGTCCAAGGAAAAAGCGGAGGCACTTGATCGTTTACGTCTGGAGCTGGAGAGGTAATTTATCATTCTTGAGAACTTTGATTTGTCTGCTTTATATCTACAAAACTCGAGCGATTTCGCCTCGTCTAGAAACTTTGTTGAGCTGCCCTTAGTGTAGAGTCTGACGATTCCAAGAAACGCTGCTTTCTCTCCTCAAATGTGCTTCCACCTAATTTTGCTAATTGCTACTAAAATCCCCGAACTTTCAACTTTGGGTGGTGCAGTAACAACACAATCGCTGTCTGGAACTGGGGTCGTTACAAGATGCTATTTTCATAAGATTTTGGTGGCTAACATTTACGATGGACTTCAATCGCTGTAACAATATGGAGCGGAAAAATAATGGGATCACAATGAATAAAGCTACTTCTTTTGCTTTCCTATGCAGAAGATACATTTTTATCCCATCATACCTCCCATGATGGATGCCATTATGCTTCCAGGTGAATTGTGCTATTTTATAGTTAAAACTGTGACTTCCTATCCCACGTTTAAAACCGTATGTTTTGACGATGGCAAATATTGTTTGCTTCCAGCTTGCAGTTCTTACATTTTACCCTGCAATCTTTGTCTTTTTCGCATTCTTGGAACATACCTATTTGGAATCCATTCCAAGTTTCGGTTCTTTCCCATTACTTGCAACTGTATTCTGGGTTTCGCTATCAAAAGTTGTCTAAATCGTAACATTTTTAAATTTCTTTTTCGTTAGGTGAGTGAAAGTTTTTAGTTCCAGGATTGAGGAAATACCCTCTTCATTACTCTGCTCCCATGATATTCACTCACACTGGTGATACTAGTCCATGTGGGCTTAGAAACAGTGTCTCGTCTGTGGTTTGCTAAGAGCTTTGCTTCTACCAAATAGTTATCTTCTCTTCTATGTTTTATGCCCTTCTCTCGTTCTTCATATCCCCTTTGCAGTAAGTTATCTGATAGTGCAATGGGCCTGGCGACAGCCCAACGGGCGCTCTCGGAGGCGCAGACACGCACAGAGACGATTCGTGATGTGGAAGAGGAACAGCAGAGCCTTCGCGATGAAGTGAGTACTCTGCGCACTCAGCTTGAGGAGACACGGGTGACTGCGGTGCGCCAGAAGCTGGACGCTGAACAACGTCTGCAAAGGGTGCGGCAGGAGGTCAACCACTATCGTGTACGCAATTTTCGCAACGCATTTCCTTGCACTTCCGCATCTCTTTCATTGGCCATTTGGTTCTCAATGTCCGCCCACCACTACAAGAACCGTTTTATTCTCCTGAAGGGCAACGTAGAGCTAGCTCTTTGTTTGTTTGTTTCCAAACACACAGTTTGATGTCTTGGCTCCTTCTAGGCTCATTTGACTCCTACTAATTTAGCTACTGCCTTTGCAGAACAAACTTGCTCTTTTCTCATGTCCCGTGAGATTGCGGAAGTTGATGAATTATAGATCGTCACATTGAGTGCATGCTAATAACGTCTGGTCTTTTGCTCTGTTTGAGGTGGTTTGGGACTTTTTTGCGTCTCATCCCTATGCATTTTGGCTCTGGTATTCTTTTAGCTATCCTCGTGTTGTGGATTCATCTCAGATTCAGTACTTGTTACAATTAGCGTTAAATTACTAGGCTTAGTGACTTTGATTTCTTTCCTATCATGCAGTTCATAACGCATAAACGCATAAACCCATTGGTTTCTCATGTCTGCATACGTGTTCATCCAAATATGAAAGTCAACTTTCTAGTGAGCTATCTGCGGTGCTCAAGTTACCCTTAATTCTGCCTACGCAGAGTTCCTTTCCACCTCGTATTGACGTGAACAAACAGAACCGATTTCATTTTATTGTAATATAATTCACAAACACTTACTTACCGTGTAATCACTTATTTTTATAACACCATGTCAGGAGCAATTAGCGGAATCAGAGGCACGTTTTGAGTCCCTTGGCGAGACCGCGACCTCGGTGGCAAAACCGCTGCTACGACAAATTCAAGCCCTTCAGGCCAAGATGGCTGAGCAGGCGAAAGCCTCAGAAGCCACTGAACAGAGTTTGTTGGCTCTGGTTGGTGAGTTTTTTACATATCTGTATCAAACGGCTTGAAAGCAAAACGAACTATTGCAACTGCTTTCCAAAAGCCAGTAAACCGATGTTTCGAGTGCTGACCTCAAGTAAGTAGTGAGCCTGGCGTACACGCTGTACAGATTTGGGTTTAAAAATTATTAGTTAATAATAATAATAATTTCAGTCGCACCAAAGCCTTACTCCAAATCCTAACAATGGTAAACTGAGCCATGGCGATGGTTAGCGGCACAACGCCTTGAGACGAAATTACTATTAAATTCTACACCCATCGTAACGGAACACGAAAACGTACACTAAGTTCCCTATTTTTTGGCTTTAGCGGATTTGAAAAAGCGCTTGGACATAGCAGAGAAAGCAGAACGTTTAGTTCAGGAGCGTCTCAATGGCGCAGAGACTGCAGCAGATGCTCTGAAGGAAGAACTTGCTCTAGAGCGAGCGGCTTCCAGTCAAATGCATGACCAACTCTCTCAGCACAATTTGCAGGCCTCCTCTGACAAGTCTCATATTGAAAAGTAAGTCCTTAATTACACTTTCAAGCCTTTTGTGTAAACAGATATCCCGCATTGTTTCATATTTTTTGTAGCATTATCTATAAGTAACTTTAAATGTCCCCTCTTAACCTATACCATGGGCCTAAAGTTTCTATTTAGCTCGACTGTCGATGTGATGAAATCCTTCCCCCGTCTCTCTCGTGGTGGCTATTAGTAATGCCTAAAAGGTGTAAAAGAATTCGCTAATCTTAAAGGCGCTTTTAGTCGTCATATGGAAAATCTCCATGACCCCACGACGGTTGAGGTTTTAAAAATGTGTGCAGACCATTTTACCATGAAATCCTTTCCTCTTTTGAGTATCACCAATAAGGATCTCTATGATTGTTCTGCTACTACGAGGCCGTAATAAAACGATACGAAGTTCTCCACACTGCATTCTTCAAATCACTGCATTTTCAGTCAGCCTCAGCAATATCAACTCTCCGTGACCTTTTACTGTGGTATTGCCAAAGGCATAGTATTACTAAATAGTCTGAAAGGAAATTACTAACAAGGTATTGAAGTGGCGTTGGAACTGTGAAGTATGGAAATTTGTGTCTAACTATATTTTCGAGCGACCAATGCATTCGCTTCTTTTGTTTTTTAACAGTTATGTAGCCTCATAACTCCACTGTGTTGTAGTAACCAAGGCAACGTCTCATGTCCCTTTGTCATGCGTTTGGGCTTAAGTTTGCCTATCCGGCTGGAACGATTGTTTCTCTCACTGCTTGCGTGAGAGTACGGCCCATACTTCTATGTACGATCACGAAACCTACTAACGCCAGTTGTCGATTTTTGTGTCTATCCTGCTTCATGTGCCCTCCTTAGTAGGCGTTTGTCTAGTCTAAAAAATTTTTTTGCTAATTAAAATCCTTTTTTTGTGGCTAGATTGGTGAATAAGGACGTTGGTGGGCTAGGTGTCTGTATCTGTTTTTTTTTCGAATAAGCAATATGTTCTCATGGATGTTTGTTTTGACATTACTGAATTAAGGGAATCAATCTTTATCCAATATTTTTTCGGTCTACTTCCAATGGAATTTTCTCATTTATTCTCCTCTTTATTGTCCAGACTAAACGCCGAACTGGCCTCCCTCCATCAACAACTAATCGCAGCGGAAGATGCCTGTGATACAACCGCAGCCGCCTTGGTCACGGAAAGAGAGGAGGTGCTTGAGCTTCAATCAGAGCTTGCTCAGGTGAAAGCCGATTTGGCCCAGGCACTGGCTAAAACGGCAACTACCACCGCCACTGCCTCCACTTCCCCTCACCCGATCATGGGAACAAACTCGAGACGATCTTCCGGCACCCAACTGTTGATACCGACCTCTCAGGTTTATTGCGGTTCTTAAGAGGAGTTGATTGGCGTTAGATACGACACTTGCTTTTATTTGTTTAGTTTCATAAGGTTTAGCTGTTAAACCAGATCTGAAGCCTTAACGTGGTGTAATAGTTGGCAAATGGCGCGATTTGTGGTCATTCAAGTTTTCAGGGGATGTGCATAACACCCTAATGATTTTAATGGTCTGGCTATTGGAAAATTCTGTCCTATGTTTCGTGCTTTTGCCCTTTAAGTCTTCGTTCACAACTAAAATTTATGTACTTATTTGTTGCATGTTGGTTCATCAACGCTTATGATCCCGCCACCCTCTCAAACAGTTTTTTTGCGACCAACTTGTACTCATTCGATGAATAGGTTTATCAGATTTGCCAGTATTGGATTTCTAATCTCTATAATATCTATGCGGCTACTATCAAGTTCGCGAGAGTCTAAAGGGACAAGCACTCGAGACGTCATTCTGCCATAGCAGCCTTTTAACCATCTTTCATTTTGAATTGAGCCTAAATGGCAGAAATTTTACCTTCTAATATTAACGTAATTGTAGGACTCTGCTGCGAATCTCTTTTCGGAGACAACCGCGTCGGTCCAGCAGTGTTTGCTCTCACCCCCTCCGCGTCCGTCCCCTCTGCCAACAGGCCACTTCGCTAGTAGCCTCTCTTTCCTCCAAGTGAGGTCTTTGAATATGAAGCACAGTGTTTCGTATCCAGCCACCAACTTTTCGATTAAGCTATTTTACTCTTTTAATTATGGCAGCGTGTTTTGGTACGTGGTACAGAATGCTAAAAGGTATAAGTAAATAATTAGTTTGAGGATGGCGTTTCCATAACTTGCAAGTTTTTGAGGGAAGTAGTATTGGCTGTTATTAGGTTTTGTAATGCTGTTAGGTGTGTATAGGAGATATCTAACGTATTTGACCCAAACCCCATATGCACGTAATTTGCAATTTTGAAAGATATTTCTGAACTCCATTTGGCCACTACGTTGAATGGTTGTTGACGCCAATTCGCTTTCGTAAAGTGGGAGCATTATGGCTGCAAGGCATTTTTATACTCTTTAATTCCAGCTTTGATAGACAAGCTTCTGGACCATTTTTGTTATGATTCTTGCTAGAGAATACTTTTGATAAGTACGTTCTTGCTTTTATTTTGAATCACGTGTTTTCAGCGTTTCAAATGAGTGTCGACGAGAATCGCTTGCTCTCCAATCTTACTAACTTTATGATTAAATTTACCGTTTTGCAATTTATCATTCGCAAACGTATGTAGTTTCGTCAATTGTTTTGCATATATTGAATTAATTTTCCTTTTTTTAAACCAAAGTGTGAACCCAGTCTCCTTTCTTTTGTCTGACTGCTCAATCGATTCGGTGTTATGCTGGCTTGAAGGAAACCATTTGAAAAACTTATCATGGTCCCGGTTTTTTCACATTTAAACCAGCATAAACAACCTTTTATGTGGGTAGTTGCAAACTTGGTTAAATGGAAAGAAAGGTACCCACTGGTTTTTTTGACACTTTTGTCGTCGATTATGTATTCAGGCACTCATGTGTCTCACGTAGCTGCTTTCTACTGGTTTTGTAGCTTTCTTACTTCCCCTGTTGTTCTGCCATTGCAACCACTGTAATCATTGTCTTAGTTGGATGCCGTACCTACCGAAACATATGCATTTTTCTCCGATGAAAAGTCCGTAACTTATTTGAGCTTATTAAAGTCAATCTCTGTTTTATACAGTTTGTACAGAGTAAGGAATTCACTTCACTACCACTCGCTCAGCCCTTCAGCTCTGAATCCTTGACTCTCAATTCAACTTCACTCTATAACTTTTTTCGACTTGGTCTTTTTATTAACGGCAAGACACGTCGTGTGGGCGCAATTGCACCTATTGAAGGTGACATTCCCATATATCATCGGTAATTACCTGCCGAAGGCAGGTAAGGTACAGTCAATTAGGTAGTGATACGCAATGCTCAAAAAAAAAACTTAGATCATCGCCGGTAGTAGCGCCAACAAGGGCTGGCGGCTTTGCCAGTCCCACTGATCCCTATCCATGCTACTGTGCTATGGATTGACAGGTCAAATACCAGGATCTGACGAGGAGAGTCGGTGGAACCTATGTGCTATATTTGCAGCTATGCTATCAAAATCTAAAATGTATGAACAATTTTACACAAGGGGTACTTTACTTCCAGATGCCACATCAATGATCAAATTGAAGCTCTGATTTTCTTATCGAAGCCTGAACTCGCTTGTTGCTTTGCTGGCAAAAGTGTTAATCTTAGCTCTTCTGATGACGATTTTTGCTATCCTCAACATTAGTTCTAATTTCTAATTTACCGATAGTATAAGGGAGCAAGCCATAGTTGTCCACTGAGGAGAGTAAAAGTGCTAACTTAGTTGACCCTTTTACGCGTTTATGCGTTGCATCCCCGTTTCTGGCTGGCCTCATGCAGCACCAACTGCGTGAATGTACTATCTAGCTGTACTTCCCATTTCCGGGGTTGGTGACCTGCATGGCGTGCTTTAGTTGGTAGACTATCTGTCTCGGAGCTACTGGAGGTGTTTATGTTTAATTAAAACCTGTGAATATTTCAATTCAAAGTTAAAAAAGAGGAGCCGTTTTCTGTCAAGCATCACAACTTTAGACAAGTACATTGAAAACTGACACAGAAAATTGATTTGGATGAAGCATAATGGGACGATTTGCATTATATCAGCATTGATTTGAGCTGTGGTGCTTGTGTTGATTCCAAAATGAAACGATGCAGTCAATTTTCATCATGTACAATATAGACAGGCTCCATATTTTCGGCACTCCTTATTTTAAAGGCTTCTGTCTCCATATCCTTTGGTAATAGATGCTTGTCATTGTTATTCGTTCCTATGTCATATCTTGAGTTGATGTTTCGGGGCCAGACAATCCGAGTGCATAATGTGTCTGAGACTGAATGACCGGTATAGTTGCCATAGTTGGGAGTCGCTAATCTAAAGTGCATAGTGCACTGCCTTCACTATGTCGAAACACGTGTCTGTGGAAATTTAAGTGTGCGTGTTTGATGCTGTCCGCATGACCGCCACTACCAATATACACAGCCTGTTTCTTCTCACGTTACACCATCACACGAAGGCCGCTCCGACTCATTCCTCCTGCGTGAATCAACTCTCTCTATTGCTGCCGTCACTGTCATGTCATGTTTTGTTTCGTAGTTTGACTGAATAGGTGACGCAGGTCGGGACTGAATTAGCTCATTGAGTAGGTTCTTTAGTTCACGCCGTCAACTCCAGGAAAATTCATGTGCTTTGATTTGGTAGGTGATTATGCCTTCATGGATATAAAGTATGTTTGCTTCCGTAGGTCTACGTTTCTTTCGTTGAAACCCAACTAATTTTTGAACGAGGAGTAAGCCTTTCATGAGTTCTCTTATATCCAATCTTCATCTAGTGATGAATCCGAAAATAGCTTCACTGAAAGTGTGGGTGAGATATCCTAACATTTTTTGAGCTTAACACTGTCTGGCTTTTTGCCACATGCAGTACAAGTTTGTGGAATGTGTTAAAGTTAAATGGCATTAGTGTGAAAAGGTAGGTCAAATTGATCACGGGGTCCTACGTTTGCCTCAATGACTCTTCACATCATTGAGGCCTTCTCTAGTCTTCTTTGGGTTGTAACAGTAGCAGTAATAAACAGCCAAATAGCTTGTATTATCTGGCATTTCCTATTGTATTCTCACCGCTTGTCTACTGATCTTTTCTCACGCATAGGGCTTTGCACCACTGCTAGAATGGAAATGTACCGAATTGTACAAATTATTCTCTGAAGCACTTAGCAGTGGTCGTAGGCCTCTTATTATTGGTGGTTTTTTAATGCTTTTTTTCTCTCTTTCATGAGCGCCAGTCGTGACTCTCTATTTTCATCCCCTTGAGGCTCTTCCAGCTAAAGGGAAATGGTGATTTGCATTTCTGCTGCCTACTCTCTTTTGACTGCATCAAATATGCAGATGTCTGGTTGTGTAATTGCAAGGGCTACCTTATGTTTCACCTCATAAGGTTTCATTTGTTCTATGAACAGTAATTAATGCATTTTCAATTCTCCATCAGTTTACCCTACTGGGAAAACTTTTTTCCTTCTTTTTGACCTTTATCTCGTATTTCGGTACATCAAACAGGCAACGCAAGTTTCTGACGGGTAAACTGCGAATTGCAAACAGATCTTCAAAATGTGGGATCGATGGCACTTTCAGAAAAGCTTCATTACTTGTATTATTGTTCCTTTTTGCGGATTAATTGAGTAAACGTATGCTCGGTAGACTAGTTTACGAGATCAATTCAGCCATAGATACTACTTCCATAATGCCTTATCAGACGCCAATGACTGCTGAACCGTATTTCTGAGGTCTCAACATGACTGCTCGGTTAAGCATCCGAGTTGTGCTTGAACTACCAGTTTGGCAAAGCCAGGAGTAGTGATGCATTATTTACGAATGTGTGAATGACCATCATACTCACTTTCACATGCACACACTTTATGTGGGAAACTGGGGACTCTACATATCACAGAGCCTAATTTACTCATGCGCAGACCACGGGCATGTCGCCTGGGAAATCGGTACCATCATCACCCTATTCTTGACAGAACGCTTTGATGGAGAGAAAGCGAATTTCATGTTTGAATTTACTGCCTTGTTCCTTTGCTAATGACGAATATCTGCGGAGGTCGCAGCTTGTGTTTCTTCCTATCCATCTCCCTTGGTCAGTCACAACATCCAGTAACATCTAAAATGCCTCGTATATTTTGTAAAAAGTGTGCTCTGCTTAATGACTTTACAATTTCTCGCAATTTCTGAACTTTTTGCTTCATTTGAGCTTTAAGTAGGTTCGCCAACGTTTTTTGTAGACTTAGCAGACATTGGTGGTATCATATTCCTCTCCACACAAGTACTCCTTGAAACTCAATCGATGTCACTTTGTTTTCGTTCGTGTTTGTAATGGCATCCCAGAGTTTAAACGGATTTCCGTCTTGCTAGTGTCAAACAAACTTTTGATGCATTTCATGTGGCTTTAAGCATCAACTACCTGACTCCCGATTTGTGTGTGCTCTTCTTACTCAATTGTACCTTGCTTCGTTATGGGTCAAATGGCTCACTTTTATGGAGGATGATGCATGGTGGTCATCCTTACTTGAAGATGACTACGAGTTTTCACAAACTTTGCCATGACTTTTTTTGCGTTTCTCCTCCTGTTTGAAAATTTTGACTGGTTCATAGTACTCTACTTACTTTAATACTTGCTGAACAAAGGCATAACCATCGTATCAATTTTCTACACCACCCATATGTTCTCTTGCTTTCACAGCTCAAGAACTTGATCTATGAAGATACAATTCGGGAATAGAGAATGCTTGGTGGCGTCGTCAAAATGGCTTTGCTTTGAAGTGATTATTTGAGCTACTTTTTAAGTAAGATTTTTGTTATGCATGCATCCTGTGGCCAATTTAGTCCGCATTGAGGAAGATTTGTCTGTAGGCATTTCGACTAAAATGTTCAAAGATACACTAATGATGTGTTATGAATTTTTTGAACTTCTTTAATTGATTGAAAACTACACGGGGCAGAGAGCTCAGTACGGTGTTCATGCTAAAGTCAATTGGCCTAAGGTTCGAGTACACCATAAGGATCAAAACTGTTGCGTTCTCCAAAGCGATATCTGTGATTCCGCTTTACTGGTTTTTCTTCGTAACAGCAGTGGAATGTCATAAGCTCGGCTGGGACTCTCTGACCAATGGCTCTGTTAATCGTAGCACGTCAAGCTGGCGATTAGTGCAGTTCTTCATGTCTGACACCAATTACTCATCCAAACATCCGAGTACGACCAAGGCGATCTGAAGAAATTGAAGAAGATTGGGCTGTGTACTTTGAGTCGGAGCCAGTAAAGTTGTGGTCTTTAGCACCTTCAGTTGTTTCACTTCCTGTGGTCCCATACTCGACTTTATTTGTAATGAAGGATGGGATTAATTCCGATTCCCCAGTTCTCTGTTGTTCGGGAAATCTACCAGTCAACCGCGTGTCAGTAGGGAAGCTTAAGTATCACCATTAAAATGACGATTTCCCATAGTGTCTGCACAAGGAGCAAAAACTAGGACTCTAAGCGGTACCATTGAAGTCAAGACGTTGATTCGTTCACTAAATCCTGTTCTGTTGTTCTTTATGATGCTATGAAAAATAAGGTATTTTTGATGGGTTCGTCATAATCTATGCTTTGATCTCTCAATCTATTGATGAGTGGATTAAGTGCATTGCTTTTCCCATTGAATCCATCACATGGCACCATAATTTCCCAATTTAGTTACATTTTAGAAGCGCCGATTCGGAGATTCCTGTAACTACAAGCAAATCGCGTATCACGAACGTTCGTTCGATTTTAACTTACTTTTTACTGCTTATTACCTCGCTGTTGTAGAGTCTTCTCCGGCAACGTGAGGGCGAAGTTGGCCAATTGAGACGCGAGGTGGTGCGTCTCAATGAAACGCACGAACGTCTCCTCACAGCACTCTCTGAACAGACTGCGAAAACGGATCAGTGTACGTCGCCAGACGATTCTTTTCCGGCCAACGAAGGTGACCAGGACAGCCTCTTGCAACGTTACGATGTCCTTCTCCATCTCTATGGTCGGAAGTTGGAGGAGAACGAGGAGCTTCGTATGGACCTTCGTGAAGCCAAGGAAGCTTATCAAACTCAGGTATGCTTTTATCTCTGTTTTGCACTAAAGCAGTGCACTCCAGTCGCCAGGTTATGTTTAAACAGGTCATTTTAAAACTTCCACTATGAGATAAAAAGTTCTTTACCTAGTCTTGCATCGTTTACATGTTTTTGTCTGTCCCTTTTAGTTGAATGATCTTTTGAACAAACTGAATGCTGGCCGATGATATTGTAACTTTGCTTCTTCTCTTTCCTTCCTCGTTTCACAATGTTCGTCTTTCTCAGGCTAATCACCGCACTGCATTCCTCTCTACTCTTGCTCATCATTGGGGCTGCTATTGTACATATTTCAGTCTATTTTCTCTGCTTTACCCCTAATTTGGATAATTGGCACTGACGAAGATGGCGCTTCAGCTTGATTTATCAATGGATATTGTTAGTCCAATTGTTTTTTTCCTTGGGGCAAAGCAAATTTATTTGTGGGGAATGGGAGAAGGACTTTATTGCAAAGAGTCTTCCATTTGATAATCCATGTAGATTGGATGCACCACCAACTTGGAGTTGGTTATTCTCTAAGTGACAATCATTTTTCTTTACGCTGAAGTCATAGTTGCTGTTTTGCTTCCCTTAAATGTTGGGCAGATGTTCTCCCTCAGCATCATACGTTGAGGCACTTCCTTTCTTTTCATTCGAAGTAGGCAATTACTGGACGTTTGTATTTATTTGATTGGCTTGTATTTCATGTCGCCCAGCAATTACAACATGTTAGTGTAAAATAAGTAGCCGAAAGGATTGTGCAAATCAGATAGCGTACTCTCGTTTATTATCCCTTTAGCACGCACGTCGAGCTTCTCTGTGTTGATGGCTGTTCAGGTGTTTTGACATCTTCGTTCGCACAGCACTTGGTTTGACATGTTACATTGTTGAACTCAATTTCAGCAATTCATGGGTCGACCGTTCAAGTTCATCATCCACTAAGAGTAGCAATAGTGGTGGTCAATCACTTAGACATCATTTATAAAGTAGTCGAAACTTCTTTTACCTGCTATGAGGAGTTTACTTGAGTATCAAAGGGTACATTGTTTTGTCATAGCAAAATCTCCTATGGAAATATACTCGCATGACTGAAATGTTAAAATGTTCCATCAATTTCGTACTTTTGTGGGTGCATGTGTGTGTGTTCCCTCTCACTGGTCGGTATCCGGATCGAGTTGCGTTTTTGGCGTTCACTTGCGACCCAGATTGTACCCGCTAGGGTCGGAACTTGGACTCGAGGCTTGCAGCATTATTCATAAAGAACGCTAGAAGCTCTAAACTCGCTCTCATTTACCAATACGCGGTGTTTAGTCTGCCGAAGGGACTGTCCTTTTAGTTACTTAGAAATGCACCACTGATGGACAATCTAATAGCAGAATAAACCCCAAAATCGGATGTTTGTCAGCACCTTCATGCGCCACTTCACTTGCTTCAGCTGTACTTCATGTGAGACCAGCCGCTCCCTGGGCACCAAAGAAATGTATTAGCCCCCAGTTCGTTTGGTAGTTGGAACTCAATGGGCCTGATATCTCACACACTAGCCTGTTTGTCAATGAAAAATGGCTTCACGCATAAGACGGCGAATGACGGAGGTATCACTCGTTGTGGGGCATTTGGTACTCTGTCCGGCAGACTTTGAATTGCTACTGTGCTCAAATTAGTCGGATCTTGTTGTTCAGGATTAAAATTGCTAAGTCAAATTGGTATGGTAACAAAATAGACGAGAGGCAATTTAACGCGAACACAGTGTCAATTTCCAAGTTCACCGAAATGTTGCCAGCTTGAGACCAGTAAACAGGTTGGTACAAAATACACTAGCGTTGGTGCTGGTGGCAAAAAATTGCGCAGGTTTTTGGCTTAACAGATCAGGCGATTGAAAGGGGGGAGGGAGAGAGAAAGAGAAGTTGTGCATGTTCTGGTTTGCAGAGTTGGTTTTTGCGTTGACAAGCTAAAATCACAACAATTATGTTGACAAAAAAAGAGAGCGGCTTAAGTTTGTGGTGTGTCTGTTGGCATAACGCTGACCAGGACTTCGAGAATAGGGGTCAGCAAGACGACAGAATGCGCTTCTTTAACAGTCATTGTGGCATCAGACTTGAAATGGTAGCGAGCAAAATCTCGTGAAATGGACATCAAAATGTGATGAAAATGGATTTGGTATGGCTGTCGCAGTATAAGTATTTCTCCTAAAATATGGAACGTTTAAAAACGTTTTGAGCTTTATTGCACTGGTCTGGAAGGATGTGCACCACTTGCGCTCCAGGAAGCTGGAGTATTTGGTCTCCATGAGTCTCACCATCTACTTGTTAGATTTCAAAGAATTACTTTTACAAAAGAAAACAATTCTATAAGTCCGCCCTCTTCAGAAGCACAAACGCGGCGTTTGTATGAGGGGGCCTTTAGTATCAAATGTTTATTTGCCTATCGCAGTTGGCTGACTTGTAACAAAAACACAAGGAAGTAACCGTATCTTTAAATCAAAAGCCTGTACAATCTTAGAGTCTTCAGCCATCATGGCCTATAAGATTGTTCCCAAATGCTCGTTTCAAAATATGTCTATTTATGAGTTCGAAATAAACATTGAGAGAAATATAAAGCCGTTCCTTGGAGAGTTTCTACAACTAAATAGGTAAGAGGAAACCAGGACCTCTCTTACAGTGGTGGAAGTTGCAATATGCCAGCCTGCTTCCAAAAGGCGTAACGACGGGCACCATGGTGGCTCAACGCCACGTGAGTTAAAGACTTACAGCACTTGTGTAAAAATTTTAGGGGCAGGAATTTATTTGACACACAGCTTTTAATGTGACCATCCTGATATAGTGGCGTAAGTGGATGAGATGATGCTCCTTCTGCCAGACATACAGATTGAGTTGCCATTATTAAACTGTTGAACACGTTGTTGCATCAAGTTTAAATTGGCGGTTGGAAATAGGTGGCATTCCACTTAGTGAAGTTCTAAATTATGTATGTATTTTCAGCTTTATATGCCCACTCATCTCTCTCACTTGCATCTTTGACAGTGCACTGAGTGGAGTCACACCAATGGCTTGATCGTATTTCAGCTTCTATGATGACACTAAAAACAAGCATCACCAATCGGTTATGGAAAAAACTAGTGATCACAGATGACAGTGATAAAATTACTCACTCAGCCGATCAATGTACGGGGAGGAAGGTTTTTTAAAGGTGTCTAATCATCCATTTCGTCGTCGCCACTGAAGTGAGACCATGGGATACCAAGAATGAATAAGTGGTGGCTCTTAAACGGCAGTGATGGGATCTGTCCTATGATGCTTTAGTTGTCTTTTTAACTCAAGATTCCACTCAAGACCTCTGGACTATGTCTGTACTCCGATGGTGCATTTCTGCTCAAATGTCGCGGCACTTCTTGACCCTATAAGAATGTCAACCTGATGCAGTTTCGATTTTCTCCACTCCCACTTTGTTGGGTTTGAACGTGTTTGTAATAGGGATATATGTGTAGACAAAAAAACAAGCAGACTTGCGCTGAAGCAGCAATTTAGTGCAGCCTTCTTTTGTTTCAGCTATGACTGCAGTCACTTGAGGTTATGATCAGTGGATGAGATGATTGAAATTAATCAAAATTTTTAATTGGAACGAGCCATCAACTAGATGGCCGAGGTGATCAGTTTTCCCCTCAAACTCTGGCAGCGAACGTTTTACATCACCAGTGGAAGGGATTTGTCAAGCACATAGATATTGCATACTTTTGTGGAAACCAACTTATTTTAATTGATGTGGGGACATCAACGACACGCAGGTGCAATAGACTTTGCCACTTCCGAGTCTCGATAACACGCCTCTGAAGATCCCTTTGGACAGTGCCAGCCTTAGCTATTTCCGCTCAAGCTTATAACCGGCTCTAGCACATGTATCCCATCCCGAGCAAAAATGGGAATGTCGTGGACAATTTAAAGATATCAAGCTCTAATGTTTATGAGAATGTGAAAGAACTCGCACTGAAGACGTGATGATCTCCGAAGTCTTCAATCTACCTTAACAGGAACGGTTCTGCGTGAATGCGTTGAAATTTAGGCTTTCATAATCTTGTTCGCAATTGTTGTGTTGTTTAGGCTTTGCTGGTTGCATTAAGTGATTAGCGCTGTCAATACAGCAGCTTTTAGTGATACGAGTGCTTTAAAAAACGAATGAAGGTTTCTCACACCAGAGGTTGCATATCTACAATTTACAATCCACAATGTCTTCTCTGTTAACCGCTGTGCTACTAGATGGTAGGTAAATGAAATAGTACGAGCTGTCAAAATTCAAATCAAAAATTCGCTTTTATTAATTTCACCTTCTCTATGCACTTCAGCTGCCCTCTTCATTAATCGCCTCTTCTGACAGTGGTGGCGGCAGAGGCGAATGAAATGGCAATCCAAAGACTGAAAGGCGGTGAGCGGAGAGTTTGAGCTAGAGTGAAGGCGAGAGGGAAGAAGGAGGAAGAGAAAACAGGAAGGAAGTTTTTTAACGGCCTGATTGATGGTAAATGACGTGTGTGCGTATGTGTGCTTGTCCTGACTTCAAGTTAATTAGGCAATAAATACAGGAAGTGGGACAACAATGCGCACGCGGACAAACTGCAAAATCTGCAATCGGGCTAGCAGGTGGGGTTGTATCAAGTAATCTGTACAATAAAGTGCCGTAGATCTAGAGTTTTAAGAAGGCGGAGAGTCGAGCTGTCGGAATTGTCATTTGTGCACGAAGGTGCTGGACTGTTTAATATCAACGTGTAGTCGCGGTGGAAATGTAGCATTCAAGGCTAAACTGGAGCCCCTTCAGCGAATTTTCCGTTTTCTTTACCTCGGCTGTTGTTTCCATATTGCTGCATTGGAGGCTCTTCTATCACGTTGCTGTAACAGCGGATAAAATTCGTAGGGTTACAACAAGCTTCCGTAGAGCTAAAAGCAACTTTTCTTGGAAGAAAGAATGTAGGGCACATAATAGGCTACGCAGACAATGAGCAAACGTACACATATCTCTTGTTCTGATGTGTTCTGCTAGTTCTTTCCTCCCTGTTCTTATTCTTTGGGTAGAGACGACATTTGTAAACAATGATGAAAACAATGAATGCCACCACGAGTACACCCACCACCGTGCCCCCGATAATCACCTCAGTTCGCATGGCGCCGCTCTTTCCCCCGTCATCGCTTTTTCCTTGTTGTCCACTAGAAATTCCGGGGTTAGATCCACCAATGTTACTGCCACTACTACTTCCACCACTAATATCCCCTCTGGTGCTGCTTGAGGTCTCCAAAGGTCCCTTTTCGCCTTTCTGCTCCATATCCAGTTCACCCTCTGGGCAGAGTTCCTTCTCTGAAAGCTCGAATAACTGCTTTCCAGCGATATTTGGTGGTCCTGCACACTTCAGCTTTTGCAGCTCACTGAAATACAACGCATCCAAATTAGTCATCATCAACAAAGTAAAACGGCATAATAAGAGGATTGAACTCGATAGAATGCAAAATTAGTGGAAGTTTTTTCATTTATTTCACGAAGACTAAAGAACCGGCTGTGCTTAAAACTATCGAGGCCGGCGTTACGTAGCAGGCCTAAGTAAAAGGTTAGAGAGGGGTATTTTTGAGTCTTTAGCGAATGGAGGAAGCACGGTTGTGTAGGTTAGTAGGTTTTAGCAAATTATAGTGAGTCAGTCATTGCTCAGTTTTAGCATTCCATTCGAAACCATGAAATAATGCACACAAGTACCTCAGGGGGAAATAGCGGCTTCTCATGACGCCTAGCCACAACGATGATGATGATGATGATGATAGTTGTGTGGAGGTGGCACTAATTTAATTTATTGAAAAGATTCACCAAACTTTGAATGTAAGATCCCTTTTTCTCCTCATAAATTCTGCATTTCTCACACACAGTGGGGAATTTTAAAAACACTCTGGTACCAAAGTGCAGAGGCGGTAGTCGGTGAATTCATGCGACTGTATTTGGTGATACACTCATTTCAAACAATTTTGACAGCAATCTTGGATCGAGTAAAGGACACTTTAAGCGGTAAGCAGTTATTTTCGAGCCTGTAAGAAGTTAAGGAGACGAGGTGGACTGACTTGCCCAATTACTTATTTTGACCTTTGATTATAAGTGGCAGCAGCCACCAAAATCATGTTAATATTACTGCTGATGCAGTGATCTGCGTAACAGACTTGTGACCTTGGCACAGTCTTGAGGTCAATATTGCCTCTATAGGTTAGCAGATTGCGTCTCTGCCGCATGACACAAATTACTGGTGCAAGCATCTCCAGTCTCATGAATGTTGAGACAAGTTGGTTCGTTGCGGAAGTGTTTGGCGGACCAATATGGCCCACAATGAAAATAGGTACCATTGCAATTGCCTTTGCAATAACCTGTCCTTCGTTTTCATCAAAGTGATTTAAGCCTGCTTTAGTGCTAAAATTAGGCATTTTGCTTTGTCAGTGCCTCCCTCTTGACTTCTGGGTCAGACTCAAGTGTGACGAAGCCTTCAATTTTGTTTCTCGGCCATTTACCTCTAAATTACCGAAGTGCCAAACGGCATCATCGATGTGTGTGCCACTCAAATTACTAGGCAATGCTTTAAAGCCGCTTTGGGAGTGGTGAAGGTAAGTCTGATCGCTTGAGTAAGATCGAACGCCTCTCACCCATAAGTGCTAGGTCAGCTCCAGATAAGAGTATTTGGAACGTATGCATCATTCAATTAATGCCTAATCTACGGGAGGAATGCTAGTTGGTCCCTTAGAAGAAGTTAATGCACTGTTCCATCCAGACGATTGTCTGCATAATGTTAAACTAAACAAGTTTTATGAGCTTCCGACTATGTTATGTGATTTCAAACGCATTTGTAGCAACCAAAGGGACATGGACTGACTCGGAACCTAACGGCGTAAATATTTCTTTATTTTCCACTACTTCAATGGCTGTCTTGTTATTTGTCAAGGTAGCACGCCCTACTATAGGGCGGTTAACGCCCAAAAAGCGTTGTAGAGATTTGTAGTACCAGTGGAACTTCATTTATCCATTGCTTGGCAGTATAGCTTCAGTGGTTTTAGCACGATTTTGTGACTCATCGGTTAAGTAAAGCAGCACAGTTGATGTTCTCGGGATCAAAATGTTTTAGTGGACATTTTCGTTGGCGCATTTGACGTGATTAAAAAGTGGTGATCCAAAAAATTGGAGTTTGTAGTCTAAATTTCAACTGCTTGGAAAGTTTGGCCTCTTTGAATGGGTTAACGTGGCGCCTAGTGTTGATGTCTAAAGAAGTTGAAACACCAAGTTGATTGAAAAGTTTATCGCCGGCATATCATTCCAATTACATTTACAGGAAAAAGCGGAAAATAAACTCTGCCGTCAGAGACACCAGCAAAACTGTGGTGTGGAGCAAGGTCACCTCGACACGTTTTGCGCATGCGAACACGTCCTCTCTCACATAATCGTGACCTCAGGGGACAGCCAAACATAAGCACACAAACACATGAATAGGCATCGAGAGAAATTCTATACAATTGACATACTGTGGACAAGAGGACAAGAAAAGAGGTGAATGAGAGAGGTGCAAGAAGACGGACCAAGAGAAGCGTGGGCAGCACTGTCGGCTGGTGTCAGGTCGGACTACTCGTCTCCTGTTTATGTGAACTTAGGGCTAAAAGTGCAGCTAATGACAGTTAAATGAAGAAAATTTGCCTTTGACTGCGAGCGTGTATAAACGAGACGCAGACAACAACTGCGAAGACGCACATATATCGTAATCGCAGAACAAAGAAAAGCATTGTGGCATTTTGATCTCGTAAGGAATTATGCCATTATTTGACATGCATAAGACTCGTGACCGTCCTTTTTAGAGGTGGGCGTTCCCCCTCACATGCTTTTAATAGAGTGGTTAAGGAAATGGCTCCCATTTGCCGGCACTGCCCGTTTGTGAGTGTTTTGCTTCAGTCCTACGCCTAGGGTAGGACCAAAACAAAGTCATAAAAATCATTGCTTAACAATGTTGAAAAGCCGGTACATTAAGCTTGCAGTCATGTTCACAGTGTTGCAAAAGCTGCTAGCTGTTAAATGAAATGAATGGGCTCTCTCGCCTCTGAGTTAGCAGCTGCTATGAGTTCATAATGGGTCTTGCAATTTCTTTCCAATAATGCGAGTCAGTATTCACACCACAAGAATGGGTAGGGCGTTAACAAAAACCGCTTTATTTATTTGCAAATGCAAGTCGTTGGGTGTGACCTTGGTGCCAACTGACGGTTAAGGGTCACAGAAGTAGAAGCGGTTGATGTCGATAGGCAATCACGAACCCTATTTCCTTCCCTCACTCAATCAAAAAGTTAAACGCCAAAATTAAGGAGAGGCCACGTAAACAACCAAAGCGGTATGTACCATAGCCCTGTTAACAAGTTTTGGCGCTAAGAATGTTGACATGGGTTAATGCGTAGGGGAGTTACGAAAGTGTTGACATTCTCGCTTGAAGAGTTACTTCTATCGCATCATCACACCTTACGAAATGGGCAAAAGGCGCTGGAAGATGAGACGCAGGCTTGAGAAAATTACCTTACAGCATTGGGATTCCTCGAATCACTATGGGAATAAACTAGGCGTGAGAAATTTATTGGGCTTTGGCAATTGTCAACACAGTGCTAAATCAGCAACCAAGTCTATTCGCGACACCTTCACTTTATTTGGATCACGCACTGGTAAGTACGCAGACAGCGAATTTCAGTGTGGCTTCACCGAAGCCAAAGGAGGTGATGCACAAATTGACATAGTTTGTCAGTCTATGGGAAACAGTGGGAGCCGTTTCCTTTCATTTCCCTGTAAAATATCTTTCAGCCCTATAAAACCTTGTTTTTCCAAATCCAATAAACCAATGTGGAATTTATTTGTTTCGTTATTACCACAAAAACAAACTCGGAAAATTGCCGATGCACATACTCCCATTAATTTTAGAAAATGCTTTTGAACTACACAGCATTCGAAATCTCCTGATTTCACAGAAACGCAACTTGATTTGCAGCAAAGGTTTGCCCTGTCAACGGCCAATGGAACTATTTATTCATCTGCTTACTTACCTACTCGATTGCGGCAACAAGAAGTGGGCAGTGAAATTTGGAGTAAATTTTAGCATGATTAAATGAGCGACCAAATGAAAGTGGGGACAAAAATATACTCACCTTTGCACAACACCCGGTTGTAAGTGCTTAAGCTTCGCCATGGAACAATTGCAAATCCAATCATTGTCATTAATTTTCAGGCGGCGGGCGTCACTTTCTGTTAACCATTTGACCAATGCCTCCCATGGTAACTGCAAACTCTTACATTTCTTTATATCCAGTGAGCGTAGCCGAGGTAGGAGTTTCTCGAAATCTGCTGCTGTTCCAACAACCTCCGTGCTCATTAATTCTAAATCTGAGAGATATTCCATTTTTGTTAGGTCGGCAATGTTGACCTTGAGGCCGTTCGTCACCACCAAATAATTTAAGGACTTTTCCAACCCCTGAAGCATGTTTCTGTCCACCACTGCCGAGCCTTGAACGTTTCTGAGCGTCAAACGCTTCAGTTTATTCTTTCCTCCAACTTTGGCAAAGTAGCCTTCCTCCACCCTGTCGATGAAGGACCGCTGAACCTCAATCTTCTGAATGCCGCTGGTGGCTAGCTGTGGATCCACCAAGGAGAGACATGTTCCCTCTGGTAGCTGGGACATTACCAAGGTTTGGATCCCTGGACTTTGCAGGTCCTCTCCACTGGGTACCACTTCCCTGCATACGAGTACCGATTGATGCAGAGTGCAGCCCTTTTTGAGTATGACTTGTGTAGAACCTGTGTAAGACGAGATGATCAAAACGACGAAGAGGTCAAGGATGAGTTTCATGAGGCTTTGAGTTAGAATAAAATGGAGCATGGCGAATGAATGTCTGATCAGGGTAGTGGTGAGTGTGCGTGTGTGCGCGTAAAGGTTGGGGTGTTTTGAATGTGGCGAGTTGAAGCAATGCACAACTGACTCACCGAAGTAGTAGTTGCTGCAGCAACAGCCAATGCATGGAGCCCAGTGTCGTAATTGGTTGCACAATGCCGTTTACGCAGGCGCGCTCCCATACGCACGCACGAGGCCGTGCACCACAATGTGCGTTCCAGAAGCCATGCTATTGTCTCCCTTTCCCTAGCCCAATTGATGAGCAGCCATGTAGTAATTGTTTGAATGACATCCCCTGGCTTATGCCTTCAATGTCCAGTTAAGCTGTGCGGTGTCGATATTTTCAGCATCGTCAACAACGACAATCACATTTGGTGCCTTTAAAACTTTTATGTGAACCAGTTGTTTTCATTTGAGCTGATGTACAATTAGCTTAGGTAAACACTTGTGGTGAATGCGCAGCTGTTGCTTGCACTGTAAAATAACTGTTTAGCTAAACTGCCATGAAGTTAGCAACTGAGCATTTTGTCCTCAAAACACTTTACGGGTCAATTTTGCAGCCCCCTATCACTCATGAATCTAAAATAACTCCACTATTTGGGTTTAGTGATGGTTTGCAAATCAAAATGACAGAGGAACAAAATGAAATCCTAGAGATTCACCTCGACCCGCACGCGTAGGAGGAGGTTCGCCGCCTCACCCACACAGGGTCGAATCGACCGCTGTTCTCAAAAAATCGCCCTTTTAGGCCTTTTACGCTCCTTCCATCCACATGTCACGTGAGTTGATGCCACAAGGTTTCCCTGACTAGTGAAATCTACACATCACATAGTTGTCAACGCTGGCAGTATGCATAAAAGTGGCGGCAACACATGATATGCCAACACCTAATTTTCTTGTAAAGATGAATTGTTAGGAATGGGCTACACCACCTCAACTCACACCACCTCATTAAAGTTAGTCCATTTTGAACTACATTCGCAGAGCATTTTGACCAACTCCTGATAGCTTTCATGGAGCCTTCCATGACGCCAACATTCTGCAGAGTCATCTTTTAGCAAACTGGTTGTACCAACTTCGCTTACCTAGCTGATTGTTTGTCTCCTACTATGAACGGCTTCCAAATTCATTTGACGTTCATCTCAAGAGGATTTCAGAGGATGATATCAACAGCATTAATACTCATCTCTCCGTCCCTGGCGAATATGTTCGCAATGCTCCAGTACTACTACTTTTTCCATCCTCAGGGAGACTAGAGCAATTTAGGTATGTTGGAGTTGATGAGCTATTTCCTTTGAAGAAACCCACATCAAAAGCACACTCTCCAGCACTTCATCCAGCCAACATGAATCAGTCTGCATGATACAACTTACAGTCGGAATGTTTTCAACTAGAGCAAAGGCACCACCCCTTTTGGTTCATATGAGGCATCCCACTATGTACCCCATAACTCTTTAAAAGAAAAACTGAAGTTTAAAGCTTTCGTGCGTAGAAATGATATATTATAGAAATGTAAGCATCAGTGGCAGAGAAATCGCATTCTGTAGAGTAGGTGAGGATAGCCGATGACCCTCAGACCAGCTGTTTTTATCGCATTGCCATTCACGTTATTTGAGTAGTCATTAAGCTCCATGCTTTCAGGTGCTTAACCCAAATCTCACCTCAGCCACTATCAATTTCTAGAAGCAAACTACATCTACTCGAGGTACTGTTCTGCTACCATAATCTATTTCACAAATTAACAGTAAAGATGTCACAACTTAAAAGGAAGATAGTAAAAAGTAAAAAGTTGGTCAAAAGTCAACGTCCCAACTGTCACTGTTCGTTGCATCCCCAACTTCGGTTCCAAATAAATCCTTGAAGGAGCCTCCCAAGTCGACATTCACTCCCTTCAACATATCTGTCTCCATAACTTGAAGTCTCGAGGGTTCTGAATGAACATACCCCGATTCAAGGAAAGTGGTAGGTGTCGAAGTCACAGCAGCTTCCGTCGCCAACCGCTTCTCCGCAACCGTTTGTGCGAAATAAGCAGTCTCGGATTGGGTTGTGTTTAGGCCACCGTAGTGAGGAGCTGAGAGGATACGGGTAGTCGGCAGTGATTCTTTTTCGCCACCAGCGCTTTCCGTTAAAGCACCCTCAGATTTTGATCGTCCAAATCCACAGTGTTCTTGTGCCACATTAATCGGAACAACAACGTCTTTGTCCCAGGCATTTTCATCATCAGGCCAATCGCTGGTATTTGGTAGTTTCGCCGCAAGAGGAGGTGGCTTCACTTCGACACGGTTTGCAGTAGAAGTACCAGCGTTAGAGACAGTTTCTTCTTCAAGGTAAGGCTCATGTACTTCAATTTCTTCTACTTCTTTTCTCCACCCATTACAAGGTGTTTTAATCTTGATTTCTTCCACTTCCAAACTTTCATTTTTAGTTATTACGGTCATCAACAAATTTCCGTGCGCATTCGAACCCGGGGCTTCGTTCGCAGACACATCGGTATTAATTCCCGATTGGCGAACAGTGTCCGACTCACCTTCGACACTTTGATGAGTCCAATTAGAGTCCGATTCAATTGGTTCCCTATCTGCATGAATGTTTGGTTTTCCTTCATCAGTGTCGACATCCCACACACTATCACTAGCAAGTAAGACCAACTTCTCATGACTGTCTTTTGATTTACCAGACTCATCGAAATCCATTCCTCCGATTGCATGAGATGCGATCATATCCGAAGATGTGTCCCAAGGGCTGCTCGATACAAGAGATGTAGATTCGAACATCAAGCGAGGACCAGGGCAACATCGAACATTAGACTGTCCTCTGTCGAGAACTGTCACATCCGAATCCGACTTATCATCCTGTTCTTTCCAAGTGTGAGATAAAGAGTTTACTTCGATATCATTCCTGATTGAATCAATTTCAGTCAGCTTGTGTAAAACTGAAACGGTGACACAATCACCCTTCCTACCTCCATCTCCAACGTCGTTCACATCTAGAATTCGTTCCTCGATTGTTAATTGTACAGGATTTTCGCCTCCAGTAATAAAAACAGACGAACCAATCTCGGATACCCGATCCTTCGAATGATAAGTGGCCTGAGTTTCTTCCTGAATCAATCCAGTAGACGACATGGATTGATTAATGGACCCAGGTAAGTGTACGGAAGAAAGGGACTCACGTCTTTTTTCATGAGCAACATCGATATCAACATCATCCCCTAGGTCGGCATTACCTTCCAATGAATTTTCTACAAAAGTCAAGCGATCCTCAGATGAAACATCAGATGCAAGTTCATCCCACTTGGGTTTTTGCTGTTTTATTATAAGGTTCCCGGAAGCAAGCAATGTCGAGGACTCGGACACACCTTCTTTGAGTACTTCTGAATGCCCATACATATTTGCACTGCAACTTTTCGCATGCAAATCGGATATTTCAACGTCAAGTTGGTGCTGATGGCTGGATGACCTTTCACCAGAATCCACCACCACATCAGGTGTACCTTCCTTAATATTATGAGCAGAGAGACAAGTTTTAGCCATAATCTTTACACCTCCTCTCCACCCACCTTCGCAATCTGCACATTTATCTCCAACAGCACCGACGAGCTCAATTTTTTGATTCGCAACTTCCAACTGCACGGGATTCTCAATACAGACTACCCCGTTATTTCCAACAAACAATTCTTCTTCAGCACTTTTTTTCACCTCCGACTCTGATGAAGTGTCTAGATTTAGGGAATGAAGAGCCACTTGTTTTGCCCATTCACCAACACCGGTGTCAACATCTCTAACACAGGAGGTCCCATTATTAACTTCAACCGCTTTTTCCTCTGCAGAATTCCTTTGTACTGCCTGCTCTGCGAGAAGCGACTCCAAAGTGGTAGCTACTGTTCCAGTCGTTCTCGTTTCATTGTTTTCATTCACAATGGAAACATCAATACTTGCAAAATCGTTATCCACTTTGCTTGTGACAAATTCTTCTTCACAATATCCTATGTTCCGGCTGTTGACGTTGGCAGATTCAGCATTTCCGTTATCATTCAGTTCTCCTAATACAACTCCTTCAGCAACCCTATTAGCATACCCGCTTTCAACATCAGGAATATGACGGACCACTACAATTCCTGGAACAGAACCTTCTGTTGACATCCTAATTTCACCAGCATCATCAATAATTTCTTCACCAGATGGTAAGGTAGCGGGTTCATGATTAGAGGAGTTGCTCCTATCGCATCCAGGGCATAGAGATTCATTAGTTGCCCGAACATCTGTAGTCTGCCCATCAGAAACATTTAACGTCTCCCTTGTTGTTGAATGACCAATGCAATTTCTGTCACCGCCACCGCTTTTCTTATCATCCAGGTTAGTAGACTCGTTAGCAGTGTCCAAGATTCCTAACACAGAAGTGCTCGTTAGCATTTGCGGAATAGAAACTGTTGTTGATGCACTCAAGCCCTTACCACCATTACATAAAACAGATGTGCAATGGTTATCGTCGTTTTCCGATATTTGGTTGGAGGACGGATTAATTAATTCATGAATTGAAGACACATTATTGTCCCCTATAAAAGATAAATGTTCTTGATCCTCTAGAGTATTAAGGCTGGATAATTTCGAAAATTTCCCTTGGGACTGTTCAACAATACATTCCATTTCTTTTGGTGACTTAGTCGAGTCGAGACCACTAGGTAGGTTTCCATCTCCAACTCCAATTGCAAAAGAGTCGCTTTCTTCAACGGACAAATAAGTTTTTGACTCACTCAAAAGGTCTGTGTCACCGAGAATATCATTCGACAGCATTTGTTTCAATCCAGCCACACTACCTTCATGAGCTTCCTCAGTCAAACCATGGGACACTAAGCTAGACTGAAAACAGTTTTCCCCATCCTCCATGTTTCGTCGATTTCCTTTAAAAAGTGAATGAGAGTAATAAAGTTGAGATGGTGTATCACTATTAGAACGATCACCTGCTTCTAACAAAATGCCATACTGATCATTGACTTGACTTCCAGACGTGCTAAAGCTATCCACAACAGTCTCAACTTTCACATGCTTTCCGACATCTTGTCCTGATTCATCGACTGTGGTCTTTGAGAACTGCGACGGGTTCCTTGCAATGGTAGCGATCACTTCAGTCCTTTCCCTGTCTTCTTGTAAATTTTTGTTGGTACCTCTAATAACTGGAGGTACAGCCACTTCCTGGACAGCGGAATTATGCACCTCCGACTCAGAGATTGGCAAAGAATTCGGATTTGTAGGAGTTGCTTTCACATCCTCGTGGATGACTTCTACCTGATTCGGTTCAGCCAAACTACAAGAACTAGTTCCTTCCTTGATTTCTTTGTGACTCCACTCTTCAAAATCACCATTCGACCCGTCAATGTGAGCAGCCAGCAGAGTCGACGGCTCTTCCTCTAATTTCGATTCCTCCATCGATGCCAAATGCACATTGTCTGCATCACTGACGATACCTTTGGCCGAAGGTAGCGGATGTTTAACCGATTCTAGGATAGGGGAATCCAAATGAGCGGCCTCCAAATTTCCTGAGACAATGGGAGGAGCGCCATTGTTTTCAGGACAAGATGAGGCAACTTCCAAGCCAACTCCTTCCACTAAAACACTACGATTTGACCCTCCCGAAACCTCAAAATCGATTTTTCCCACCGAATGAACAGCAACTGCTTTTGATTCGGATTCCACGTCCTTCTTCCCCGGAAGACCCGACTCAAGGGAACACGATGAGTCCTCAACGGTGGGCGAAACTTTGCATTCATCGGGTGCAACAACTTTTGCCTCTCCATGTTGAAATTGAAGAGGTTGATGAGCTTCACGGGCCGTGGTCAGAGGAGGCATTTGTGAAGTTGAGATATGCCCCAATTCGTCAGTGCTAGGAGTAGCTGGCCTCTTGACGGTATCACCTACTCGCAATGTATCGGTAGCCAAAATCCCCCATACCACGAATATTGGTGCACAGACTTGTCGAGTGAGGAGAGCGATAGTCTGAGAGGTAGAATGGACCTCCTCTTCCACCTCTGGACGTAGCTGCCAAAGATGTGCTGCTGCGTCACCACCGAAGACGTATTGGAGGAGACAGGAGAGAATGTGGGGCACGGCTACGTGGACGAACATGGAGGCAAGATTAGCACTCTGCGTGCGCGCTGCCGTGCTGTCCAACTGACGCGATTTGTGCGCTGATACGATTGTCTCAGCGGCTCCGTTCAATATCCGAGTGCATACTGATATTATCCTTGAAGGAAAGTGTTTTAGGGAATATTAGCTTGTTTGTGATGTCACACTGAGTTCTAGTCACTGTGAGGAGCAAATAATCGGCAGCTTTCAAAGGTACATAAGAAAACATTAAATCAAGACATAGCAATGCTTCAAAAATACGATTGAGTCTTGTGAACAAACGGAGTCCCATCAATTTAGTTAGCACAAGAATGAGAGTAGCTCAAATGTCATAGCCACCAAGAGTAGTAAAACAATAAAGAATAGGAAGGCAGCAGCAGATAATCGAGGAAAATACTCCAAGGGTCACAGTCGAGTGAAAATGTATTTAAGGCATAGTTTGAGGTTACAACCAAAACATCGGTTGCTTTGAATTTACTTTGTGCCATCCATTTCGGTGACGAAACAAAGCACAGAGGCGATAATATGAATGAACTTAAGTGTCGATAACAAAACCACAAGCTCTTCAAAGGAAGAAACTGCAATTGGCAAAATTCACAGAGTCTAATCGGAAAGAGTGAGAATGGAACATTGAGGATCTCCGGTCGGTATAGGGAATAAGCGCTCCCAAGTTTGAATCACAAATAAAAAGTAACTATTGTGGCTAGAGGGAACCACCTCGCAGTAAACTGAAGGAGAAGTGACACTTGCGGCGATTTATGTCAAAAACCATAACAAATACAATGACACATAAGAAAAGAGAATTAGCCAACAATTACAGTTACCAGTCCAATACACTAGAAACACAATCATGTTCTCGTAAAATAAAAGAGACCAACTAATCGCATTAAAACTGACATACCCATCTCTGAGTCCAACGGGGCAGCAAATACAGAGGCCGTTAAAAGCCGAAAGCAGACGATTACAAAAGAAAGCAATGGGAGGGTGAAGTGCGATAGCTATAGGAGCCGAAATCTCATCATGGCTTGGATCCTCCTGTTGATTAATCACGAAGGGTGGCTCCGATATCTCCCAAGGCCATAGTTCTAACGTGACACTCAATTCCGTCAGTGCATTTTGTAGTAGAGCCTAGTACGCGTAAATGGGTAAATAAACACACAAACTCACCTCAAAGTAAGCCAAAATCTCACGAGAAAAAATGACTCCCAAGTGAGGACGAAAATCACAACCGATTCGAGCAAACGACCGACCAAAATAGAAAGCCTGAGTCATGACTGAGTGGATCTGTTGGAAGGTCGTGGACGTATCCGCACTATCAAGGGTAATCGAGTCATTTGCCATGGCTAGTTGAATCCTATCGCTAATCTCAGTGGATGTTTGGTGGGGAAGGTTAAGAAGAATGCTGAGGTCCCCTCTCAAACCGTCCAGAAAGAGACCCACCTGATGCACGAGCCAAGAGTGGAAGAGACTTGCCTCGGTAGAGGGACCGAGGCAATCGACACTGCTTGTTGTCAAGCCCCGCAGTGTCAGAGCATTCTCATCTAAGTGCAGTGGAGAGATATCTGCGAGGACTGGTTGTTGATGTGCATCGGTCAACTTGGATAAATATGCGTCTTCGTCAGCGAACACGGCACTGAAGAGAAAACTCACTTAAAGCTAAGCTATTATGAAATAAGTTAATAGAAATTAGATCGACAGACTCACCGATACTGCGTAATACTGTCAAAAAGCTGAACTCGAGTTACTTCAATTCGCCTCATGGCTCGAATAAAGGCCCTATATTCAGCTTGTTGATGTCCAGAAATATGTGCCAACTTGGTTGCTGAAGAGGAATCGAAACTAGATAAACCAATTGGTTTTGCAAGGGCAAGTTCCAGTTGATCTTTTATGCAAATATTCCGTGCCTGAAGAAAATTCAGGCGCAATTCCTGTTCAGTAAAAACTTCGAACTGTCGCAAGTATATAACCACCTAGAGTACATAGAACCGACTATAAGAAAGGGGTTCAAATAAACGCCTCTCACCTTTAGACAAACGGGCAGTGTAATAGGTTCGCGGAGTTTTTTGCATAGCTGATTAAAAAGTTGGCCACTGATCTCCTCAGTTTGAAGGCCCACCGTCCAAACTAGAGGCACCGTTCGACCATATTTTTTTACCAAGCGCTTGGTATGACTCAAGATATTGAGTGCATCCTGACAATAGCCATTTTGAATGCAAGTATCCATAAGTTGTGGTAGCTCCAGAAAATCTAAAATCTGATGAAGAGAAACGATAGATGTAGGAAAATCTGAAAGTGGCACCAACTTGAGTGTATTTTTGAACTAATTTAGCAGAGACGCGAAAGGCAGAAGCATTCTTTCCAACGTTATCAAAAATAGTTTGGGCGGAACTAGCAACCCCAGAAATGCTGGAAAGCAAATTCACAGTTGATTCCGATATGGATAGGAACTCTTGATGAACATCACGGCCTGTATTCGCGTTAGCGAGAAAAACTGGATAGTTCTCCACGGCAAGCTGCTCTGTCTCGTGCCTAATACTGTCCTCCTCTATTTGAATACGCTTTGGGATGGTAGCTAATTCGTCAAGACGAAGATGTGAGAGTTTGTAAATACAATCCGCAAAATGAGGATTCGAGGAAACAGACTCCTCCACGCCTGGAGACAATAAAAGCATCTGGATAAGTTTTTCGACCTCGACCATTCTATCGGAATTCGAAGAATTGATCACAGAGTCCTCAACCATTATCTAAAAAGAGAATAAATAATGTAGATAAAGGACCATGCTTCCCGTACAAGGCAGAAACGAGAAGTTCCTTCTGGTAAGAGTTTATATTTGCAATGGAATTAACGGAAAAGTAAGACATAGCAGGCCATAGAAAAACAGGAAAGAGAAACTAAAATGTGTAACCGGATCCCAATAACGGCGGCCTTGTACAAAATGCCCCAAAATCCTTTGTTTTCCGAAAATAGCCAATTCCGTAATTTGGTCACCCTTCTCATGTATGCACAGGTGCATATTAGGAGCAATCCAACGGTAAGCACTCCATCCAAGCTATAAGCGCTAACCATTGCAAAATACCACTTCCCAGCACAAAAGTAACGCGGTGCACACCAAATTGTCAATCGCGGGGCTTCTGCGTTAAAAATAACCTTATATTGTTTTAAAAGCTATTAAATCTAATCAGTTGTAAAAATAATGCGGTAATAAAAACAGACTTATTTTGAATGCATGGATGCTTTACAACTTAGTTAGTATCTCAGTTATCAAAGACAAAATCTATCACTGCTTTAGAGAAGATAACTGTAAAGTATACATGTTTGACTATTCTAAGCATAAATTTCAGTAGTCCGCTTCACCTAATTTATCCCACTGATTCCCACAACTATCATTCATTGCGTCTACTGGTAGCAAGTATAATGCTTATTCTGCCACACTGCGTGCTCATCGAGGATTTTTTGAAGCACTGTATGTCCGTTTATTCTCCAACATTCGTTTAAGGGGGTTTAACTTTTCATTAATCACGGACTAAGCCACTCCACAGCACCATTTATAAACTTGAAGAACTGTGCCTTAGGGTACCAATTAGTCTGCGTCAAAGACGCGATGTACCAAACCTTGTAATGTCAGCCGCCTTTTGCTACATCGTCAAGGTCTAGCTAGGCAATAATGGGGATTTTGTATGTAAGATTATAAAGCAAAACACTTCAACATCGATAGACCCTAGCAAGCTATTCTTGGTTTTTTCGATATTGGCCGGTCAGGTAATTATATTGATTTGCCTGCATTCGAAGTGTTTCCGACCTCGTATTGCACGGTGCGTGAGAAATTCAAAAATACATCATCTTTATTTAATTATACAACTAAATATGACAGGCGTCCAAAAGAATGCAAAAAAGTTTGAGAACGCATGGTTGAGAATGTGTTTAAAAATCTACAAAGGATCAAGTGCTAATAAAGGCTCATCTGTTCTCTCCTTTCATGTAGCTCAATTTCACTCCAAATGCACACGGAGACACATGGACAACAATTTCTCAGTTTTTATGTGCTGCTGCATCTCTTCCACTACTGTACAAAGACGTGATTCGACACGATCATATCTCACTCTCGCTGATTTCATCAGGATCCTCTGAATCCTGCAAGTTGATTGTAAAGCCTAGCGGGGAGGGGCCCAGCTTCCGGACTCTTCCATCCGACGTTTCAAAGTTCCCCGGAAAGTCTTTCACTTCATCGTCTTCTTCTCCATCAGCATCGACGTCAATAAGATCGTCGTCGTCGTCCACATCACAATAGAGTCGTGCTCGAAGGTCATTAACGGCTGCGGCGAGACCCGCAAGAGCATCAGGAACCCGCGCTGACAAATCGTTGAAGTCATTATCTTCTAGACCCTCTTGACGATCCACCGCACTGTTGACAAACTTGGAGAAGACATTTATGGCGTTCTCAACTTGGTGTAGCAGTACCACGTGGCTAAAGGAAAAAACAATGCAGTTCTTATGGTCGCTTCTGGAGTTTTGAGTCCCGTAATTCTTTTCTCTATTTTCTCTTCCAAGCACCTACTGAAGAATAATAATATTTGGGTAATATTTGAGCCAAAATAAAAAATTAGTATTTGCAAGTTTAAAATGGGTGTCATGATAGCGGTTCTACCTGGAGCAGTAGTAGTAGTAATATTATTTAGTGCCCTTGTCGCTTAGGTCCCTGTATTTCGGTCACTGCAGTTCTATGCTACAGGCAACAGTGGCAGCAACTGCCTGAGTGTGGGTAACAGTTTGTGAGTGTGACTGAAGTAATGGTTATCTAACTTATAGAAGCCGAACCCACGATTATCTGATTCCACCTTCAACAACTTTAATGGCAACAGAGCTGCAAGCTATAATGTGCAATCATTCGACAACAGAGCACTTGAACGATAATATTTCAATGATTTGCTATTTGTCGATTAATGACCGTCCAGTGAACTCTTCGCTGCTCGCCCACAATCAGTGATAATTTAGGTGAACATTTGCTCTTACATAGCAGGTGCCTAACTCAACTTTGCAAGCACAATGAAACTACTCATGTTAGTGGACAATGTTGAATTCAAGAGGGTTGTGTACGCTGGAAACCAGGACATTGGTGATTTTTAGTCCATGTTGTGGCGGTTAAATACTGCATTGGGATAAAGAACCCTTTGGATGAGTGAAATGGGGATAAACTGCTTCGCTTTGGAACTAGGTTGAGACAAGAGATTATTATTATAAGACTTGATGTAAGTGTAGCGAAAGAGAGGTTCACTTTTAAACTCATGTAGATCTTCCCATATGTGGTTTGGACATTATTTGGTGACGATATTTGGGCATTGATAGTTCTGTTGCGGAACTCTACTGCTGATCCAAAATCTCTTGTTCGCATTCAGTCCACTGCCATTGTACGCAAAGGCGCAAATTTCGCATGTCCAATTTCAAACAATATCATTTACTATGCTACTGCCTGTTATATACTGCATCACTTTGATTTAGTCCTTTGCTGCAGCTGACTAGGTCGAACAATTTGGTGAATTGGTTCATGAAGATGTTGATTTTACGTGCGCTCTGTTATGCAAAATGGGGAGCAAGAAAGTTTAGCAGCTGCATTTCATACACTTCAACGTTGCAGGTCTCCCACAAGCTATGAGCGAGTAAGAAGACATTCTCCCTGGATAAATGATTTCGGCTTTCGGAGTCAACTTGAGGATTAATGAGAAATGCTTATATGAATGGATGCTTCTGCATGCAATTGATGGACGGTGGTAAAAATTAGGTAGTTACGATTGGGTCACCACGTAGGCCACATTTAAGCTCAACCAATATGGCAAAATGTGACTTTATGCTTGCACTTTGCAAATAAAATGGGAAACTCGATTGTCATTTAGTAAGTTAGGGATGAAATCCTTCCCATGCAATTCAGCAATATTAGTTATGAAAAACTTGTTTGAGTTTCGCAAAAATAAGCACCAGTTTCTCAAAGCTCATCTTTGAGGCTACGGGCGTCTAGGAATAAGGAATAACACCGGGGGTCACGAAATTTTGCGAAGCCAACAAAGTAACAAAGCAAGCAACCCACTTTCCTCGTAATATTTACTGACGTGTTTTGATAAAAAGGGGCTTGAAAAAGAAGCGGTCCGAATTTTGTTATACACTACTGAAAGAGGATGTCTTAGAAAAGCGGTAGAAATAGGAGGGTGTAAGAAAAACATCGTGTGTCGGCTTATAGCAAGGCAATTGTTTGTCTAGCACATGCAAAATGATGCTCAAATGGAGGACGATGAGACTTGCTTGTTGTGAGTAAAGAGTCTAACCAGCCTTAAATGCTCACCCCCTTATGTTCCTTGGTCGACTCAAAGAAAATAGCTTCAAATTCTCACCAATATGATGGTGATGGATGTGGTGAGGTGGTGTGCAGCCTATGTTCATATTCCATGGAAAATAATTTCGAAAGCATCCCTGTTTCTTTGATACTTCGAAATTGCATGATGAAGGGTATGAGGTAAATGCCAACGACATCGTCCTTACCTGTCACGAATTAATTTCTGAGCTTTGGCTAGTTTGGCAGCTGCAGATTCCAAGTCCTTTGCATGGTCCTTGCTTGACATGGTGGCAGCACAAAGCCGATTTAGTTGAGAGTGAAGACTCTTCAGATGGAGCCTTGAAGTAAAATACAATTGATTTTACACGTTTGGATTAAGTCTTCGCCAGCAGCACATCACCTTGGCACTCACACAAAGCTATGACAAGGCTACGCATTAGTTATACCCCCATGCCAAATAAAATCATTCGGCTTTGGCAAGAGGTAAGAAGGGCAACTCACTCCGATTCAACCGTATATGCATCGTAATAGTCACGATGGAACCAGTTCTGTTTGACATCCTGTAGGAGACGCTGTTTCTCCTCCTCATGTTCCCGTTGCAGAGCTGAGATCACATTGGCATAGTCTTCGACTTCTTGGTTTGCCTGCAGTGAACCTCTCACATCCTCGTTATTTTGAATGCGCTCGTAGAAGGCACGTCGACTTTTCAGAAGGTGGTTCGAAAGGCCTTCCAACTCGTTCAGGGCGTTATTTACGTCAGGCGATAGAGACGACTGCTTTCTGAATTAGATACGGTAAAGGTACGAGTTAGAACACATTTGTGGCAATTGAATTGATGCCTTTCGAGGTGCGATGTGATTTCCGCTTCTTTCTTACGTTCAATGAGGTAGGGCACAAAAACTAGCAGAAGGCGAAAAGTACGATGTTCAATGAGTTGTCCTTCATCCGCGCTATCGTTATGCTTATCATTGCGGATTTCTGCCGTTCAGCGGTGTCAATGTTTCACTTAAAAAGTAATGCTTAATGCAAGTCTGCCATGTGGTAAAATACCAATGCCTTTGGACGATTAGTGCCGCATGGATAAAGGTTGTGACGATTATGGACATACCAGTGGTTGCTGTCCCTTCTGTACGTCAGAAATGATTTCTGAAACTACGACCATAACGTTTCAGAATGTACCTACTTGTCTACACGATCTTCTGACAGAAGCAGGGCTGTGCTCTAGGTGGGAGTAGGAAATGGCCACCGGAACAGTGCTACCACAGTGGACGTTGGCCGACATATCCTCAAGACTAACAAATCTAGACGTTTTGACAAGCAGTTTGGGAATTCAATGAGAATTAAGCGGTTTAAGAAGGTGTGTTATGCGATAGAAACGATAATATTTCTCAACCATTACAGCCTTTACCATCTAAACAGCGTAATTTACTGCAATAAAACCTCCGACAGATGATGATGGACTGTTCAGCGGGGGTGAAATTTTCAGAACTTTTAGTCATTACATAACTGCAAGAGTATAGTTAAATAGAAATGGAATTCATAGGGTGATATTCACCAGCGCTTTCTCCCTTCCTACATTCAATACATACAGAGAGATGCGGAGCTCTGTCTTTGCAGGATACTGCTACGGACTTTCCTTCATCCTGTAGGTTGGTAATAAAACGTCTTTCTGACGCTGCAGTCCCATAGCGGTCTCGAAAGTACCTCAAGATACGCATTTGGCAAGAACAAATTGTTCCTCCATTTGTTCGAATGAATTAAAAGAAGTAAGGTTGGCTATTTATTTTAAGACACTACCGACAAATTAGTTTTCAAAAGAGTATTTTGGTGAGACGATGCAGAATCACCATCCGAGGTAAACTTTGGCGTCATTTAAACTGCTACACACCAACCGTCAATTTTATTATTCCTAGAAGGCAATCGAAAAGGAGTCAAAGTCGAGCTCCAAGCACAATTCATAGCTTCAAAGTTTCGAAACGAACATTGAGAGCCTTCATTAAAGTGCCTCAAAGTCACCTAAATCGAGAGCGACGCTTTAGGCAGAATAAAAGAAGCGGCGGTTTTGAGTGAGTGATGCATTGGATCAACCAACTACCACGTGTAAATGGGAGAGAGCTTTTCTGTATGCAGTGCTGGCCAGCGGTTACAGTCAAAAAGCAGCATTCGGTCGCATTTACACACCAACAAACCAACGAAGGGATGGATACAATCTTTTGGCAAAGTCAATCAAAGTGCACAGAGTGATTTGACAGTTCATGCGATGAAGAGGCGCATTGATCAGACCTGCGTGTACGTGTGCCTGCTTGTGAGCGTGTGTGAGACTGGTGTGACAGAAACACCCAAAAGCATGCCAAGTGGTGTGCACAGCTCGAGGGTGCATTGAGGACGACTGTGTCAAACCTGCGCTAGTCGAAGACGTGACTCCTCAACCAGTGGCCTGTAAGGGGCAACAGAGGCAACCCTAGCCACCACTTCGCTTTCTCCTCGTTTTAAGAAAAAAAATAATATGGAGGTCGTGAAAATCGGGCGTCTTTCAAGGTGATGTAAGGGTCGGGAAGTCGATTTGGGTGGGAAAATTGCAAAAGAGGCAAAGCAGTAGGGATTGTTATTAGGAGAACAGTGTCTTAGGTATGTATGTGCACGTGTAGGAAAAGGTTGAGGAGTCCAATATTACGTGCTTCAATGCGTTTCCTCCCATTCAAACAGTGTCTATTGTCAGTAAGAAAGTAGGTGTGTTGAGGGCATGCATTTCCAAATTCCATTTCCTTAACCAAAGAGGCTAGTTTACGAGGTGTTTTATGCGATTTTTTAGGAGTAAGTGACATTCTTTGAGAAAAAGAGTGGTTTTCCATTGATTGCCATCCCACCGAAAATACGGGGCTGCACGAATTACCCACACCTGCACCAAACGCCGCTGGCTCAGGGTAGGAATCACATGGAGAAGGGGTTTGGTTTAGGCACTAGAAAAACGCTGAAAACAATGAGTAGGACATTAAAGCAATCAAAGTCGCTACCGTCTTTCAGTACTTTAAGCTAATTAAGCAGCGATCCATTAAAAACTGCCAACTAGGGTCTATTTTAGTGTCTCGACACTCAAGTGTGTAGCTGAGCCCAGTAATGGAGGGTGGTGTTGCAATGGCAATGTGCCATTTGCATTCCAACAAACTTACAGGAATGCATTGTCATTTAGCAGGTGGTCATGTGCAAATCCAAAATGCCTTTCAGCAGGTACCAACTAAAAGGTCATTTAATGACCTCATTAAAGGTGGAGCAAACAAATGGGTTTTGGTTAAAAATCCAAGTGTACTCACGGTACTGTCGGATTTCGGTACTTTACTGAGGGATAATCTAAAACGCATTAGCCAAAGGGTGGCTAATTTCCTCTGACATGTTGAAACTGTTTAGCGTTAGAGGTGCACATGAACCGTTGCAAGAATTTGGTTCATAACTCTGTAATACCTCATCGGTTGACCTGAACTTATCATTTTACGCGCTCCTTACCGGTAAGCTTGATGTGCCTCTACCTCTAAGAGGAAGCGACCGCATCTCTCAATTAGTGTAATGCTTAAAATGAGGAAAAATGTGACTTTGGAAAGGAATAATCTAATAATTGTGTTTAGATCTCAGCGATCCACCATCATGTTTGTTGTTGGAGTTTCTGCTAACGCCATAATTGTCAAATCTTTTTGGGAGCCAAGAATGCAACTAATGAATTGCCAGTTGAAAGAACTACTGGAAATTACAAAAAAAACCGAATGTAAAAGTGGTTGCAAAAGTTGGGTTTTAACAAGGCTCACCTATCCGGGTTCACGTTCCGTGGGCTCACTGCCTCAGGGAGAATGATTTCCAGGGCGTGCTTATCGTACTTCCGCATCAGCAGTTCAAAGAATACGGACTCAAATTCCACTCCCAATTGAAGGTAGGACTCGCTAGAAATCGAAACACACACAGAGTTAGCACCTCTCCATTCACCTTAATGGTAGTTGTATACGTCAAAATGCATCCAGTCTTGTAAACTTTGAAATCTCTAGCATCAATGACTTCGCATACATGGATTGGTTGAAAAAAATTTCACCACTTGTATATGACAACGAGACCCAAATGCGCGATAAAGGCTGCGAATTAAATAAGGATGATTCTAAAATCCTGACTGAGTTTCACATAAAATTTCAATTGAAATTAAAAATTTAATTAATTCCAAGGCTTTAATCCAATTTCGGTTTGCGACTACGGCATCCCTTAGGAGTAATACAGCAGTCTTCGAATGACAAGTTGAAGGTTTCCAGCCAGTGGTACGATCTCGATAGACCAGAATGGAACTGACATGCTTTCGAGGGATGGAATTTGTAGGCTTCTCGACTACAGCTTCAGCTACACTGAACGAACGTGTGTGCAGTCTGGTCGAAGCAAAGATTTTGGGTGCTGGCACATTCATACTTGTCTTTTTCCCTCACTGCCTCATCAAATTTGGATTGGTAATGACTTTTTAATGGGCAAAAAGAGGTTACCTAGGCAAACCGAATTGGAAAGAGGCTGAAACAAATGTGTAAAGGTTAACGCTAATTGGCTTAGAGCCCAAATTCGTTTTATCATGAGATCGGTTAAGAGGCATTTGTGAGAGAAGGGAGTCAAAATGTTGAGGATGCCATTTGGCTCTGAGAAGTGATGTAGGATGGCGCAAGTTATTTGGCAATTCCCCTACGTCTACAAATTCCCGTCGCGCCGTTATGAATTCTTCTATGCAATTCACACGATTTCACTCATTCCAATTCGTAAGAGATTTTGATCTGCACGTAAGTAGTTCTACTTAATGAAAAAAATACCAAAACAGAAGTTTTGGCAATCTTTACAATCGCACAGCAAATGCTCAAAATGAACTGACTTACTTTTGAGGCGGGTTTCCATCCTTCTCTTGGCACACAGAGCGATTAAGGGTAATCGAAAGAGCCTCCAGCACATCTTGAATATGAATATCATGCGAGCTCCCGTTTGTTAACGATGGCTCCAGTAGCTTCTCATAGTTCTTGATTATGTTAACTCCTGAATCGGATAACCGATAAAGCATGAGACATGTAGCAATGTAGCCAGGAAGCATCCACTTTAGATCCGGCTTCTCAGGAATGGCATTGAACCAATCCATTACCAGTCCATTTACTATGTGAGTTGAGTTTGTATCGTTCATCTTCCCATCCCCTATCTCGTCCAAAATTTGTCCACACACTTCGGCCGCCACGCTTTCAACCAAAGCCTGCACCATTGGAGGAGCGTTTGGGTCATTCAGAGCGAGTTTTGCCAGTCCAGTAATTAGTACATCATCCGGAAGGTTTGTTCGATTGCGGATGGCTGCAATGTGACCCGAGAGATAGGAATGGAGGCAGGAGGCAAGAGCACAAACTCGTCGCATTGTTTGGGGACTGGGGGATGTCTCAGAGGTTATGAGATTCATGGAGATTTCTAGGATGCCAGCCGAGAGTATTTTGAGACAGTGCGAGCAAACTACATCCACGGAATGGCTGTCATTATAGGCGGGACCGTCAATAGGAGTGGATGCTACAAGGGTCTGTGTAGAACTGGTCCCTGTGCTGAGAGTGTCAGGACTCGAACACAACAGAGATTGGTCTTCAGACATCACCAAGGAGGCTGTCTGGCCAGGTCGACGTACCTGATGTCCTCGACGTCGAATCACGGACGGGCCGTCTGCGGAGCGCCAGGACTTTAGCGCATTTGGAATATCTTGGAGTGAGGAGCTAAAAAAATAAAACTTCTATCAATAAATGATCTTCTGCGTTCAACTTCCTCGACTGAATGAAGGATATCTAAGGCACCCTGCAAATTGCATCAACATACAACATGATATGCACTGCGTTAACGTCAAGAGTTCTACTAATTGGTTGCTTCAGCACCTCTGTACTAAATGTAGTGATGCCAAAGTTTTGTTACCTTGAAGTGTTATGCAGTGTTATTGTAAAACGTCACCTACTGAAGGACAACTTACCCTCCCTTTGAATGTTGGCGGTCAGAGGGTGTGGAAGCTGCAGAAAAAAATAGTTAGGCAAGCCCTGATGCTGATGAATGCATCATTGGTTGTGCATTTTGTGATGGTGCTACTGTTATTTTAACTAGCATGACACTTTTTACCCCTAAGATGCGAATCCGGGGACAGTGAATGGCTGCACAATCGGCAAAAGGATGCAGCATGTGTGAAGCTGATTGATTTGAGAGAGTTTGACGTTTACCTTGGAGAAATGAAAGCTCCACTTCAATCCCTCTCAAACGCAATCGGTCACGAAGCAGCTTCAGTGTTTCTTTCAGAATCGAACAGTTATCTCCCAACACCGAAGTTACTGCCTCCTGGGAAATGAGCTAAATGGAGAACCTTCCGATCAATTCAACAAACAACACATAAGCCAAGAAAAGCTTCTAAACATGTAATTACTGCAACTCACTACTTTACTTAGGGATCGGAAATTATCAATCATGGACTCCGTTTCACTTATTGGCTTGGCTCGTATTTTTGGTAGATCCTTGGCATGATCGTTCGAGACTCCTTTCTAAATCCAAAAAATAAATTGAAACAGAAAGTCATGTCACTGATGCTCCATATGCTCTGAACATCCTCCTCCTGTTCCCTATTTTGAAAGTAGTTGTGCAACCAAATGTAGTAAAACCAAAAAGTAGGACGGACCTCTGAACAATAATTAGTCAATTTATGGTAAAATTAAACGCACCTCTAGCTGATGGACTTTCTGAATTTGCTGTTTAGGCTGCAGATGCTCCTCATTCCTGCTGTTGAATAGGGTGGGATGTACTTCGGACAGGATCTCTGCGACCTCATTTAAACAGCCATTGCAACAGTAATCGGTGTCTTTGATGGGTGAAGCTTGAATGGGCGAATCAGGCTGTGGGGAATCAATCAAACTAAGGGGCGGACAAGAAAAGGTAGTCGCCTCTTCCGACGGCTTCTGCATTATCAGCTGGACTACGTGGGGCAACTGCGGAGAAATGGTGGGTAGATCGGAGTTGTTGAAACTATCGCCACTGCTGCCGACTTCCCCGTCCTTGCTGGCATCCGTGTGTGGGACTTTTTGACATCCCAGAATTGTGTCAATCAAATCTCGAAGCTCTGTCGAAATCACATCTGCATCCATTGCCTCGTTCATCACTTCCATCCATTCTCGACGCTCGATTTCCGAGGAACACCCCAGTAGACTCACTCCACCGGGCACAATCTATAAGCCAATGTAGCTGGGAGTGTTTGAATGGCCCCGTCATCTAGCAGAATGTTTGCAACTGACTCATGAACAAATTTCATAACAGTACGTCAAAATAAACTTCTTTTCACCTATTTGCTAATAAGTTAATCATAGCAGAAGCATTATGTTCTAAAATGGAATTCGAGGTCACTGAGGATCATTGATGTTTACATTTATTTGCAACTGACGCACCATCAACATTATTCCGTAGAAATCCGGGTACTGATCAGCGGGCTGGACGGCAAGGCACTGCTGAAGATTGAAGAACTTCAAGGGTTTAGTCCTTTTGAAACTGGACTCATCCTCGTTGGAGTATATTAGTAGTAACTGAGGGTATAGCACGCCATAGGTCCTTTGCACCACGGTCTACATTAGGGAGGTTGCATTTACTCTAACGCAGATGGAGATAGATGGACAAACTTCATACTCTAATTAGCATCAAAACATAAGAAGGAATGGATGTAAAGAAAGAATTACGCGAGGTGATACTAGCTTAGGGGAGGAAGATAAGGGGAATCACATACGGCGTCCTTGTCAAGAGCCCAGAAGAGAGGCCCTTCCTTTATCGCAATCATTGCCTTATTGTGCGTGGAGGTCTGTCTATTCGAAGCACATACACACACAAAAGTGGCGACTGATGCAGTAAGAGTGGGTGTGCGTGTGTGCGTGCGTGGGTTTGGTGGTGAAGTTGTGCTCTCTGAGGCAATTGGCTCGGCGGTGTGTTTGCCGGAGGCAACACTCATACACGTATTAAACTTTGAATATGTGTGTGTATGTGTGAATGAGCACCATCCTCAATACCACCAATGCCACCGCCACCGCAGCTGCCATTCTTTGGCATTCTGTGTCAACATTGTCCCTGCTTTCGCGTGTCAGCCTCCAGCAATCACCTACAGACCCATATGTCGTCTGGTCAGAAGAGGGTTGAACCACAAGATCAGTCAACTGTCATTTATTACGAGCTACTTCTTTGGTGAACTAGATGCGTGAGTATTGAAAAATGCAGCATTCAATACCCGCGTCAAAATGAGGTTATCAAATTGCATTTCAATTTGACCAAAGTCCTTCGTTTAGTAAAAGCAAGGACAAGACTTCTGACTTACGGAAAAGGAGATTGGAGCCTCATAAGACAACCAAACTTGCAAATGCTAGTGCTAGTATGTAATCAAGTAGCTCGGGACAATGATGTTACAACTGCCATTTTAAACCTGTTAAACCGGTACTTAAGCTGCTTTTATCGTGAGGCCTCTTTCATGTGCTACTTTATGATCCGATCTTGGGAGAGCATGGGGCAGGTTTCACGTCGCCGCGAAATTCAACACACTTGCATTGATATTCTTTTTTAACATAATAAAATAATGTGCGTTTCTTTGGCTCCCAAGTTCAAGAGGTAAAACCTTCATACAATTTTTGCAAAGTTTTTCAAGTTTTTGCAGCTACTACTGCTGCAACATTCCATCCAATCTAAACGTTGAGATCAACCCAAAGTTTGATAAATTAGTTTTTGGGTAGAGAAAAAAAATTTTATGATTGAGGTTCCACGACTTAAATGACTCCCTTTAGCGACGTCAAAGTGATTTCGAATAATTGTGTGAGGAGTGATTTATTAGCACTTAGCATTGCCATCCATTTCTACAATTTTTCATACAGTCAGTCAAATGCATTTATCACCCAATTAATGATGTTGGCAGTGGCAACTCTTTGACGTAGCAGAGACCGCATCACAACTTATGTTGCATTCACTTTAAAACGTTAAGATGATCAGCAAGACTTTCCATTTTAGACCTTAAAATGAACAAAGCAACTACCTTCCAAAATATTGCTCAATGTCACTTTTCAGTGGGAAAATGATTTAGACAAAGGCTACACCTATAATTATTTCGTATTCTTGCCAGTGTTTCTATATAATCGTTTTCCCTTTGTGTCTTGAACCTTAATGTCAGATGGGAAGGCTAGTCAAAGCTAGATTTAGAAGGGGATCCAAATAAATTTGAAGATGCGGAGAAACGGCAATGCAAGCCTCGTAACACAATAAAAATTACCGAGCTCGTGTCCTTCGCACACTCATCATGCAATCGGTATAGCTGTGGAGGTAGTCATCCCTTTCCTGCGGGTTACAATATGAAACTTGATGGTTTGGTGTTCTTATGATTGTGCCAAATAAATGGAAAGAGAAAATCGCATGCACTTGTGTTGACATACATCACTCCTTCCCTTTATGTTAACTACAGCTGGTTCAACTAAATGATCTCTCAGCTCGATTCCAAATGTCTAGGAGTTTTCACATTGGATCCACTTATTTCAAATAGAGCTAGGAGGAAATTGCACTAGGCCACCATAAAGTGCACAATGTGAGGAGCAAATGTACACAAAATTATTATTTTGTTGCTCCGGGTAATAGAGGAATAATAGTACACTTCTGCCTCAAACCTGCTGTACATCAGCCGTACGCATCATGCCCCAGCGTCGTTTTAATTCGTCATCGCACAATGAGCGTGCCAGTTAGTAAATCATGCCTTCCAAGTTAGTCACTAAAGGTACGAGCAAAAAGCATTAGATCCAAAATTTTAATGTTTATGGACATTCAGGGGGTGTTAATAAAATACATATCGATTCAACTTAATCTTTTTATAAGAGAGGTGGAAGGTAAATTTGAAATTCGTTCCAGTGTAATTCGATATTCCTTCCCTGGACGAGCTTGAATACCCATTTGCTGTATTACCTTACCTCTCCGCTTGTATCTCCCTAGGTATACCAAATAAACTATCGTCAAGTATTCCCTCCTCTATGAAGACTGAGATAAAGGCTTTGGAGAGTGAGGATGAAGAAGTAACAGTCACTAAATTAAAAAGCGAAGTTGAGAAGTTGTTTTTGAGAGTCCATCATAAAAGCCCAAAAATACCTTAAGGTCCATGCGGTACGTGTTTTGGGACACCCGAGTAAAGTACCAAAAGAAAAGATGTACATTTAAGGCATTAAAGTTAGTGTTTTAATCGATCTAGTAGGGTAGAGCGTCATACTGGAAGAAGTGGCTGTTTCTCCAATGTTGCTGTGGATACATTTGCTTTTCTACTTTCATACTGTTGATTCCGCACGCTCGCTATGTCACATAAAATGCATGCAAACAAACTCTCCTAAGGAAATGCTGGCGAGAATTTTAGGCATTGATGAGGTCGGGGCCACAGTATATGACGTAAAACTAATTCAACCAAGAAGCTTCGTTTATCACAAAGGAGGCATTAAGAAAGGATTTGGTCGAAAATCCTTGTTATGTTGTTTCAACCGCATTAGATCCTGAGACTAAAATAACATCACCGCGGTCGCCTTGACCACATGAGCACAAAATATTGCTTTTCTCGGGCTGACACATGCAAACGAAGGAGTTATGAAGTTGAATAAGTATGGTAAGACACCCATGCTTATAAAATCTTAACGTCTTCCACTGCCCTTTTCCCCTGCAAGGCGCGCTTTCTGAGTCCTGCATTAGCGCGTGTTTTGGTCGTGTGGGTGTTCTGTCGCGGTTTTCGAGTTTTGCCTAATTGTTTTTTATATGAAAAGGATTATTTCGCTATAATGTTTTTGATTGGTTAATGTCGATAAAACAAAACCAACCCTTATCTGTTATCAGTATGCTCTCCCGGATTTCAGTTGTTTTTTTCCTTTTGTGATCGCTCCCCAGCCGTATGCCAGTTTCTGACTGTTTTTGCATGCATGTTCGTGGGACATCCTTACGCGCTTATGTTTATATTACCATTGCGAATTTTGTGTAGTCCTTTCCTTTTTATTTTTCACTGTTCATCGACATCATGCACAATAGCACGCGTTGATCTATGTAAATGTTCCGTTACTTTTTTTGGTCGTGTTTACCTTCAAACCTTTGCGCGTATAAAGTTGAGATTTAGCGTCTGCGAAAAGTAATGAATACGTGCTTGGTAGAATCGGGAAACCCTGTACCATATGGCAGATTCTGTGACGAAAGGGGAGAGATTCGTTCAGCTGATGGCGTATATCTCAACCATAGCCAAGCATGAAGCTGTTTGGTACTAAGACTGACTACTAATCTATCATCGCTGAGAAGTTAAATTTGATTTTTTCGACCTTATCAGTAGTGTCTTTTTTCTGTGAGCGTTCTTAGGTGTGGTTTATGTGTATCTTTGTGACGTGGCACTCATAGTACAGTACGGCCGTATTCCTCCCATTTCATAATTTCGTTGTCACCTTTTGGTCGACTTACTGTTTATCTTGTACTACACATTTGATAGCCTATTTATTACCGCGCATCTATTGTTTCTTGAATTGTTTCCAACTGAATCGTAACTTGTAGATCTCTGCATTTTTCCATTATTACGTTCCTAATATTTTACTAATCTAGATTCGGTGCAAATTTCTGTGTCATTTTTGCAACCATATTCTTGCTGTTTTATCAGCCAGTTTATGCGCAGACCATTGTTAACCCAAAATCAGGCTTCCCTTTTCCGATTTTAGGCGATATCATGAATTCCGTAATAAAAGGATGGTTTTCTGAAGTGTCGTCAGATTTTCCAGGTCAGGCTTTCAGCCTTCAGGTCAATGAAGTTTTGTTTGAAGGCAAATCCGAGTTTCAAGAAATTCTTATCTTTGAAAGGTTCATTTTCCATCGTCGTTAGTTTTACTCAAGTTTAATAAGTACAGCTAGTTATCTTCGCCTTTTCAGCACTACATTCGGACGCGTCTTGGTACTTGATGGCCGTATCCAACTTACCGAGAGGGATGAGGCTTTTTATCAGGAAATGATTGCTCACATCCCCCTGTGTGCGCATCCGATGCCGCGCCGCGTCCTTATCATTGGTGGCGGTGATGGTGGTGTAGCGAGGGAGGTCGTCCGACACCAGTGTGTGGAACACGTTGACCTTGTAGAGATCGATAATATGGTGCTCAATCTTTCCCGCAAGTATCTCCCCTTTACTGCGTCGGGCCTGGACCACCCGAAGGTCTCCGTTCATGTTGCTGACGGTTTTGCTTTTCTAAAGGAACATGCAATCAATGGGGAGAAGTATGATGTTATTATTACAGATTCCACTGATCCTGGTGGTAGGTATAAGTCTTAATTTATTTGGCGCCATATGTTGCTAATATTTAAGCTTGTTGTGATCTTTGTCTTTCCTTTTGAAGCTCTGAGAGCGTTTGATTGTGTTCCGCAGACCATTAACTTGGGCCATATGACACTATTGCCATGACTGGGTATTCACCATGCCTTAATTTTTGGCTCATTGCAATAGCTATCATAACCATCGGGCGCTCTGGGAGTGAGATGAGGTCAAGTTCACAATTAGGTCATGATATCGCAAATCCACGCAACCGGTGGTAGCAATGGCTTCTGGCTTGATCACATCTCCCAAACAATTTTTCCACCTGTTTTTACTAATTAGGGCGATATGATCTTGGCTCTGTGACTAATTCACACTCTTCAACTCATCATTATTCATAAATTCTAATGGAGGTCGCATTTTTGGGATCCCAACTAGTTTTACGTCATCTCCAATAGAATTTTGTCGTCCTTTAGAGTTCGTGTAGTGGCGCAACTACTGCAGCGTTTAGACGCTGAGGGAAATTTGGGTCTTATCGATTTGTACAACAGAAGTGTGGAGTTAGCACTTATATGTGGTGTTTCATTCAAGCTGGAGGATTAAAAATGCTACCGATAAAATCTCATGTTTGATGATTCAGTTTGCCATCTAATCCTATGCGCCGCAGCTTCAGCATTTGGTTGATTAATTGCAAACCGAAATACCTAGAGATAGAAAAAGACATTGTTGATAGGTGTCCACAAATGAACGTTTGAATCAGTCAATTAATTAATTAGGCGAAATTATATATTCTTCTTTTCAAACAGGTCCTTCCACTCCACTCTTCAACAAGGAATACTTCCAGCTATTGAATCAAACACTTAACGATGATGGGATTATTTGCAATCAGGGTGAGTCTCAATTACCTCCACTCGTCAATATTTTGAGAAATTGATCTTGTTTCGAGTGTGTTATTATGGCAGTGATCTGATCACTTTCCTAATTTTGTACGAGGAAAGTTGACAGGCCCGTCTGTTGATTTTCTAGCAGTTGACCAAAGGCGCACAATTTTGATTAGCCTGTGTCTGGAGCTTTTATGACTATGCACCTGCTTGCCATCTTTATTACATGAAAGGAAATATTTGTTCCTTTAGATGCAGCAAAGGTTTCCTTGTTTTCAAATAAGATCAGTATTGGCGAAGGAGTATGGTTCTTCTTCAAGCACCTATTCATCCAACTTTTGATTCAACACGTACTGCATTCTTGAGTAAGGCATTAAAAGTATTTTTCTGTTCGGTATTCCCAAATATTTTGAGGTAAGCACATTTCATTCGTTACGTTTCACGCAAGCGAAGTTTTGAACTGTGGTGTGAATTCTCCACAATTTTTGGATGTCATTTTCATTCTGATACCATATAGAGTGTGGAGAGTTAAGGATTTTTATGGTCATTAATACGACTTTTTTGAAATTACCAAGACATATGCTTTGATGGTATGAAAAGCGGAAGAAACGAATACTTTAGCCGTGGACTGAGACAACTACAAAAAAAGGGGTCCTGTTGTGGCGGTACCATGCGCGGTATCAAGTGGAGAACGCATCCACTTTAGTAGTGTAGACGTTGCGTATCGGTATGATCTGCAACAGTAGCTCGAGTTTCTACTCGTATCGGCAGAAGACTTCAGGTCTAGTGCATTGCAGTGTTGGAACAATGCATTGGATGCCTGAAATTGGAGGCCTATCCGGAGGTTGTGTAATAGACAGATCTATTCTCAGTGCCGCTTGGGCTTGGTAGCAGGACGCTCACACTGACTAATTTTTCTGTTCCGAGATTGGCCGTAGAGTACACGTAAACGATGCATTACTACTGTGTACAAATTAGGCGGAAGGTTGCATCTGGTAAGGCAGGGCCTTGAACGTAGGTTTAAAGGTTCCAACCTGATTGGATTATTCCTATACTTACGTCATTCATTGCCTCTATACCGATTGCACTGTTGTTATCTTTAAATAGATCCCAAATAATTGTTTTGCCGCCCAAAGTTGCTGACTCATTGGTTCAGTAGACGTGGAGATTTCGCGTGGGCGAATTTTATGTGCTATTTTGAGCCATATTTTTCAATCTTCATTCAGTTTTGTTTTTCCATGTCGGGGAGTCTCCTATACAGACGTCCATAAAGCGAACTGAGAGCTCTCTATCTGTTGCTCGATCACTACTTTGATGCTAGAAATATCCAAAATCCGTGTTAATTGCTTTTAATTTGTTGTTATACGTTTTACATTTTTTACTATGACTTCCTCCCATTCGTACTCACTTCACATAGGTGAATCCCTGTTCCTGGATTTGCCCATTATTCGGACGATGGTGGGATTTTGCAAGAGTGTATTCCCGAACGTAGGATATGCTTACAACATCATTCCAACCTACACTTCTGGTCACCTTGGCTATATTATCGCATGCAAGAATGAGGTAAGCACTATTGTGCGGTGCATGCGTTAAGAGCGACCACGTTTGGGTACAAAACTATTGCTACTTTGTGAATGCAGAGCACTAATATATGCGAGGCGTCTCGCGAACCGCCAACCGACTGCAAATTCTACACCAAGGCAGTCCATAAAGCTGCTTTTGCATTACCCAAGTGCTATGAAGACGTGAGTTTTTTACTCGACATTACCATTTACCAGTTACTTTGTTTTTTATTTGTTTACCAATTTCGTTGAAAAGTCAAGAGGAGGAATTGAAGTATGCGCGGCCACCATTTGATCCACCTTTATTAACTTAAGTGAGCTCTGAAACCTCATTTTATATCCTTATTATTTACTGAGGCCACTTGTCATTATCGATAATACAAAGACATGCCTCTTTGTCCAATCCAGGATCTTTTGTATTTCGCATGCATCTGTTTCAGAACCATCAGCCTTTAGTAGAGGCTACCAACTGAGATGGTTTTCTGAACTTATATTTATTCCTTTTCCGTACGTGCTGATTCTCTCCAATTATTACCTTTATTCAGATCCTACGACCGTTTCTAAGGACGTAATGTACGACAATTGACTACTCGCTCATTCCTTGGGAGAAAATAATGACTTGTGTGATTGTTAGTTCAATTTTGTAGAAACTTATTTCTATGCCTCACATTTTTCATCGTACATGGGCGTCGGTTCTATGAGGTATGGAGTGGTTTATTGGCTATGGTATAGACTTTTCCGCGTGTTTTTTGGAAAGATTTGGGCAGAATGTTGTTGGAATGAACGTTTTCACGTTTTTTTGGGTTTGAGTGCCTACTGACCCAGGGTGTGCCTTCTTATCCTTTTTCTCCCCATGCAATTTCGAAGGCGTGACCTTTAGTCACAATCCTGGCAAAGAGTGTTGCAATATTTTTTTTGCGTCTGGGCCAAGGCAACCACCCACTTCTCCAGCAGAAGCAGTAGCAGCCGCGTCCAAACGCTTTCGGCTGACATTTAAAATTCACTGGCTCATAGTTGCACCACTCCTATTGGTGCTGGCAGGGGTGAGTCTTTTGGTAATCTACTAAACAATCCTGCCATCTTCTATTGAAAGTGGTGCATTCGTTTCCTGACAAGCGCGTAATAATGTCTAGGGAATTCTCTACCCGAAATGGGCAGTAGCTGAACTGCGCTTTCATATCCCAAAAAGGATAATTATCCAGAGTACTCTAGTGGCTGCATTCTGTCCTATTGTTACCATTTTTATATTGGCACTAGTTTCATCAATAGGCTCTGCCAGGCTGCACCAATTTCCATTTGCTGACGCTGTTTTTTTGCGGTTCTCATTACTGTGGAGAAGTGGCGTACAAGTAATGGGAAGCATTCGACTTAGTTTGCTTTTAAGTTTTGTTGCATCGGATGTGCTAGTTGTCTTACAGCGGTAGTGTCTCATGCCCTCGGGACGAGAAACGAAAATAGCAGGAACTATTGCGATGGTCAAAATAGGTTATGGCTTTAAAAAGTTATGCGTTTTTCATTGTCGCGCATACCAAAGCAAACTTTGATGTACCGCTTGCTGATTTGAGCATCGATAATGGTGTGATTCCCACGAATGATCACCTCGGTTTTCTCATCTGGTCTACGTGCAAGGTGTGTGTTTCGTCCTCCATTCAGAATAATGTCGTGTCGTAGGCAGTAGGTAGGCAGTTTGAGTGGACATTAGATCAGTATATCATTCTAGGGCACTCTTACTTCATTTTCACCAAAAGTTTAAATTTATTAGATTGCTAGAAAATTATTGAGGTTGTTATGGGATAGGATCGACAATTAATATAAGTGATAATCAAAGAAGGAACGCGTTCTCTCCTTTCAAAACCCTTTTTCAAGAAACGACTTTGTCACAACTTTTTCCTTCGCTAGACAGAAAGGTATGCTGAAACAACCATGCAATATGTCACGTTCACAATCGTGACCTATCATGGAACTTTTTAACCGATGAGTCTCAAAGTTGTTCCACAGTGGGTTCCATCTTCCATTGCGATAAGTAGAAGTACACCCATTTGAGACCTTTTGTGCCGATTGGTCCTTTGTGTGCATGGGCGATCGTTGATAGCTTGACAGTATTGAAAGGTCGAGGTATTCTACCTCCCCATCGTGACATCGAGTGTTAGCTTGCTTTTCTTTTGTTATAATAGAGTAAGCCGGTAAGGAACGTGTCACGCATGTGTGCCGTCTGACCTAGGTTTCCCATTTAGAACGGAACATTCAATGGCGATAAAGTGCTTAACAGAAGGCTTTCGAGATAGTGGTGTTCTCACACGTTGTGTCGAATTATCATGCATTATCAGCAGCAAAGAGCAACTGTTCACTTTTTCTCCCACATTGTATACCCATTCAGGGTGCAGATCCAAAGGTCGTGTTGCGTGTGGGCAGGACAAATAAACTAGTGACCTCACTGCACTTAAGCGTAGGAAACAAGACTTGTTAAGGTACAATTATTATTAGACACTATCTACTAGACCTCTATGCATCGTCGCTGCAATGCCTTTTTAAAAGCTTAGGAAATCTATCAGGCTTTCAGCAGTTGTCTGGCGGCTCAATGTGTCGAGGCAAAAGTAAGGCTAAGAAATGATGTGGAAATGTAGCGCAGGTTTGGTTGTGTTCCTAATCACACTGAAGGCACTCAAACAAAATTTACATATCAGTGCATAAAAGACAGTAAATGTCACGTTTTGGGGACCGACATGTGCGCTCCTTTTCCCCTCTGTATGCGCACAAACGCCTATAACAATGGTGATCAGTTAATACCAGTTTCCTTGAAACAAATGATGTGTTCTTCGTAGCTATAAATTCCCTTCGGTCTAGCTCGCCTTTGGGAATGATTGAGCCGTTCAGCGTTCCTACAGAAAAGTGGTTTATTGTTCGCTTTCATGAGCAGCTGAGTCCACGGTCATTGTGGGGTGTTGTGATTGAAGCTTTCATTTGGTAGGAGTAAAGTTGCCATAGGTTGGGTCCAACGTTAGCCGTGCGACGCTGCATGTCCTCAAGCATGTAATCACCACGACTGCTACCAGGCGCTATTAACTAGCGGTGTGAGGTCCTCGTGGCACATGCGTACAGGGACGCACCAACCCCATATCTAATGCGCGCATCTACCAAAGTGGATTTCTGCAACACATATTTCTTTGTTTCCCTAACAGTATCACAGCTGTTTCAAAGGCAGAAGAGGGCAGATAAGTGCTTTTGCATGCTACTTTTCAAAAATATTCGTTTATGAGTTTTGGGAAGTCGTGCGCTTCCTCCCTCTACTTTATCGGGAAGCATATCACCAAATTAATATCAAAAAGTGGGCAGGCATGAGCCAGAAGAGTCATGGAAAGAGGTCCTTTCTGGCTTAAGAAGAGGGATTAGAAAAAGTTAGTGAGGCATTGGGGGAGGAAGAAGGCTCTTGCATTCATTCAATGGACACGGGAATCAGTGCCCCATCAATGTCCATCCACACAGCGAGATCACAATCGGTGGTTGGCAACGCATCACTAAAAGGGCATATATGATGAACATTTTTGCAGAGGAAGATTGGGCTGTCCTCTGCAGGGGGTAGGCAGTGAGGTGCGCAGGCAGCGCCACGACAAAATGCTAGGGACTTTGTGAGTCGGCAAAAATTTCTTTTTTTACGTCGTTGCTTGAATTGTCTTCGCAACCACTTATTCCAGAATCGACCGCACGACTCAAATAGTTCAAATATCACAAGGCAAGAAAAGCCGAAGAAAAATGAACTTAATCCACCGACCTCAGAAAAGAGCTTTGCCAGTCCAAACAACTCTTCCTCCGTCTTCTGGGTAATTGCATCATCTTGAATGAAGTTCACTTCGATGCTGTCTAAACCAGTAGCATTGGGAAAGCGCACCTCATTGTGCTTCTGATAGGTTGCTGTGTTACAGGCGTAGGGACAGACGCCTGTATCCACCAGCATTATCTGCTGCTCGTAGTAACAGCTGTGAATGCAGTGCTCCTCAATTTCCGGATGGGACGTCCAGAAGTTCTCTGGCCTGTTTATGCTTTCTCTATCCCACGTACGCAAAATCTCCAACGGACAGTAGCACTGGCACTCATTGTGGAGGTATTCACACGTCTTCTTCCACTGACAAGCAGCCTGAAATGTTGCCACATATCTATAAACAGCTTTCATCCTCCTGAACCAGAAAGACAACTATCTTAGGTAATGTTTAAGGTCATACAAATAAGTCGCTTTCAGGACCATTTGGCTCATAAATTACTTAGAGGGCGTTGATGCCCTGCATTTGCGGGCAGTAATCTGCCCCTGAAACGTGCTTCAAATGCGACTTTGGATTACTGCTGGAAAGGGAGTTTGCCACGGGCTACAGGAAATGCGAAAGGGTAGATGAGGAACTCAGAGCCTAATAGGGTGGTATTTGTTCTAAATAAGTCTTATGCAAAAAAAATTTTGCTTGCGATGTTCCCTCAGACACTGCATGACAAGTTCATTGCAAGGAAAAGAAGTCATTTTACGCTACAAGTACCTTATGCTTGACTAAGTGGACTGCAAAGTCGCAGTAGGATGGATTCAATAGCAAAATTATAATGGACTTGAATGAGAAAACTAAGGAAGTCTTCTTACTCAAGTTAGGTGACAAGTAGACCCAACACAGCGTCCTAACCATCTCAAAACCATCCAAAAGTAGTTTGATAAGAGAGAATGCGAATCATCCGGCAGTAGTATTTTTTCCTCGAACAAATTCGAGATTCTACTCAATGCGTGGTTATATGCTCATGTCACCTGGCTTTGTATGATTGACGATGTCCTCAGAGGGATGCTTAAATTCAAGACGATTGGCTATCCAAGTGCCTAAGTATTCATTCAATTACCTACAGTAACCGCTCGGACCTGTCACCTTGTACCATCAGTGGCATTGCTCCGGGGCTACCAACCGCCAACCGCGATTGCGTCAATTTTCAATCCGAACATCAGTGAAATACCTCATGGAGGGTCGTACATTGCGGGGATGAAAATAGTCAATTTTAGGAGCTATGGGACTTGTTTATACGCCTAGCGAAGACAGGAAGCGCTATGACCGTTAGGACCCAGAGTCTGTCGGACATCCAAGTTGAGCCTGCTTAAACTCGCTCTGGCTGTCAAACTCCATTGGCGTCCCAGAGCAAAATCTGTTCACATTTTGTGTACTTTAGTCTAATTTTAGCTGAGTTAATTGCAGCGACGGCTGAGAGAAGCCTCCTTAATGGCCATTAATTATTGATGCAAAAATTGTGGGGTGCCAAAAGCAAATACATCATCCTCAAATCCTACTCCTTGTGACAAAACTGTTTTGCGATTAAAAAATCGTCTTCGTTTGCACTGCCCACATCGTCGTTCATAATTAACCTAGCAAAGACAAAGTGGTCCTTAAAGTGAGGGATGTCAGACTGAAAAATGCCCTGTTTGGGAGGAATTGTCCAGACTTGTTTATGAGGATGGCAGCACGTTAAATTGTCATTTTCACGATGTTAACATCCTTGGTACGCTGGAACTTTCTTTGGTATCCTGCAAAGCGTTGTCTTTAAGCACCAAAAATGCAAAAGCTAAGGTTATAGACCGAGGCAGTTTTCTTAAAGGAAGGTGAGACATTTGCGTGGTATGCAATGGCAATTTTGGCTTGCTAAAAAACGATTTGTTATTGTTCTGCGCAGTGGCGAACAGGTTAAGTTGTTCTATACAAAGCAAGCAACATTAGGACTTTTACTCGTTACAACATTGCCAGCACTCCTTCTGATGCCTTCTCCTTAAATAGGTAGCGCGCACTTCGTTTCTAAATGTCTTTAAGCATCTGCCTCTTGTTACCTTCCCTAGCCAGATGTTTTTACTTTGTTTTACTTTCAACAGAAGGTAACAATCAGCAAACAGATTACTGCCCATTTTGAAGAGGAGAATTTATCCATCTGACAGTGATGCTTTATCCGAACTGTAAGTTTGTCAATGCAACAGCTAAAATGCGTCAACCACCTCCAAATGTCCTTGGGTGGGTCCTATTAGCCAAGGGGGTTCACTTTATTGTCCCTTTTAACTACTCACTAGGGTAGTAGATGCTTGACAGTTCGTAAGATAAGTAAATATTGTCTAAAAATACTCATCCTCATGGGGGGCTGTTGATTAATAAGCCGTTGTCATGGTGAATGGCTGAGCGCGGTTCATGATAAAATAGATGATTGGCTATTGAAGCGAAGCTTTCCTTTGAAACCAAGCCTGCGTACACTCATGCCACCACATCCCTCTGTTGCCATGGCTTAGGGCTAGTGGTTACGACTCGCAGACCCAAAAAGGATGAACAGGCGCAGGTGACGCACCCACACGCACATGCAGCACATCCACTGCTGAGACGCGGAAAGTTACGTCAGACCCCTTCCTCCAAAGAACATCATGCTTATAAATCTTCATCTACGCACGATTCGGAAGAAGCTGAGAGCTGGACTTCTGTCCAGCAGTAGTTTGCTCTACTTGCTAAGGCCGTGCACTGACAGATGGATTCGAAGAAGCATAGTAAACTAATTATTAAGGCAGTTGGGAGGTGAGATTTCGTGCGGCAAAAGTAAGGAGGCGTTGACTCAAATGGAGTTACATTTGAGGCAGGAAAATATTATTTGTGATCATCAATAACTGGGCAGTGATAGTGAACAATTTTAGAACAGTCAGCAGCCTATTCTTGTAGCAGTTCTGTAAATTTTTACCATTAATCTAGCAGTCACGAGTTAATGGCATGCAGTCGGACAAACAACCACAAAATATCTGTATTTTTCGATGAAAATTGTGTAAGATGTTTAAAATTTGGCATGATGTTTGCTTCAGAAAGAATGCTGCATTCGAAGACCTGAATGCTCCGAACACTGTGTAAGGTACTGCTTCCCTTGAAGTGTGCTTTGATGGTATTCAATGAAGTCGCTTCATTCACATCAACAGTATTTCAACGGATGATCTTTTCGATGCTCACGCAAGCTGCTTACGATAGGGGCTTCTGAGCCCGCGATGTTATTCTATGTCATGATGGGATGCTTTCTGAATTGCAGCCCTAGGGAAAAGCAACACATCAAAATGTATCGAGATTGGATGCTTTGAATCTTTCGTCTGCATATTAGAAAACACGAATCCCAACCTCTTCCACGACGAACCATTACTGCCAAAGTTGTGGAGAGTAAAACCATGCAATTCCTTCGCCAACACAAACACAGTGGAGACAAGGTCAAGCTGAAAGGCCGTCGTGTTTTAGTGACAAGTGCATTAACAGTTAGCCATTTGACGATATTTGTGGGTCGAGGGTAAAGCAAGGTTCGTCAACGTGTCCCACCTAAGGCGTAAAGGGAAGGGCGATTTTGCAGCCAAAACTGCATGTCCTCCTACAACACAACTCACTTTTTTGCAATCACCTCAATTTAGTCTTTGAACTTTGTAATGGCAAATCCGTTCATTTTGGACCGCTTTTAGGGAATAGCAATTTATAGGAGGTTGTAGTAGTCCTAGTCATCTACAAACACTTTGGTTCAGCCTTTGGCAATCATCTAATTGGGACAACTTTCTACAAAAAAAGCCAAAAAGTAGCACATCAAGTCGGGTTGAGAAGTGATCGGATCACCCAAATAGCAGCGTTTCAAGGCGGGATCGCAACAGACGAACTATCTATCAGTGAGGTTTGCATATTACTACCCAGACTCGTTATACTAGCAAATGAATAAAAAACACGAGGCATACTTGATCGTAATCGTATGTCTGACCCAGCACTTCTATTGGGCCAACTTGGCAGTGCCGATTGCGATTGGTGTAGCTGTGTTGGAGGTTTTTGGAATAGAAGGTGTGCACCTGTGTACCGGGCACAATGTGGTCGTAGAGGTAGCGGCCATAATTGTCCAACGGGAATCCCTTGGCCTCGTGAGCAATCACCTTGGGCCGACCGGACATCTGACGATCCTCATCAGCCAACTTAATTCTCACTGTTAACTGCAGGCAAAATTAAAATAAACTCCTCTTGATTTTTATTGTTGTTAAACTTTTCATTTTTGTCTGAAATCTTAAATCTTGGAAGAAAAATTTTAGTCGCAGAGCGCACTTTATAGCCACCTTAAAGAGGGAAGAAAACGGATCTGTTCATTACTTTGCATCGAAAACTGTTAATTTCGGCCCAATTAAGCGTACATTTGCCTTCAAGTTGATGGACATGTTATTTTCCTTGTTGAGGACATATTACTAGAAAAATCAAGACAGTGACTTTATATTTAACATGTCACCAAAATGTATTCGCATCACCCCTAGTGAGTCTATTGGAACAACTTGAGCTTTTGTTTGCCACTATAAGTAGAGCTTATTTCGACAATAACGTAGTATGAAGGCGATTAAATAAAACAAAAGAGGTGCTTGCTACAGCCAGTTATCGACTCTGTCAGTTTAGTTAGCCGCATAAGAGTGCGTGGACATTTCATTTTACTCAGACCCCTTCTGTAGTTGTGCGTGCATCTTCGGATCCCAGCCATGCGCCGCATCCGATCTGTGTAATGATGGTTGCTATCACGGTAGATCGCGAGCTGTCAAATTCTGGTGCTAGCATGGCTTAGACTTTGCCTTGACAATTTGTGGATATAACGGCAAAAGTGGTTGAGTGCTCCTATTTAGTAAGTGGACAATGAAAAGAGGATGTATTTGACATCTTTTAGAAGCGCGTCACTCATCCGCCACCCGCACCCTCGTTGGCCTCGTGACCATCATAAAAGCACACGGTTTTAATGCTACTTCTAAGTGGAGCTCGAAATCATGGCCTTAACTGTATGGGTGACTTGACAAATTTAATTAATTAATTACTAAAATGAAAGGGCGTTGCCGCACTTTAATAGTGATTTAATTTAAAATCTTAGAAAGGCCCCTCATCATTTTAGCGCCAATTCTGCCCAAATGTCATTCAATGTTTTAACGTGTTGAAAACTCCACACTCGTCGATGTGTGACTAGCTTGTCATTCTGCCTATTTCTGCCACAGAATTGGTGCCCGCATCCAGTCGAAGGGGCTTGACTAGTCGCACCGTTAATCGTACAACCTTGGCGAAAAATCCTGTACAGTGTTGATACCTCAAAACCTGGTATTGGAGAGCCTAAAACTCCAAACATGAAGTTGAACTGCCGGCATCCTCGAATTTCAGTTATTCTGTCATGTTCAACTGCCACTGGAGCACTTAAAATTGTCCAGTTTCATTGATTACAGGCCATTCTAGCAAGCGTTCACTAAAGTACTATAACTGCGTGAATTGCTCTCAAGGGGTAGGAGGACGAAGGGCAGCTTTCCAACCAACTAATTGTGATAAGATATGTGGAAAGGGAGGATCATCCATCGCTTAACTTCAACTCCACTGTAGCGTTCATGCAAGCAATGTAAATACGTCCCACTAAGCACGCCAACCGAAATGACTGCATACGGATTTTGCATCGGCTTCTAGAACAACTGGAGCGTGCCTATGTTGACATTTCACCATCAATCATGTTAGTACTCGCCAAAAAAAGCATCTTCGCAGTGGGCTCGACTAAAACGCTTACACAAAGATTTCACACAACTGGCTGAAGGTGACTGAAATGCCTTCGCTGATAGAACGTTCAAGGGGAAACCGACAGTCACATCTCGATCGCATGATGTTCAGGTTTTAAACAGTTCAAAATTCCAAAGTCTAATCTAAATCAAGAACATTATGCTTCTCTTTCCTTATTGTACGCTGCCGAACCATTCAATGTTTGCCGCACGAGTTGGAGAAATTACCTTTGTGGATGAATCAAGAGCAGATGCCACAAGTCTGTGCAATATTACATGTCTGCATTGTTGATAACGAATGCACCAAAGTGCACTTTTGCATGGCCTAAGGTCTCCCTTTGCATATCCGAATAAAAAAGTCTCCTCCAAAAGGGTGGATATAGTTGAATGAATGAAGTCACATTGCTAAATAATTTATGAAGTTGTGCTTTGCCGTGGGAGGTGACGCTGGTGCGCTTTGAGATTCCCCTTAATAAGCGGAAACAAATATTGTGAAGGTGATGCAGTGTTGCACCACATGCAAGATCAAACAGGGACGTAATAATGTTTACAAATCGTCGGATTGCCTTAAAATGACGCCATCCTGATTAAAGGGTTCTCTAATGCTGATATTAAAGGGAAAGACATTTAGTTTATGCCCCAGAGGAAGAATCTCGTTAAGCAAGAAAATTTTCAAACACGATCTCGCTTTCGTGCCGAACTGCCAACACGATTTTTTGCGTACTTACCAACACGCATTCCTGTCTGTGGTTTGAGAATTTCATTCGAGTGGAAATGTCGTTTATACTTATCATTTAATTCATGCTTGCTTACTTCCTCAAGTGAACAAATATCAACATATTCCTCGCCATACGATGTCCGAATTTAAGTACAAAGTAGCAAATGCTCTCTGTGGACAAAAGCGATTATCCTCCTCACCGTCCCATCCACCCGCCAAGGCCACTTTTGCCACCAAAACGTCCGGTCAAACGCCGACTTGAAAAGGCACTTCCTCGGCCAGCTATTTAATGGTCCACCGCTTAGCAGCCATCGCACACTGCAATCCAGTCTCAATGGACCGTAGCTGAGAGAATGTTTGGTTTGAGCCACTAAACATACTGATTGTGTGCTTAAAAGGCGTGTTAAGAAGAACAAGCTGCAAAATGTTGCTCTCTGGTGTTTTGTTAGTCAGCGAATGAGAGATTACGGTCAAGTTTTTAGTACAGGTGAAATGTTGTCGTGTGCCAACCCGCCCTTACACACGAATTTCTCCAAAGAAAAATAGCAAAACTCAAAATTCTCCCAGTCACAAAAGCCCTATCCGAGAAAATAAACTTGGGGTAGAGTCGTAAAAGTAAAAAAACTCAGATGTCTTAGATGCTAGCCAAAAAAAACTAAGTAAAGCGCAGACCAAAGTCAAGATGTGATTATTTGTGTATTCCAACTAAGAAGCTTGGGAGAGATGTTGATGGGGCGAGAGAGGACATTTAATGGGATTTTGAAGGACCTGACCCTGTCGTCATTGGCTTTAAGGACATGGCATACGGCCACATTAGCTGGAATCGCGGTGGGCAGGGCCACAACTGTCATTGTTTCATCACTCTTCTCTTCTCCTCTCACATCTGCCTAAAATGTTTGGACTTTTGGAGACTCCATCTATCAGAAGCCAGTCCACTTCAAGTGCTTGGACTCGCTTTTGGAAAATGAAGCATTTTGAGCACAACGATGGTAATTTAACTGCTACAGAAAAGTAGGCTGGTTAGAAATTTTCAATTAATATTTTTATCTATGGTCTAAAATTTGGTCGTCGACAGATTTATTTTAATGTTAAAAGGGCACGAAATTTAGAAAGTATGAATGAATTTGGAATCTTATTTAATCTTTTGATTGTCAGCAATGCTTGAGCTTGGCAATTTAAGGTGTGTTCGGCTTCCATTGGCAAATGAAGTAAAAATGCTCCATGCCACTTTTTCTTCAGGAGAAACAACGAATTCGTGATTTGCTTTCATGTTCCCTTTTCGTGCGCATTTGCCATGAGGAGAGCCGAGGAGTCGGCACAAGGTACCGCACTGGTGCAAACACAAAGCCGTGGTAATTGGAAGCCGTGGTCGAGCTTTCAATTCATCGCATCCACAACGTCTATGCCCGCATGTTTCGGACCTTGGGGTAATGATCGGTGAAAGTGAATTAATTCCAGAAGCTGTTCATAAACATCTCTCTACTGAGCTGAACATTTTGGTTGAGTATTTTTATTGCTTAGTAGTCTATGTCAAGATGATCTAAGGAGAGGGAGAGAGAGAGCGAGAAACTTTCACATACAATGCCCAAATACCCTGCTTTCGTGATGAATAGCTGAGGGTGGCGTGCATTCCCACAAAACACGAGATGTGTACACTGAGCCAACGAAAATCGCCTTCCTATGCCGCGCTAAATTTTGGCTTCAGAGCTTTGTAATCCCCACAGCTTTCATTAATTCCGAGAAGAAAAGGAGATGCAGGAGAAGGTGGTGCATCCCTATATGCCAAGCATCTGCACCCTCACCAGCCACAACATTTTGATCAGCGTGACGCAAAAGTTGCTTCGCTTTGTGTACGTCCCATAAAGCGTGATAAGTCAGTACGTCTAGACGCCAGCTACCGTACCTTTGGTCTGACCGTTGTTGGAGGCATTTGAATAGGGAGTAACAACGGCCATTAGAAGTAGCAGAGTGCAAAGAAGACCATACGACTCCGTTTGTTCGTCCTTTTTTGATGGACACAATACTGGCCCATAAAAAAGTGTTTAAATACCCTTTGTACTTTAACAAAATGGCCAGACACGGTCATCATTAAGTTTTGATGCTTTGAAAAATGCATTTTATTTGCATAGGATGGGCGAGGAGATTGAACTACCTAACTTTCGGGTTGTACATCAATTGGATTAGCACAAGAAAATTATGGGCTTCGTGGATAGAGTGCACACCACAGCTATTTAACCATTTTGGCAAAGGGAAACAAGAAGGAAGGTAGAGTTGTTAAGTTATCCTGGCACCAATGCTGAGGTATAGGTTTGTGACAGTTTATTCACCTCACTCGCATTCTTTGCCATAGTTGGGTTGCGGTTTACGTACGCATAATGAAATTGGAACAAAGCAAAGTGTTGTGGTTCCGTAGTCTTAATTAAAAACCCAATTTGGATATGAATACCGCCAACAATATGAACTTTCCTAAGATTTACTCACTCTTGGGGAGTCCTCACTTTCGAGTCTATTGGAAACTGAGACTAACGAGAAGGAAGGTATTCATAGCTGATCTCGACGTCGCAAACAGAGAAGACAACACTGAACCATGGTTTCAGATGCTGGCATAGGATGACACCCGTCCGATCGGTGGAAATTTTATGTTGGTTGATGTTGCATTAAGGAACTAAACTTTCCCGATTGTGATGATAGAATTGCTCTCGAGATGTTGGTGGTGAGTGCATTGGGAAAGTAGTAGAACATCAGTAAAACGTCTACTGCTGTCTCATCGGCTACACAAGACCTGTTTGTCTGCTCCCTCTAAAGAGTGCTTTTTTAGCCCAAATAAAAAGCGTGCACACTAGTGCTGCCTGTAAAGAAGAGCCTACATGCAATATGAATGAAGAGTGGACACAGGAAATGACCAAATGTTCGGTGGGAGACTATCTTTTCCACATTACATCAGCCTATTCCAAATAAAGCGTGGTGAAAATTAACTTTAGGAATTATTTTTCGATTTAACTGGGAAATAACACACTATTATGCGTTTTGTGAAGTCCCAGGTAGATAAAGTTGGTCAAAGGTCACAAAAAGCCAACTTTTTGATGTTGGATTTTCTACTTCGAAGACCTCAACGATAAACTTTGTTGTGTGCAAAATGATGGAGTTAAGACTCACTCTCGAGTGGTAAAATTTCCTCTGCTTGAACGTACACAAACACCCGCAAATTCAATCTCTTGGCGAACTTCTGTCTTAAACCAAGCAGACGCTTAGTCGTGGCGTCGAGCTGATGGTGGTGGTGGATTGCTGGTGAAAGTACACATTTGCCTCAAACAACGGCAATTACAAATTGGAAACATGTAATGTGAAAATGAGGAGAGGTAGAGGAAGTATTTGTTTCTACGTAATTCCATAATGGGACGTTTTTCGGAGAGCTTTAATGTTAATTTTAAAGGCACCTGCAGCTCAAGGCTAACAAACACGGAAAGGAATTGGACGGACCTGGAAATTTGAAATTTTACGCAATATTTCATTTTTGGTAGTAAAAAGGATTTCGTACCACTTTAAATGGACGTCGCGGGCTACTAGTGGATCAGTAGGAAATGCGTGTCCATAGTTCCATTTGCTGCTTCCTTGTGTATGCGACTTAACGAAGGGAGGGAAAACCACTGCAGACTTCATGCAAATACCGATCACCCATTTGGCTAACACCTTTGACCAAATGACGCAAATCGGTAATTCAAAGTCGTCTACTCATTTCACTCTGATACCTTGTCAGGTTTGTTTGCAACGGTGACCACTGAAGGTCGTAAAACCCAGAATGTGCCTCCCTCAAACTTGTTTGGGCAAATTATTTGCTAAACAACTACGAAAACCGTAGTCCATTATTCTTCTGGGATGGGAGGAGGGAAGGCTTTGAGAAATGAAATCATGCTTGGCACCTGCTTGGTCAAAGGTGAACTTCGGCAGAGTTTCGCGTTGGCGGATGTGCGCTCGCATGTAGTGAACAGCGCCACAGGTAGCAACACCTGCAGTTGCCATCATTCCAATGTGGAGCAAACAGATTCATATAAAGGCAGCACTGCGAGACGGTCATTTACTACCGTTGTTTAATTGCCCATATAAAATACGGCGAATTATTTCCACACGTCAAATGCTTTTTATTAAAAAAAAAACAGCAGAAATGGAAAATGAAGAATTAGATCGTTGTTTAAGATGTCGTGGTTACTAAATAAAGGTGTGGCAATTCGTACTCTGACTATTTTATGTTAGCTTTTAAAGAGATTTAAAGAAGTTGCCCACCTTCTTCTCTGAATTGTACCAACAGGGTAAATTTAGTCTCAGGAAGGATCGTAGACACCGTGTTGATTGCGCCATGGGATCTCAGAGAAGTCTTATCGTACATAGTCGGAACGGTGACAAACATCGTTGTAGGTTCGAGCACATTGAAGTCAAGGCAGGAATTTCATCCATTCAATTTAACATATTTAAAGAAGCCGCAGAATTAAATCCACAAAATGCTTTCTTGCATGAATAGTGGTAAGAAGAGATCATCTCTCAAGAATTCGAAGCAAGAATAAGGAATAAGGAATGCAAAGACATTCGGCTTCCAGAACTTTGTATCCTCGGAACGGGAAGCGTCCAATCATGTCGAATGCTGTTGGAGTGAATACATAACCGATATGTGCTGGTAACCAGGAAAGCGTTTGCTCCAACAATGCAAAAAAGGCTTAAGTGGTGTTAAATAATTTCCATCAAAGTTAATTTGTAAACAACGGGTGTTACCTAACAAAGTAATGAGGGAATGGGTAATGCAAACTTCACGGAACAGGAGCTCCAAAAGTCGTACCAACCGGTGGGTCGTTCAACCACCAATAGACTTTGCAAACTAGAAACTTTCGTTTAGTGGCACACGTTTGAGCACCTTCGTCGATTGCTATTACAACATTGAGCTTACGAATGGAAGAGGAGTTTCAGCAGGCGCCTTAGCCAGTGAATGAGTAAAAATGAAGGTTGCTATTTTGTATCGCAAAAGTCTAAAAGCGGAATACGTGACACAAATGTGCGACAATAAGTCATCACTGCACTCCCAATTGCAAGATGACAAGTGGCTATGCAGAACGTGCATTAAAAAAGGTCAAATTTTTTCAATCTCCTCGGTTCGAATCCATTTAATCAAGTTGAACGTCGCTCCGCATAAAAAATTAGCATTACCAAGAATGAAGAAGAGCTTCCTACCAGGTGCATCACCACATTGAATTAAGTCTCTTTCACAAAAAAAACTGCATTTTTAAGTAAACGTTTCATAAAAAGAGTTTAAAATAGCACCAGTGTATGGACTAAAACTTCGGAAGAAGAAACCTGGTACTGAGAAGAAGACACTTCGAAGTTGAATTACTAGCAGAAAGGGAGAGTGAAGGAAGTGGTGGCTCTTGTTGCAATACTTACTAAACTACGCAAGGCCTACAACCGTCACGCATGGCCGTCCTCTAGCGGAGTGTAGCCCCCTGATCCTCTTTTCATGGCAACAATAAGCCATGCCTCCACTTTCGTCTGCCACGTTAGGCGTTCGCGACCCATATATTTTCCGAACATCAGAAAAGTTTGCCACTAAGACGAAGATAGAGAAAGAATTTTTAATGCTGACATTTTACGTAATTTCCGGTTCTTTCTGCGTTGTCCGAGGCCCCCTTCCCTACTCGAATGGCAAAAGTTTTATTGATTTTTCGGGAAATATTCAGTCGCATTTAATTAGTAAAGCGTTTGCAGTGAAGATCACGCTTAACCTACATAAACCGGGACAAGGTGAGGCGCACTTTCGACCTCTCCACTTCCTGTTCTGAAGGCATAGAACCGTGCACCAAGGCAACATAAAAATGCTCCGGCAGAGAGCTTAAAAATACACTTGCTAATGTCAATAAAAGCACTCAACTGTTTTAAGGCTCTAAGACTTGAATCTGACATGAATGCAATTAAAAATGTTATTACTTGTTTCAGGTAGTTAAAAAGTTTTGCGTTCAAGAGCCTGAAGGTACAGCCTTTAGTTGGGGAAAAATCAACTTGGGTGACTTTGTATTTGTGGGTTGAAACGCACTACGGATTATTTAATATGACGTTTCTTCTGATAAAAATTGTTTACAAATTCGATAGACATAAAAAGGAAGAAAGATGAGGCGATAATGGTGGCTAAAGGAATCCACAAAGTAACGATGACATAAAGCTACATACAATGAGGTGTTCGCACTGGCAACTTACTATTTTCCAAAACTCATGCTCGGAGCGGCAGGAGTGATTGAGTTTGAATGTGGTGCAGACTTCGTCGGGTGGAATAGGCACTTGTTCGGTGACAGAGAGGGAGAGAGAGCCGGGAGGCGATGTATCAAAGGTCACATTGAAGTGCGCCACTGCGGCAATGTAGGCGGAAACGGAGTGAAGTCGTGAGCTCCACGTCATCTCTCCCTTGGCCTGACAAGGCAAATCAACACCCTTGAGAATGCTCCAATTCCTCAAGGGTGGAATGCTCAGGCGTCTGGCGTGGACTCGGTAGGTCCTGTGCTCATCTAAGCAAATGGTGATGGAGGGGGGTTGAATGCCCTCAGTGAGACCAATTTGGTCAACCCGGAAGACGGTCTTGTGGGAGAGGTAATTGGTGATAGTTATGCTGAGCATACAAATAATGCAAATGAACATTAGAATGCAGCACACCGCATAGATGAGACGCGTTTTGCGTCGGGGATGGAAGAACATCTTGACCACAGGAATGAAAGGTGTTGCCACGCCAACAAAGGACCCAGAATTAGTGCGGCGTCTTTTTATATGCTCCCACCACCTCTGAAAATGCGAGGCAATTGATTTGACCATGCTCTTAGTCTCGCATCCTCCAGGATGTTTTGCTTAAACTATGAGTTTTGACGGATGTAGATCGGACTTATCCTCTTTGCTGGCGGCGGAGGTGGTAGTGGCGACTAAACGATATCCCCACTTGCACGCACATCTTCGTCTTTGCCGAAGCAGCTGTCACCCGTAGTAGTTAGGAGGATGGAACGAGACCAATCAGATGTGGGTGAAGCTTTTTCACTCCTCTGATTGGCCTTTCGCTCCATCAAATTTGTCTGTTCTTATTTGTAAACTTCATTTGTGCGTATGAGTTTTTTTTAAAAGGGAACTGCAGGGTATGAGGCGGCAGTCGTTTCCTAACATTGGCGCAATATTTTTGCTCAACTTTTTCGCTATGAAATTCTGAAATTTTGTAAACTAACAAGATTTATAAGCTACATTTGCGGAAGTTATGCCTCAAAGTCTCCTTTGACTCGAGTTCTATAAGTGAGAAATTTCAATTGTTAAAACGGAGCTTTTCAAATGGCCCGATAAGGAAATTAAAAGTCAGTAATTTTTGAGAGTTCGCTAAAGTTGGAAAAGTTTTATTGCTGCATTTCGGTTTATTTACCAGATCTTTGCACCATTGCATATGTACGTAGGCCTGAGAACGTGAGCATGAACAGAGGGTTTAATAGAGCGAATGCAAACTACAATTGACCTAGTCCTTTTCCTTCTCCTCCGGTCCCCATTAAAGGTCTGCAGTTCCAAGTGGAGGGTTATAACACCAACACAGAACTCAAAGCAAGCTGACGCATTTGGAGCCCTACAGCAGGCGTTTTTATTGCGGTCGGCTGTGGTTACTGAGACCTGGTGTCGAGAGGTCATTAGCTTCCTGCTGAATTGCTTAGACAAGGTGGCTAGCCAAAATCTGATGGATAGCCGAGAAGTCCTCAAACTTTACTTCAACACCAATGACTGACAGATACTGTATGAACGATCCAACTTTCTAGGAAACAGTGCAATGCATTTGTTTTAAAGTTATCGAGTGAAACAAAGTGCATGCGTCACATTTAGGTGGCCGATTGGGCATATTGCTTATGCACTGAACGTGTTGTCTGAAGCATTCCATAGTCGCTCGGTCTAGGTAAATTTGAAAACTAAAACTTTGAATTACTTTATATTTTAGGGACACTTTCCACTGATATTATCAAAACACCTCGTTTATCACTACTCTTTGCAAATGCTTAAGCTATCAACAGAATTTAGCCTTCTATTTACCCACAATGGAGGAAATTTTGTACGAGTTTATCGAGGCGCACAACTGTTTTGTCCTCACATTTAGCACAAATTCAGAGCACACACCACGGGGTTTGAGTCGCCTCGAAGACGCTCCGTTGTGGCGAGTCTGCAGAAAGTCAGGTAGAATTGCAGTGGATGAGCATGACCGGTGGTGATGATCGACTCTTGTGCAGAATGAAGAGAGTGTGAAGCCAAACAATGCAATGCTGTTTTTTGGGATATGTGAGACAGACACTGGACACGTCAAACCAGGTTTATGAGTTTCATTTGTCTTCGCATCTGATTGTTTTTGACTCCATTTAACGTAAGTACACGAATCTTACAAAGTGATTGCGCCACTAAACTGGGTGTCAATGAGTTACCAAAACTTTGAGTGAATGGAGACAATGTCTTAACAGCGAAAGTATCACTCCATTCTGTGGGAACTGCAAGACCCCATTTCTCCCTTTGAAAAGTATTTATTGCTCAAAATATAACAGCTTATAATGTGCCATCTTTATAAAGCAAAAGTTCTCGTAGCAAGTTAAATCATTCCGTATGTTCAGTCTGAGTGCAAAATGTGGTGCAAGATCAGTCGAGAGATAACGGTCGTCTCAATTGTCTGGGCTTGCCCAGCCGTAAAATGGGCTTCCAAAGCCAGCACTAGTATCGCAATAAATCATCCGAGGGCAAAGTTTTATTTGATCCCTTCATCAAAGAATGCTGCGGTGTTTCAATAAAGCTGATTAAGTTTGGAGTTAGAGGTTAAGAAACGGTTAAAGATGTTGTGTAATTTTGGAATACTTGCTACTTACTTTGAGGTGTTTGACTGCTTGAAAATGGAATCACCGACAGAAGGTGAGTAAGCTAACAGCCATGCGATTCCACCTAATGTATGCCTTTTTTGTCGAAAATAAATGGGAAATTTCAATTTAAGGAAACACTTTATAAACAGCCAGCTATTCAAATAGTTTAGAACAACTTATTTGGGGTTAAAATGATTGCCACTAAGTCCACATTTCGTTCAGGCCTCCACTTTATGCCTTTCGCAAAGACGCAATCCCACGGTATTCCACGAATGTGACGTCCTTCCGCACTGAATCCCATCTCACGACAAAGGAATGCTTTGGAAGTGGTCCAAGGAAATACACGAAATTTGCTCCTGAGGCATACTTGAACCTAAGCAAATGCTTTTGGTCATAGCTTCTCCCACCAGCACACTTTCTGCACCTTGCAACACAACCAGAATCAGTATTGAGAGACACTTTATGGTTTGACTGCAAGGTAAAGAGCAGCGATTTGATACGCTCAATACACTCACTACCTTGGAAGGAATTTTCGTTTCCTGTGGAGAGAGGCAATGCTTAAATGCCGTCTTAATCACATCAACTTAGTACTAATGCAGTTGAAAGAAAACGAATTATGCAGTAATCCAACCGGCTGATTTACTTTCAGTTTGAAAATTCGTGCATTGAGAGAGCGCTCACCATGCAAATACTCACTCCTCTTCCTACAAATTTCCCTTCTAATGAATTAACTTCCAATCCCCTTGATTCGCACTTGCATCGCAGTCCAGCAATCCAAAAGGGACGAAATTACATCCTTAAAGCCTGTTTACCATCCCATATCCTCTTGGCCATCCAAAAAAGTATCATATCAACAGATGCAAGATAATATTGATAGGATTAAGGGCAAAACTCACGACAACAATTACCAATTCTATGTTGGTTATAAAATCCACATCACAGACAGGCATGTGTTTCCCAAGGTTTGTGATTTGGGTGGTTTCCTCTTGAGTTTCCTGGGAGCACCCAAAAATACTAACCTGCTTTGACCTCAACAAACAAGTATGGAAGGAAAAGCAAAGGAGAGCAAATTATGAAAGTGACGCAAGTCCAAGCAAAGCTCAGAACAAGTGTCAGGAAAGTACGAAAAGGGAAGCACAACTAGAACGTCTTCGCATGGTCAAATGTAAAATGAGGGCAGTTAAAGGGGCCCCAATAGTTTTGACAATTCCATTGCCATTGACTTTTCAACTCCATCACTTTGACCTCAGCATTCAACTCATAGCACAGGCTCCGTAGGCATAAGCCATTCCGTCGAGAGGAGGTCGCTAAGAGAGTACCGATCACAGGGGCACTGCACTACCGTTTTTTTCCAATCAATACTTGCAGCTTAATCGCTTAAAAGAACTGATGTTATTGGTATACCCCAGAGGCCATTCCGCTCAGAAAGAGAGAGTAAAATTCACCAAGACTTGAGTACTTAAGCTAAATTAATCAACCTGGCAAAGCATTGTAAGGAATGGTTTCCGTTGAAGACGAAGTGCATCTGTAACCGCATACAAAATTAAGCACATTTTGAAAGGGTTACAATGATGCGATCAAGAACGATAAATGTCAATCAACACAGCACAGAAAAAGAATTCCACAAACAAGTTCGATCAAATTGCCACTTTTAATGCTCAAAGCACTCCATTCCTATTATTGAATTACTGCTTATCGAGATCATAAGTGCTAACAAATAAGCGCTAAAAAATAAATGTTTCAAAGTGCTTGCCCACAGCTGTATGACGCACGAGTCGCTTAAATGCACCTCACGCACCATCGGCCTAACTGAGAATTTATCAAATCTGGATCAAAGAAAAAAACCCTTCCTGCTTATGCTTTTCCATTAATACCTGCGCCGTTCTGCTCTTTAAGACGGTTTCAGCATGGCGGACATTCGTTAAGGCGGAAAAAAATGGTAGAGAATATAGCAACCTAAACCTTTTCAACAAAATGGAGGAGGAAGATGTTGCTGTTCATCATTAAGGTTAAATGTCTTGCAATATCATAAGTTATCCTCCCCATAGTGGCAGAAGATAAAGGGAACAACAATATGTAGAGATCGGAACGTAAAGAGGAGCCAGACATTTCTTTTCAGAAATGTGTGATACATTGGTAAAAACTTTTTATTTAGAAATGCTGGTATTCTAACATAGCAAAACTAAAACTAAAAAAGCAAAGTATGTTTTGTTAAATAAGTTCTGACTTATTGATGCGGTTAGGTAAATGCCTAAATATGTTTTACTAACCCTTTAAATTTGCGCAAGTTTGAGTATTGTTGGGTGCGGCAAGAATGTCGAATAAAAGGAAGGTTCAAGTTTCCGATTCCGATCTTGAATATCTACGTGATCTAACTAAGAACTATGCGAGAAAAAACGCATTTGACAGCAAAGGAGTAGTGCTTCTCTGTAAGACCCTATTTCCAAACAATGCAAAAATAAAGGTGAGCTCTAATTAGAAAGTCTTAGTTCGTCGACAGGTTATGGAATATGAGATAGCCAAAAAAATGGGTAACTTTAAGCTCGCATCATCAATCCTTGCTGAGAGCTATACATCGCGCAATAGTCGATGGGCGGATGAAGTAAGCAATATTTTCGCGGGTCTACAGTCTGCTCCCGTTAGTCAGCAGTGTCAGAGTAGGATTGTTTTGGATTTTTCAGCGTCATTGCGCTAGAGTTATTTTTTGCACTCCCGCATCGTATTCAGACGGATATGACTATTTCCTATCTCAATACCGTATTCACTACCGTTGAATCCAAAGCAGATTTCATACTTCAATTTCTCACTAACAAATTAGAAATGCTTGTGGAAGGCGGTGTTGTTGGAGTCCTGCTAGAGAATCTCATTGACCTGCTTATGGCCGCAGAGCAGAAGCATTGCCAAGCTTTTAGCAGTCGGATACAAAATTGTAAAGTTATTTCGAGTCCTCCACAATCACCTGCTAAGGAAGTCACAAGTCTACCTTCCACGCAACCTTGTCCGACGAATGAATTTAGCGGAGATTTCGAAACCGACGAAGGTGAGGAAGGTGAAGTTCTGGAGGAAGCTGATGATGATGATGAGGAGGAAATGGATGACGAAGATGTTGATAATCAGGGTTCAAGGCTGCTAGTCGAGAAGCAGTGTATTAGTGCACTGAATTTTCACAGGATGCGACTAGCTTGCGAAGTTTTTCCCATGGTCCATCGCGTAGGTGTTAAATATTTCTGTATTTACTTTGACTTTTTTTGCTTTAGACACGCAATGGAATCAAAATTAGTAGTTCTCAGCTACATACGCTTGTCGTAAAGTCATTTCAGTTCCTTCTTACATTTGCTGCACAAGTTCCTTTTGCGGCGAATAGTTGCCCGGAAATCTTCGGCCTCTCGGGGCCTCTTCCAGAACTGTTAAGAATGGAGCCTGCGAAGTACTTACGGCTTTTTCTCGACATGGCTTCAGACCTCTTAAAATGGCCTGTTACAGGACCTTCCTTCCAAATCCAACATCACTCGGACATCTTTGACATGCTTCGAACGTGCTACCACATTTATAAGGACCTGGAGCACGAAGTCCAGCGTCAAAAAGGCGGTAGCGGCAGTGGTGGTGGTGGTGGTGGGAGTGGTGGTGCGGGTGTTAATAATAGCAAGAAGCGTACCTCTGCCACGGCCCACAGTCTGTTCACAGTAGCTAATCAATTCGTTTGCATATTTTGGTCGCTCTTTGTTGAGAAAGGTATTGCTTGCCTACGAGAATTCAGCCTTCGGACTTGTGTGCCCTTTTGCACCACAACAGCCGCTTTATCGATAGACGGATGTGATCTGCCTATGGATGAGCAGCTTTCGGAGTCACTTCACTTTCTTCAGTCACTGTGGTCTCTACGACTTCGTTTCAAAGCTCAGGAGAAGAAATCAAGGTCAAAGTCTTCCAGGAAGGTCAAGTCGGTATTAGAAGACGCTTTTTCCTCTCTTCAGCCACAAGGTGGTGCTTCTGATCCCAAATTTAGCTGTCTTCTTGAGTTATTGGTTCGTGTTAACCTGATACTAGCCGGTTTGAATGATGTAAATGCGGATTTTGAGGAGGTATTTGAGAATTCGGCCCTACTAATCGGTGCTTATAGCGAAGATCAGTTCCGAGCATTGCAATGCTTATTAAGCGCGACAAAACTTTGTTTGAAGCCACCAACGCAGGCAAAACAGTTAGCTGCTGATCGTTTACGACTTGTTCACCGTGTTCTCGAGCTGAAGCTCAATGATACTGAAGAAAGTCGGTCGTGGACGAAGCTATCGAATCAAACGATTGTGATTTCAATTGCAACGTCAAGGCATGCTGCTGAAGCTTGTATGGCCTGTGTTGAGCGGTGGCTGGTGGGGGCTATTACTGCGCGGTCTTCGGTTGATGCAGCGTGTCTGGCTTTTGTTTTACATCAGAATCCATTTTGGGCGCGATTGTCGGATTTCACATGTCCAGGTTCGGGGGAAGTCATCCCATATCTGAAATCGAACTGGTCAACTGCGAGGGAATCCTTTGTTGTTTGGTTACGAGATGGATACATCCAGAGTCCAAGTCTGCTAAGTCACTTGGCTCAGATGGAGACGTGCATGGGAGAGCAGGAGGGGTAGGGATAGTACTTGCTTATTTGTTTATGCTTGGCAAGTCTTAATAATCGATGGTATATTTTAGCCACGACTCGGAGGTTCTGAACCTTTGTACAAGTCTTATTCGCTCTCCTCCCTCTGCTGACGCATTGTCTACTTTGTTTCATTTCATCAAACAGGAGAGCAAACGCCTCAGGGCCTGCATCAGTTGATTGTTGTAAATGCTTCGTCAACCGTGTACAGTGATTAGTCTGACTTATCTGGACGTCTTCTAAACTTGGGGCTCAGTTGTTAGGGTTGGTTTTGTGGTTTTTGTTTGTTTTTTGGGGTGGGGTTGACTTGCTACCAGAGGTGGTGTCTGGGGCTGCGAAGTCCGTCGAGCCAGCCTTAGCGTAGGTGGATGGGCCCTGTTTTCGGGTACTGAGTGAAAATAGTTTCTACTGTGCAGTGGTTTCGCGTTTTAGACACAATAATTAGGCTCCACTTTAGGCTTAAACAAGTGTAACATTCTTATTTGTCAAAATTGGATTACAATAGTGTCGAAAGAACCGCGTAATTTGAAGTATGGCCCTGCTATTCACATGACGGTTAGGCCGTTCACGCCTAATGTGTTATGTGCTTTCTGGAGTAGCTTCTGTGTCATGTTCTTCACATCGTTCTTGGTTATTAATATTCGGAACTAAAGCGCCAAGTCCGTTAGCTTTGTTACTTTCTATGTAAATCTTGTGTTTTTAATTCACTTTAGGGTCTGACCTTGCAAACATTTGAGTTTCGAACACTTTTAAAATATTTTATGTATCCTTTCCTATTTGCTCTTTGAATCGGGTTTCCTGCTTCTCTAAACAATTTCTCCGCAGCTGGTACATGTCTTAGTCAGTTGCTTCACATTTGAGGCGGTAATTTATGTCTATCATGTTGCAATTCTCTTGTTATTATACAACAGTAATACACAGTGAGGGAATCATATTCTACTAGCTTGCTTCTGTTTCCTTGCTCCTCACACTTGCATTGCGCATGTTTATAAATTTATCCAAGCACCTCGGAGGTCGACTTATCGGCATCTATAATTTTTCCCGCATCAATTTACAAAGCTATGATGTCCCGATTATTTAAAATCAATGAATGCCTTAAACTTGTAGGTCTGTGATGCAAACGGCAAACGTTATGAAGTTATTCAATGCGCTGTTAATCAGCAACCGGAGGGACCGAAAGGTACTTCCATTATCTTTGATTAAATTTCTACATTGTCAGGTTCGCCTTAGTCAGGCCACAAACGCACTCAAAACGTCCTCTGTGTGTAATTATTTGGATGAGAATAGTGCCAGCGAATGGGCTGGATGTAAAGCTGACCCTTTTACTTGGAAGTCCGTCTGCGATATTATTATCCACCTCCTTCAAGACGAATTGCGTTTGGCAACAGCCAGGCGAAGTAGTACTAGTCTTATAACGGCTGAATTTTCTGAGACTTTTCGGCTTTTAAACACCTTTTTCTCACATGGATTGAAAAGTAGTAGGGATATTTCGTAAACATTTCCTTTAGCTGACTTAAAACTTCCCCTTGACGAGATCTTGGTATTTCTCCTCGACCTAATAAATGATGCAACCTTAGTACACCTTCAACCCCTTGCTGTTGATTCGCTCTCCTCTCTCTTGTGGTATCTTCCAATAGAGACACAGGCCTTGGAAATTCGCAATCTCTTCCGTAAGTAGGCACAAGTTTTACTCTTGTACTGCATTATATTCAGGCCTTCAGGATTGGTGTTTTGATCAAATGAAGTCTGCTCCATCTGGCAACGTTGCTCTACTTCTCTGCCATGCTCAAAATGTGTGCTTTTATTCTCGCAGATACCTTCAATGTAATTTTATCTCCTTTTTGGAAAGTGTTCTCATGTGGTAGGCTTGAATGTCTAACACTCTGATGTCCTAGTTTTGAGTGTGGGTGGTCGGATCTCTCGGGTCTAGGGTGGTTCCTGCGCTTACTTCGATGGGCTGTGGCGGAAGTCTGCACCACTCCAGATCTTCATAGGTCGGTAGTCACTTGCTTCGTTAAGCGCGCACCAATTCTTTTTAAGTTCTGGCCGAAATTTCGGGACACTGCTTGCCGGTACTTGACGCCCAATCTCCATCTGCCAACTTTGGATATCAAGGACAGGTCATCTTCTATTTTGGCTCAAGCAGTGAGTAGAAACTCCTCTCATGTGAATTGACACCCCCTAAATTCAAGTTTTACGCTTGATCAAGTCCTTTTTTCACGATGAACATTTAATAATCCTGCTCTTACCTACTTTTCAGGTTGGTGGGTGTCTGAACGACTCCTTCGCCCTAGATGGCTTTTATGTAACATCCCCAATCTTAGAAAATCAATTTAATAACTGGAAGGATTTGGTCAAATCCTCACTAGTCTATTTGCCTCCTGATGCCTCTTTCATGGTTGAAGAACAGCCCTTTTTGCTGCCCAGTCGAATCAATCGGCGGCCCCAGCCAAATTGCGTTGATACTGGTTGTGAATTGTTGGCTTTTTGCCGATGGATTGTCAATACTAGTGTTTTTCTGAAAGATAGCATTCCGATAGAAGAGATAAGACCGTTTTTTTGTCTTCTGGTAAATTTTTACTCAACGGAGTGGAGTCGACATGCTGATCGAATGAGGTTTCAAGCAGAGGACTCAATTTTTTCGCAGTTCTCTGGGATGAGCGACTTCTTTGCCACTTTTGGCGCTCTCTTGGTAGCCTTAGAGGCCTTTAAACTGGTTGGTATTGCTTCCTGTCAGTGACACTTGTATTAGACTGAGTTGCTTGACGCATTTAAAGTTCGTTTACCTGATTATCAACAATCGTGGATTTATGAATGCCTTTCTAAATTGCTGCTAGCTGATGAGGAAATGGGCTGGCTGTGGTGAGTTACTACATTACATAATTTATCTTAATTTCATTTTTTAACATTCTTTTACCTTATCTACATTTCAGGTGGCCAGTCTTTGATTGGGTGCTTCGATTTCAATGGCAAAGAGCCGTTGAAACGAAGTCTCTTCAAAGCCTAAAGTGTTTCATTGCCCTGGACGTGATTTCGAAAGTGCTAGGCTCCGCAAGAAGGTTAGCTTTTGTCTAATCTTTAGTGCTACGCTTTTAGTTTTCTCGCTATTGAAGTCGGAATATCAACTGCAGTGACAGGGTTGGTTATTTCTTCCTATTGCGTCCAACATAAGCTCCAAAGTATTGATGGTTTCTCTTCTTCTATTGACCGAATTTGGAATCAGGCTTTGCTGTGAGTCTGCTGGTCAACTAAGTTATAGTTTCTATCGAAAAAAAGGAATGTAAGCAGCGGCTCAGTTTTAGATTTGTGCATCATAAATTGGTTTGTTCCAACTGAGACGGGAACCTCTTATCTGTCATATGGTCGCTTTAGAAATGAGGAATAATGCAAAAGCTACAGCTTTCATACCGAAACAGTTACATCATAATGTGTTTCCTAATCCTATTGCGATTTTCAGATGGTTTGAGCAATTGTCGGCATCCAACCACGAAGATTCCCGCTACAGAAACGAAATGCGTCGTGCTCTTCTCCACGACAGACTCATTACATGCCTCTTGGAGAGCTTGCTTAGGTTAGATGCATTCATTATCGCTGATCACATCTACGCACCGTCACGCACTCAGCACCTTGCTCTACTCTGGAGCGTACTTCTCTCACCTACCGTATTTGGTAATCCTTTTGTTCCCTGGCGTTACCGTCTGGGTCTCTTTGTTTACCTTGTTTGGCCCAAAATCTCTATGGAAATAGTCTGTTCAACGGAAACGGTACTGCCTCCACCTCTGGTGTTTCTTCTTTCCACTCATTCATCGGCTTCTGACATCCTTCGATACTACTTCCTCCATTGGAGCTTGGGTTATCTTCTCCATCCAGAAGATCCACTTCCTGAAGCATTTCCTCGTGTCAATACAGTTCCAGTGTTTGGTGAGAAGCATATGCAGTTGATCGAGAAGTTCGTACCTTCACATCTGCCAGAACCACCAGATCTATGGACGCGCCTCTTCTTTCACTTGGTTTCTCCAGGAACGGTTGAAACATCATGCCTTCAAGAGGTGGTGGATTACACGTTATTGGATGTGGAACAGCGTTTTGGCCTTGCAAACGTACTGTTTGCACTCCTGCAGAAGGTTCCAGAAAGGAACTGGCCGCATCACCTTTGTCAGTTGATACGAAGTCTGTTTGGACACAAATCGGCGAATCAGCTGCCTGCGAACGTTGCTGCGCATTGTATTGACATAGATCTAGATGATGATAATGTATCGTCTTCGATATCTGATTCGAACATTGCTCGTCCCCACTCTTTTGAGTCAAAAGTACATTTACCATTGAATGTTTTTTCTCATTCCTCTCTACTTTCGATTACAATGAAGTGTCTGCAAGAAATTATCCCCAAACTGTCATGGAGAAGCGCCTACGATACAAGGTGGTTGGCGGAACTCCACCGATTTTTGCGAAATGTGCAGTTCTCTCATTCTGATAATGAAACCGTTGTTGAGTTGTTCTGCATTCTCATAGATACTCTAAGGGACGCACTAAAAGCACAGTTAATTTTGAAGAGGTGGAGTCTTTTCCTTACAACCGTCACTGCAGTGAATGATTTTGGTGACGTCCTATGCACTTACTTTACGGCAGCTGGAGATGAAATTTCCCAGAACGAAATTTGGGAAAAGATTGCTAGACAAGTTATTAAGCTAGCCGAGGCGGCGTGGGCCGGTGGCGGAGTCAGATGGCCTGAATTCGGAGAAGGTTTTCTGCCTCCTAATTTGGCCTCCGTCTTCTGTCAGTCATGTGGGGTTTGGATTCGGGTAAGTTAGCAGGCTGTTCATCGCTAGTATAAACTGAAGTTTGTTATCCAACTTCAGCTGAGTTGTATCAATTCATATAATGTTTTCAGCTCCATTCCCTTGGATTGCTGGGTAATGAGGTACCAGTCATTCCTCTCGATGCTTTTTTAACTCAAGGGGATACAAGCACAGCGTTTCAACCACTCAAGTTTCTTCAAAGGTTTGTGTTATTTTTAAAACCTTAGACCCGCTTTTTAAGTCTGTCACATGAACCAAATGATACCCTATTACTTTTGGCTGCAAATCTTGTGAACCGACTTTCCGCAAGGCCGGGAATCATCTCATCAGCTCTTCTGTGCACACTCGACTGGCTCTTACTTCTCCTAGTCCGAATCTCCAATCATTGGGAATGGAATTGTCGAAATCGTTTGAGAGAAAATGAAAATTTTGCACCCCATTTTTTACCTCAGCTTCTTGAACCAAACGCCAAATTTCATTCACCAGTCTCACTCATTATTTCAACTTGCTGCTTACTAATCAAGTTCATTGAACCCGCGCACAATGTTGGAAAGGTCTGGTCTTACATTTTTTCTTTAACATTGATTGCAGGTGCTTCTAAATCGTTTAGCTGGAGGGAATGAGTTATATCTGAGAGCTTATTTGAGGCCCTATCTAATGCCTCTCTGCATTTGGGGGATTTCTGGCGGCACTTTCGATCGGTCGATGTATCTGCGGGAGTTTCAAGCCGCAGCGATAGCTTGGGGCTACTCATCCATTGAGGATTTTTTCGAGTACTTTTTCGTGCTCTGATTGGTCCGTTTCTTTAGGCAATCGCAGGAATATGGTGCGGTTTTGCAGATAGCGGGCATGGACGTAGTAAAGGATAATTTCTTCCGACCCACGTGCAGTCAAATTGCAGCATGTCTATTCGCGAAAGATCAGTTTCTATCTTCCCTACGAACTCTGCGAACATCTTATCAGGCTCGTTTTTATTCTTTGCTTGAAAGTTCATTTAAATCAAGCCTTATATTTTGCTTAAATGGGCACAAATATCCTATTGTATGGGAATGAAACGGTAGATGTTCTTAAGTAAATCGATTATAACCTTCCAACAATTCTTTCCATCAACCTTTCTGCCTTTACAGAAGACATTCAAGTCTTTGTGTTGCATTGAGGGTTTCGTGGCCATCACTTCGCATCTACTTCGCCTCATACTCCTGTTTGTGAGTGACATTTCCGCCGACCTCGACCACAACGCTTCTCGCATTGGCTTCTACTTGGTCACCCGCTTAACCCTCCTCTTTATGGGGCTCTTCGTTGATCATCATGCGAATACTGATGAACCAACTTTCTCACTGCTTTCTTCTCCACCCTCTGCGGTAGACGATGTAGAGCAGACGGCATCACAACTACTCTCACGGGTCGTCTCTCTCAAGCCAGATTTTATTCTTGTACGTAGTGTTTGTATTGGTAAACATTTGTCTCTTTTTACCTAGCTGACTTGCCCTGCTTGGCGATTCAAATTTCTGTACAGAATTCTAGCAATCGGCCGAATGAGTGACTTTGGAATTGATTTGCATTTGATAGTTGTGTTCGTTTCCCTGAGTGGTCGTTTGGAGCCAATGAGCGACTCTTCTAATGCGAGATTAAGATGGGAGTGTTCTTTCAGGCTGTACTTGCACTATTCGAGTTTCTTTGGCCTCAGCCCATCCATCCCCTACTTTGGTGACCAATATCAGTGGCTTATGCTCGCTTTGTGCTGCTGACCAAAGTGATCAATTAGAGTGTGTTAACCCATTTCAATAGTCGTTACGTACACTAGCGACTCTTTTAAATGGTGGTTCCGAACATGGCTTTTTTGCTGCTGAAAGTGTTATCCTCACTTCAAATGCGATGAAGACTTTACTGGACAGCAAATGTTTTGGAATATCTCCGTTGACCCAGCGACACATGTGTTGGCGTAGTCTTTTTTTCTGATTTTTTGTATTTTCTTTAAGAGTCGTTACTATTTTTTCAATAAAATACACGTTTTTGTGCCTAGAATCTATCGGAAGCTCTTTTGGAAGTAGGCTGTCATTTTTTGGAGGATCCATGCGAATCAAGTGCGGACTCAATGTGGGATCCTCTCGGTGGTTACTATCCTCGCATATCCGTATGGTTGGCTTTAGCTCGCTTCATAAGGCTCCTTATTTCCTCCTCTCCGAATGCTACACCAACCTCTAATAGCTACCTCAACTGGCGTCTTATCAGTGGTATTGTGGATTTCATTGACGCCGAATATGAGAGGTGGGCTGTAATCCTCCCTAGTCAACCTTCCCCTCCCTATAGCAATCGGCTTCAAAACATTGGATTCCTATTAAGTGCTTTACTAGCTAATATAAAAGTAGTTGTGGAGACTACCAGTGTCATCTACGGTGACCAGGTGAGCCCACGTTACTGACTATAAGCTGTACAGTTGGAAGTTGCTTGGCACAATTCTACAGTCTACCTACTTGTGGAAATAGCCTCAAAATTACAAACTCTCCCTGATGATGTGCATTTGGACCTCTTCCACATTGTAGGCTTTACTTTAATCAATATTTCTCTAGCTCATCGAGATTCTAGATCATTTACTTCAAGTGTCTGGAGGAACTCGCTTCTCAAATTCAATCTGTCACCTTGACAACATCTTTGAAGATAATGCACTCCTTGAACCTTATCAGTCGCACTTCAGTCGCCACTGCAAATGCGATCGACGGGATGTTAATGAGGTATTCGTACATCATTCATTTTGGAACAGCTAGAATTATGGTATTAAGAAGTCCAGAAGGTTGAATAATAATTATTATGGGAAGATTATCGTTAGGATTCATACCATTAGTTCAGTTCCTGGTTCGAGTAAAGCGCAATTGATCTGCTAACACAGAATAGGGAGGCGTACGTTTAAAATGTCGGTTCGTAAAATGGCGTCCCTTTATTTTTAGGAACTTCAACGTTTTTTGAAGTCGACCGATTTTATGCATCATCCACGGTTGCTGAAATATCGTGCCACAGGTCTTCGCCAATTGACAGTACTTCTGCGACCCAGACATGAATTCACCGCAGCCCAACTCCATGAACGCCTAGTCACTGTACCCCACGATCGCATTGAGGAGAAACTACGTTTAATGGAGGCATATAGCGTTCGAAGTTGGGTTCCACCGACGGAAACTAATGGCTATAGTGATGTGGTTAATCAAAAGCGACTTCTCCGCATGCTCATTGATCTATCAGCAAGTAAATATAAGGTGGAAATTGACTCGGAAACACGCCATGCAATGGCGGAATGCGCTGTCTCGTTGAAGGATATCTATACTGATGAGAAGAGTGACGTTTACCCATCTAACAGAGTAAAGGAATTTATTCTCATAGACTTTCCTGACCCTATGATTGTGGAACAGTTGGAATGTGTGATTTCCATTGCGAATTGGATTGCTTCTCCGAAGTAATTTGATTTTAAGATGTTTGCAAGCTTTTTGACACTCCTTGACCCGTTTACGACATTTCAGCTCTATCATTTCTCGACTTGGCCCTCAGTGCCTCCGTTGTATTTTTAATAATTCCCGGCTGAGAATGGCTCTCTTTGATAGCCTCAACATCTGGGAAGCTGAACACACGGCCGGCATTTTAACGAAGTTAGCACCATACGTATCCGTTGACGAGCTAAACAAGGCACGAAACTCAGTATCGAGGGTAGATAATTTTTTTAGAAAGATTAATTTCTAATCATTCTAGTCGGCATTGAAGTTTGCGACCAAAAATGTAACCGAAGCTGTCCTCCAGGACCTGGAACCTCAGACACTCGTTGACCTTGTGTTAAGCTACCAAGATATTCCAGAAACTATTGTCGTGAAAATCGCTGAGTGGCTTTTTGATAGAGCCTTAGTGCTTGATGAGTGCTTCTTGGCTCTTAAACCTCTTATTCTTTCGGAGGTAAGTGTCTTGCAACTTTGGACTTTTCGGTGTGGGTATGCGAAATGCTCAAGTCAAACCGGTTGCTTTGAGGTTCGAGGAGGGATATTGTTCGTTTTGTAGCTTATTCTTTGCATCCACTTCATTACCGACTAGTCAAGGTTAGACGTTTACTAGATGAATGTTTTTGTAGGAGCGATAGAAAGCATTTCTGTTGCATCAGAGATTGTCTCTGAGTGACTTGGATCCTCCTGAGAATATAAGTCTTGGTAGATTTGGATCTGGTTTGTTGTGTGCTACTGAGCGAATGCAACCGGTTTCGTGATTATCAATTTCTGGTCTGTTTGTATAAGTGCGAGCTTGCACATCACTTGCTACTGACGTTTCCTTATGTTTCCATGATGAAAGTTGTTGGTTTGATTTGGGTCCCACCCGCAATGTTGACAACAGTTCTAGAAATCTTTGTTTTACAGATAACTATGGCAAAACGGCTAATACCCTGGATGTTTGTCGCAATTCTTGTGAATTTGAGGCTCCTATCCACTTCTTGCACTGGAAAGCACTTGAAACAAACTCTTTCAGGGTTGACGAAAGTGTTAAACTCCCTTCTAGAGGCATCTCAGCTACCCCAGTTCCTTCTTTCCATCCTAACTGCACTGCACACCTATTCGCAATGGCTCATTCGTTCGGGGTATGTATGGCAGCGCTTTAAAGGACCGTTATCAGTTATTTATTTCACCGACTCATTGGCTATGCCTTTTTAGTCCCAACATACTGCATGTGCATTCTGTTTTCAGCATCACAACAACCTTAGAATGGGATTTCGATTGGCTATCTGCCTCAAAACTTTCTCTCAATGCTGGCTCAAAGGAGAATGCTTGGCTTTTCTTTGAATTGGCATGGATTAAGCGGTAAGGGTCTTAGAAGACTTCGGCTGTATTGAAGCAACATGCATCTGCAGTTTATTTTTGTGTTAAGGCCACAAGAACTCCTTTTCAATAGCATGGCGCAGAATCTTTGGATTGATCTGTATCAAGCCCAGAAGGATCTCGTTGGACTAAAGGCTGCACGTATCGCAATGGCTCAATTTTTTGATCACTCTGATGATGGCGCTGCCCTCGAGGATCGATTTCGGTAAAATTTTCCATTAAAATATGTAGCCGTAGGGGAGCTCACAAAGATAGTCTAAGTAGCTTTTATCGTTTGTATCAGAATTTCATTTCGCTATTGAGTCATTTGAACACCATCTTCTCCATGCAATACAGATGTGCTATTAATGAATTGAATGGACAGCGAAGTCTTCTACAGGAGGAGGAGGCGGGACTGAGCGGCCAGATCAGCAGTGTCGACATTGAACAAATCGCCCTGCGTTTCCATCACCTCGGGGCTGATAAAGCATTCGCGCATCTTGCTGCTGGCCTCCTATGTGTGTTTGAAATATTTTTTCATTCTCTATTAAACATTTGACTTGATTTATAAAATTCTTCTTACATTTTATTACATGTATATTAATGCAATATGGTATTCAAGCAATCATTGAATTTACTGACCGTTCAATGCAATTACCCTATTATTTTACCAGCACAAGGCGATGAGAACCTACCGGCTTTAACTGAGGCTAAATATCGTGTTGCTTGGCGGTCTAGTAGCTGGAAAATAGGTGGATCAATGATGCCCACCTTTCGATACAATGATCTCCTTGGCATTGACTTTAAAACTCTTCCGACTCCCAGAGTTCACTCTCCTGCTCATTCTACGCCAACTCTTCAGCTCGAACCCACCAAAACTGGACTTGGTTTGTTCGCCTATTTAATGAAACTGCTTCCTCCATTTCTATACCAACCCAATAGATCGCGATTTATGCTCTAGATTTTCATTTCGATGTGGGATCCAATTTGGAGAATATTCGGCGATTGTGCGCTTCTTGTATGAGCTGCTGGAAAGAGTCGGAGACAGTACCGCTACCAAACCTTGAGGACGAGAAATTTGTCTACCTTCTCCATCAATCGATTTACTGCGAAGATTGGAATCACGTCGGGAAATTGGTCAATGATCGACGGTGCGATTTGTTTGCTCAACCACTTGAAAGTGTTCCAGCTTAGTGAGACATTTAGATTTGTGAAATACCTAACGCTAAAGAGTGGATGCTGGATCAATTTCTGGGCTTACTTTCTTGCCATATGTGCGTGTACCTAAAGCGTTCACACCAACTAAATGTCTTACTGCTAAGCGCCTTTCTTGAGTTTCGTGTTTACCTTCTCATTGCTCATCGTTATCATTCTTTAACCCGTGTAGAAACTAATTTCTTGGCCTGACTTGAACGTTTTGTGCAATGGATCTTCCACCTAACTAGTTTTCTCCATATTATGACTTTTAGATCATCATTGCTGCAGTTATTATCTGAGAATCTCACCACTTTCCAGTCATTTGCATCCGAAGTAAATATTTTACAAGCCTGGAGTCATATAAGTACTCTTCTACAATCCAAACCAAAGGCTTCGAGTGCTAGAGCGGCCTCCTCACTTATTCTTCTCCAAGCCTTCATCGAAGAATGCATTGGCTGGGACGAGACCCAACCCACTTCCTTGCTGGAAGCTTCCTTGCGTCTGTCGAAATCCCTTTCTGATTCTGTCGGTGATGCGTCTCCATGGTTGTCACTGTTGAATGTTCACGCTCAGTTACAACTTGCTGATTTGTATATCAAGCAGGAAAACGCTCTTTGTGCTGAACGGATGCTTAGGACGATTCCACGAATTGAAGCTGCTCCGAAAGAGCTGACTCTGAGAAAGAACATTAGTTTTGCACTTGTTAGATCAAGGCTGCAGCGCTTATGTGGAGAGACATCTCTGTCATGCGCCAGATTGACGAGTGTATTAAATGATGCCACGGAGTCTATTTCCGGCATGAAGCTCACTCGTGATACTTCTGCTTGTTTGCTGCTGGAATCCTACCTTTCAAGCACTGTTTCACTTTGCAAGTGGCTAGCTGAATGCGGCGCCATGAGTTTGGCCGATATCGTGGTTCAACGGCTCAAACCGGTGAGTGATTAATTGAATTTACCTACATAATGAATTTACGCATCAAACTCAACTTTTCTACTCTGAGTAGGCAGTTGAACTGGTCGAAAAATCTTGGTCATCGGAGGTAAAACAGCTTATATGCAGCTCGGCGGATGCCTTGGCTGTTTTGGCAGAATTTGCGGATGCTCAGTACCAGGTTTTTGATAGTTATCTGCGATCTACAGAGTTTTCAGCCAGGCGAAGACTTCTTTCTGATGCATATGCAGATGTTGATTGCCTCACGGAAGTTGATAAGAAAAGGTTTGCTCCTATAATAACTACAATTGATGGTTTGCTTGGATTCATTTTCAAGGCGCAGTTTGAAGAGTCTATTATAGGTGTGATCGATTCCAACCGTAATGATCACCAAGATACTGGCTTCGTAATCTGTGAGAGTGACATAGGCACTGCTTTAACTTTATATTTCTCAGAAAGCTGTGCGAATTTTTCATGCCTTATTATTTGCATGGCCAGTAAATTCCTCCGACTGCTGCAGCGTCAATCAAACTTGGAAAGTGTGGAATTGGCGAATCTTCTTTCCAGTCTTCAAAACTTCTTCTCCACTGCCATCCTCGCCTACTGTCAGTGCCTTGCTAGGAGCGATAACTTCAACTTAAAGGTGGATCAGGTCGTATCATTTTGCGTTTAATGTACTACTTCCATTCTAAGGTCCGAATCAATGCTAATTTTTCGTCCAATATTTCTCTCCTGTCAGTGCAGTGCTCTTGGGGAAATTATATGATATGCAAACTTGGATCTGGCTTTATAGCCATTTAGGAGCGTAAGCAAAAGTGTCCATTCATCTGAGCTCATGGTTGCTTGTCACCCCTGATTTATTCTATTTTCTCTTTCTTCGGTGACCATGAGTCATCTAACGGTTATTAATCGTTCTCCAGGCTAAAATAAAATAGGACAAGTTTGTTCTTTATTCGCTTTGGTAGTTGATGTCGTTGGTTTACGACTTCTTGAATATTGTAAAGAGACCAGTGAACCCGAAGCCATCCATATGGATTTGGCTTCATTGAAACAAAAAAATAGCTAACGGTTTAAGGTTTTTAGTGTGTACTACAACGATCCAATTACGCATGATAGCCATGACTCATTTAATAACTCAGTGTTCCACCGTATACAGATATACCCTTTTTTCGCTCTTGAAATGAGTAGGAGGTGGCGCAATAGTCCGTCGAACTGCAATCACCTTTTCGCTGCATACAGTTCCACCGTCCAGCCTCATTGCGACTTAACATTCAAACGGTCATACTCAAAGTTGCAGTGTTTTTGTAGCGACTTATTCGTCTTCAGACGGTCTACAATGCATAGGTGTACGTGATTTTCAGGGGACGGCTGGGTATACATATAGGTGCATTAAAGATTCTCGAAGATTGTCTGTAGGCTATTTTGGTACTTAACTCAACTGTGGTGATCGTAACCAACCTAAGCATGATTTTCTCTGTCCCTCGTTTAGATCTATCGTCTAGTCTCCCTCTTGCTGAATGCACTCTCTCAGGTGGAGAAGAATCTTGAGCGCCCTAGTTGCTACCTCAGTGAGGATTCCGTGACCGAGAGCCTATTCACACCTGCCTGGCTAGCCTCTTTGGAGGCCTACCTCAGAGCCATACGAGTGGATAAGTTCTTGCCCCTATTTCCTCAACTCCTCGTCCGACTCACTACTCCCAATGGGGAGAATGGGCAGAGCAAGACACACGCAGCGTTTCATGCTATGCTTGTCGAGGTGAATGGGATTATTTTAAGTGTCTTCCTCCGACAGGCACCATGTCAAATTTTAGCTATCTTCTAGTAACTGTTCATCGATCACCTCTTCAGATATTCGAAGTCATCTTTTGTGTTGATAGATGGCTCCCCTTGACATATTCACTAGAATGAGTGGGTATGGCTTTGGTGGATCGAAGGGTAACAGGCGAAACTCATTTCAACGGTTCATCCTATTTCATTCAGGCTAATTAATGCCTGCACCACCTTGAAATTGTAAAGAAACTGTATTTCTGTCTGCCAGCTTAACATTTTTACCAACGTCGATCTTTGGTAGTAGGGTGCTAAAGCCTCGACCGTCTGGTTCTTCGAAATTCCTCTTAAGGAATCAGTGATTGGGTTTACTTAATTGCCAATTGCTGCTCAACTTTGAACCGCTTTTTGTAATTGGATTAAATCTGAAATGCTTGCGCTTTGTAACACGGCAATACACACTATTCCGTTCATCTTGGTATAAATCAAACTTGTTTCCGCAGTTCTCCTACCACTCAATGTGTTTTGACGCTGATTCAGGGGAAGGACATAGAAACATGGAAAGTGGATGAGTCATGAGTTGAGCTCTATGGCGCTCATTACCTGTGTACTCATTTACGAAGACAGTGACGCACAGAAAGGGCAAACGCTTTGCATTGAATTATTTAATATCAATGGTATGGTTTTAGTGACAAAAACGACTTACTTTTATTCCAGTTTTCTACATAGTGAGGCTTTAACAGACATTGGATTTGCAGCATTACAGCCTTTTGTGAGAGGATTAAAAATTCAAATTTTATGCTACCTTTTCAGTTGGTCAAGACACTGCTAAACAGGCACCCTTATCACACGGGTTCTTCTCTCCTCGCACTGGTAAATGCAAAGTTAGACGACCCACCCAGTACCGTTTCAAACACCGCAACCCCCCGCGCAAAACGGCAAAGACTTGAAACCTTAGTAAGTTTTGATATGCTGTCTTCCTGAAGAATACGAGTTGCTTGGGATTTAATTAAGCGATTAATTTAGTGCACTGTCTTTTAAATTACAATCGTCACATGTACTTATCTCTAGGATTTTCGTAGGTGGTCATTGAGTTCATTTGGATGGATCAGTTGTGTCAGCAAGCTACTTTGTATGCGAATAGTTACAACTTTTTAAGCATCACCACCAAAATTTATTTTTCCAGACACGTTAAACAGTGCTTTTTAAAATTCTGGACATAATAAAAGGGATTTGCTCAACTCATAAGGCTAGTGTGGCATGCGTAACTGTTCACTTCTATGTAGTGCTTGATAATTCCCTTGACCTCCTAACTTAGCCTAGTTCAACAGTATCGCAAAGTTTATGATATCTTTTGTGCTAAAGGTCGATAAGAGCAGCGCTCGAATAGCTCTAGCTCGTCAGCTCTTCTCCGAGGTCTGCAGTTTGGACATAACTCGTAAGAAACTCTTTGTGCAGATGCAGGCTCTTGCAACAGCCTACATTGAACTGGCCAATGTGGATGTTGAGGACAAACGCAGTGTAAAAGGTTTGTACCTCCCTTCAGTCTGTTTTTCACTGGTATTAATTACTTAAATGGCATTTCTTATGTCGCTACCCAATTTTTAACCGATAAAGGAAAATGTGGAAACTAAGTACAACTCATTGTTCATTCTCGTTTTTGCTTTCCTCAAGCCAATCAACTATTGTTGAATTTATTCTAACAAAAATCTCACATTAGCATACTAGGAACTGTTAACCAGCCCATATATCTTTTTTGCAATACTAGTTCTCCAACTGCTGTGAGTATCTGGTGTGAGGCTATCGCTGGGCCCGTACACTAAATAACACCTCAACAGATAACTTGAGTGGAACATGGATGCGGAGCAGTTCTACTTTGCTGCGCTTGCGTTTATTTGAATAGTGCGCATAAATAAGTGCCCTGTTGCAGTCTACCGGATTTTCGCCCAATATTGCTCATGCTACTATAATAGGTTCTCAGGTCATGGTGCGAGTATTGTGTACCCATTGCGATCTACCAACTACTCTACTTTCAATAGAAGACATCCCAATGCCACCAAGTTGCGCACTCTTACGACTCTCTTCTGAAGCAGAACGCTGTCTACATCTTCTGCCAGTGATTACATGCCTTCCGCGAGTGGACTTTTCAGGGAATTACCAAGACCTTGTTCGAGTGGTAGCTTTTGTTAACACCTATCGTCTCGCTGGTGGTCTTAATCTTCCAAAAATTGTCACTTGTCTGTGCTCGGATGGGAGGCGGCGCAAACAGCTTGTGAAAGGGCGCGACGACTCCCGTCAAGACGCCATTATGCAACAAGTGAGTGATTAAAAAAAGTAATTAAGGGTAATGCTATCATTGTGATAAGAATTTTGTGTGAGTAGTGTTAATGAAGGTCAGGATCCGCCCTCTAAGACGTGGAATCTAGGGTGTAGTTGTCTTATGCTCCCAAAAATCATCTCTGAAAACATGATGTGACCTATCAGCATTTAACATTCTGATGCATTCAACCGACTACATTCACATTGTCTGATGCACTGGAGTGTTTGATTGAAGCACCTCGGTCGTTGCAGAGACCATGGAGACCCTTCTACGGTTCTTGTAAATGATATTAAAAGCAGTGACTTTAAAGCGGCCAAGTACGATGTAAATACCGGCTTAAGATGAGTGTTATTTATACGACCGGCCAATCGTCATCATTTTATCCACACCGGTCGCGATTATTTTTCTATCATTGTTGTACTTTTAAGCTTTGTTCTATTTTCCTTCTAGTTAAAGGGTGCCACGTTACCATTTGGTTGCGCACAAATTTATGCCATTACCTGCTCTTTACCCTTTTTTAGGTTTTTACAGCAGCGAACCATATTTTAGCTACATTCTCCAACTCCAACTCCTCCAATTGTCCCAAGTCATCTTCCATTTCTACATCTTATATAAATGCCATGCGCATACGGACTTATATGGTGCGTCTTTTGCTGTACTGATTGCAGCTACTCTTTGCTTCCTTGCGGCAAATACTCGGCCTTGGGTAAATCCGCTAGTTTTCTTTTCCTCCTGTTATGCATCGCTTTGATGTACTTACACTGTTGTACTAAAGCGTGCACTGGTGATCGGATAAACAACCTCCCTCCAACTGGCGTCATTTCGAGTTGTTCATTGTGTGGAAATAATTTTGCTAGTATGGCTTTAGTTGGAGGAAATTAGCCCTTGAAATTCATGCTTTGATAATGCAGGTTTCACGTTCATCACTTTCGCATCACGGATACAATTATATTTTTCATTAAAGCGTTCTTTAGCTTAGTCAATTCAAAGCACCCAATGATTAAGGCATCTCAAGTTCAGGTGATGACTAGCGATTCAACTACTTCTTGTTGGTAAACTTTCGGAGAATTTGGCTTAGAAAATGTTTAAGCTTTATAAAGTCCATATCTAATTGCAATCATATATTTGACGAAGCTCATTTGAGTGTGTGT